AAAATCATGACATTCAATTTTGTTTTTATTGATTTTATGGAAAATAAGGTTGAAACTGACTATTTTTCTAGTTCAGTTTTCTTTTTAAAGGGATTTGAAAAATAAACTGAATAGAATATTTTACTCATATTTTCTGGTAGGCCTGTTGTCTTTGATAAGAATCCAAATTAACAATGCAGTGATTACTTATATGAGTTGTACCGTATATCTGGTTTTTTTTTTCTTTGGTAAAAACCACTAGTTTAGATATATATATAGATAGAATTCTTGTGTTTGACTGATGGGTAGAAATTTTTAGATTGATACAGATATTGATACCAAGAAGGATAACGGAATTTACCCTTAGAACAGTACTCAGAGCTGAGTTCTCATCAAAACAACGGTTACTTTTGCTGATCTGTTAATATCAAAATCTGATTGGGTATATGCGAAACACCCAGAGGAACTTTTGTGTTGAGTTGAGTTCTAATAGTTGCAAGCTAATTAATTCTCCTTTTAAATAAAGATATAACTAAACTGCAGTGGATTACATTGTACTATTTGAAGTACTGTCTATTTAAAACATACTTGGTCAATATTAATTCAAGTATGATTTTATGAAAATCATGTTGAAGATGTTCTCATTTTCCTACTTAATGTTCTTCTAAGGTTTATCTACAATTATTCGTAGGTTTGTTTATAATTATTAGATGAACTTTAATAGGGTCATTATCTTTCTATATGTTTCTGAATAAGACATCAATAATATCGACAATACTTTGTGATAAAGTTACATTATCTTGTTGTGATGCCTTATTGGGGTATGCAAAACAGTCATAGAAATGGACATTCTTCTTTGACAAATGAATAACATTTCCGAGACACAATAATACAAAGCGCCGATTTCAATTTAGAACAATCATACGCGCTTTCTAAAGTCTGCTTTTTATAGGGCAAGCCTTGTTTAGTGAGATAAACTTACATTAACACCAAACTTTACAAGTGACAATTCTCTTAGTCACTCTGCCATTGACACTTGTTCATCCTGGAAAAGACTCTATGAAGTCTTATATAGTTTACAAACTTGCCGACTGTAAGCATTGACTGAACATTTGCATAATATAAAGCAGAAAGCAATGATCGCTTTATCTACGTTGGTCAAAGGGCCATAATTTGAGTTATCGAACTTTGTAACAAACACACATTATGCAAATTTTACAACTTACTTTCAGTCGCAAAGGAAAAATGTATATAAAGGCTGCCTTTGAAGGGTGGATGGTGGGGGAATATCTCCATTACTGACTAGTGTAATAATTGTGCTTGTTTAAGATACTGCACTCTGCTGCAATACAATGCAACACGTTGTAATGCTTTGCAAATTGACCAATCAAAATAAACTTAGTCAATTTGCAACTGAATTCGAAAAACACATACCCTGATTGAAAATCCACACTATTTCTATTTCTGAATTTTTTCTTTAAGAACAAATTGTATGATAATTAACGGACTATAAACATGTAAATACAATTGTTGATATAAAAAAAGATATGAATCGAAGAATGACTAATTAATCAAACAAAAAAACTTGAAGTGAATAATTGTTATTTTTTTTTTTAATTCACATTTTACACAACTTTACTCTTATCATGAACAATAATGTTGTATCTACTTATCATGATGGAATTATTTTGGTCGGACCAATATGTGTGAGCTTCTCTTGCAAAGATAGTATGCATTGATCTATATAGATTACTGCACTCTGCTGCATAGGAATCAAAATTAACCATCACGTATTTGTGTTTTTAAAAAAAACTTGAAGTGAATAATTGTTTTGTTTTTTTTTACAAAGTTACGTATTGATAGGAATCAAAATTTTAGTATTTGTGTCCAAAGACATTTCGACAAAGTTACGTACTGATGAAAAATTTTGGTATGCGCAAAACATTCCGACTTTTTGACTGATGAGTGGATTTTTTTTTATTTCAAAGAGTATCCTAACAATAATTTTACTGCAATCAACACCTTTCTTATTTTGTGTTCCAGAAATTTTTTTTTAATTAATGGGGATTTTTTTTTATTCGCAATTTCTAAATATTTGTTCTCTTTTGCATGAATGAAAATTAACAATCAAAAATTTATCGAAGGACTTTTCGATAAAGTAACCTATTTCTATTTTTTCAACAACTATTTTGGGTAAGCGAAATCCTCCAGATGAAATGAACACTTGTCTTTGACCGATTCATAAATTTCTTTATTCGGATGAGAATTACTACTGTAACAGATTATCTTGATAAGAATTGCACTGGACAAGAATGCAATGTTGAAGTCAAAATCATGACATTCAATTTTGTTTTTATTGATTTTATGGAAAATAAGGTTGAAACTGACTATTTTTCTAGTTCAGTTTTCTTTTTAAAGGGATTTGAAAAACAAACTGAATAGAATATTTTACTCATATTTTCTGGTAGGCCTGTTGTCTTTGATAAGAATCCAAATTAACAATGCAGTGATTACTTATATGAGTTGTACCGTATATCTGGTTTTTTTCTTTGGTAAAAACCACTAGTTTAGATATATATATAGATAGAATTCTTGTGTTTGACTGATGGGTAGAAATGTTTTAGATTGATACAGATATTGATACCAAGAAGGATAACGGAATTTACCCTTAGAACAGTACTCAGAGCTGAGTTCTCATCAAAACAACGGTTACTTTTGCTGATCTGTTAATATCAAAATCTGATTGGGTATATGCGAAACACCCAGAGGAACTTTTGTGTTGAGTTGAGTTCTAATAGTTGCAAGCTAATTAATTCTCCTTTTAAATAAAGATATAACTAAACTGCAGTGCATTACATTGTACTGTTTGAAGTACTGTCTATTTAAAACATACTTGGTCAATATTAATTCAAGTATGATTTTATGAAAATCATGTTGAAGATGTTCTCATTTTCCTACTTAATGTTCTTCTAAGGTTTATCTACAATTATTCGTAGGTTTGTTTATAATTATTAGATGAACTTTAATAGGGTCATTATCTTTCTATATGTTTCTGAATAAGACATCAATAATATCGACAATACTTTGTGATAAAGTTACATTATCTTGTTGTGATGCCTTATTGGGGTATGCAAAACAGTCATAGAAATGGACATTCTTCTTTGACAAACGAATAACATTTCCGAGACACAATAATACAAAGCGCCGACTTCAATTTAGAACAATCATACGCGCTTTCTAAAGTCTGGTTTTTATAGGGCAAGCCTTGGTTAGTGAGATAAACTCACATTAACACCAAACTTTACAAGTGACAATTTTGTAAGTCACTCTGCCATTGACACTTGTTCATCCTGGAAAAGACTGTATGAAGTCTTATATAGTTTACAAACTTGCCGACTGTAAGCATAGTCTGAACATTTGCATAATATAAAGCAGAAAGCAAAGATCGTTTTATCTACGTTGGTCAAAGGGCCATAATTTGAGTTATCGAACTTTGTAACAAACACACATTATGCAAATTTTACAACTTACTTTCAGTCGCAAAGGAAAAATGTATATAAAGGCTGCCTTTGAAGGGTGGATGGTGGGGGAATATCTCCATTACACTGACATGTGTAATAATTGTGCTTGACTGCACTCTGCTGCAATACAATGCAACACGTTGTAATGCCTTGCAAATTGACCAATCAAAATAAACTTAGTCAATTTGTAACTGAATCCACACAATTTCTATTTCTGAATTTTTAAAAAAAACTTGAAGTGAATAATTGTTTTGTTTTTTTTTAAAATTCATATTTGTTCTCTGTTATAGGAATCAAAATTAACCATTAGTATTTGTGTCCAAAGACATTTCGACAAAGTTACGTACTGATGAAAAATTTTGGTATGCGCAAAACATTCCGAAGAAAGGAAAACTTGACTTTGACTGATCAGTGGATTTTTTTTTTATTTCGAAGAGAATAAATCCTGCAAAATATTTGTTCTGTTTGATATGAATGAAAATTTACAATCAAAACTTTCTCGAAGGACTTTTCGATAAAGCAACCTATGACTTTTTTTAATCGAACAACTACTTAGGGTACTGTATTCGAGAACCTCCAGATGAAATGAACACTTTTCTTTGACTGATTCGTATATTTCTTTATTCAGATGAGAATTACTACTGTAACAGCTTATCTTAATAAGAATTGCAGTGGACAAGAATGCAATTTCATTCAAAATAATTACATTCAATTTTGTTTTACGTGATTATATTGAAAATGAATTTGAAACTGACCATTTTTCTATTTCAATTTTCTTTTGAGATTTAAATAAACTATTTTTATTTACATTTTCTTGTATGATTGTTGTCTTTGATATGAATCCAAATTCCCTACCCATTAATCATTTCGAGATTAATATGATATGCTGTATATCTTTTTTTTTCGTTGATCAAACGACTAGTTAAATACATAAAGATAGAGTTCCTGTGTTTGACCAATGAGTAGAAATCTTTTTCTAAATTAACTCAAGCAGTGCGGAAAAATAAGAACAAATCTATATGTACACAAGGTAAAAAAGCATGTAAATGGATCTGAGGGCATTTGAAATCTCTTTTTAAGTTTCCGTCTACCTTAAGAGTCCAATAAGAGAGACAATATTGTTGAAGTTACAAGTATAACAAGAGAGCTAAGATCGACCTTATCGTGGATATTGATGTCTGATTAGATATACAACATCGTATACTTAAATTTCAATCAATGGATAGGATGAATGATTTAACAGAATATTGCAAAATATGTGGACTAGATTTCATACATTTTGTCGATAAATGTGAAGGTAATCGATATGGATTAGACGAGACAATAAATCTATGCTGATATGTATACATGTATATAAAAGGTCAGAAAGATTCTGTTTTGCTACGTTATATTGTCGACTATCTATATTAAAAGAAACTGTTTATTTATTAGATTATATATATTTTTTAAATTCATTACATGGAGCTCTAGAAAATTTATTTTCACATGATAATCTAACAGCTGATCCATTTCCCATACGGTACAAAAGTGCGATTCATTTTATCGTGAGGATTATTGTAGAAATGAAGTTTGCTTTGTGTTTTGTCTTGTGCTTCATTGTACGTAAGTATATGTATGGTTAGAATGCGTCGGGGGAAGCAAGGATTGAGGGGGAGGGGGAGGAGGGTGTATTCCGTCAAACTTACCGTGATAATACAACCAATTGTAGCATTGTACAATTCAAACATATTTTTTGCAGACTGCTCAGCAATAGAGCGGGAAGCCCACTGTAACCAAATATGTCCCCGCATTTATCGACCCATTTGTGGATCTGATGGAAACACGTATGCCAATGACTGCCTACTGAGAGTACACAATTGTCTGTAAGTCCTGTATGATTGACAGTCTGTACTTATACTTTGGTGTGTTTCATTATCTACCTTTCCCCACCTGGAACACAGAACATTTTTATGAAATACATGTATGTGAACACAAATTATATAGTAAAACGAAAATTTAATATAATCATAGAATGCTACTGTTACACAAAGATACTAAACAAGAGGTACCATCTGCACATTTTACACTTTTATGGTATCATGTAAACTCCTCTGATATGTGACAACAGTTCATAATAAAATATGTACCACCCCACTTTGATAAGCAATGTTTTATTCCCTTTTACAGGAATGACGATAACGTGGTAGTGGCGTACGACGGGCCGTGCGTCGTCCCCAGCAGCACCGTACCCCCGGACATGAGCGTCGGATAAACGATTGTACAATAGTCCTGTGATATTCTAATACAGATGCAATAAAACCGTTCAGCATCATTTGTTCACTAAGCTATTTTTGTTCTGTATGATTGTCGTTGAAGGCAAGTGAATAGATACTTTGGTTTTTTTTTTTTTGGTTGCTGTTGTGGTGGTGGTTTTTTTTTTTCACAAAAGATATCAACGGGAAAACATCGAATCAGATTTACCGTCGATTTTAACATTTTCATTAATTTTTAAGATTTATACATGTCCTGGAATAGTGCATTTTTATAATATTCCGAAACACTTGGAAAGTGCTATCTACAAACAGCAGTTTCTTAACAATTTCTACCCCTCGACGTATTCCTTTACTCACAAATGTTTTTGTATCCATGGTTAGAGCACCACAATACATTATCGTTTAGGGATGTTCACAAATCATTGATGAAGTGTACTCCATGGCTTACCTAAATTGTCAACTCTTCCTTGGATTGTTTTCTTGAGTTTTGGAATAAAAAAATACAATTGTACTCAACATGACAGAGGTCTAGAGAATTCTAGTGATGTTTAGTTCTCTAAACGTTCTACTTCCTTCAAAATTTTTTTTTTACATGAAATAGGTAGAAAACAAACAAAATTCAAGGTCAAAGTTCAATTAAACATACAGATCGAGAGCAGAGCAAATATGGACCTCTAAATTGAAAACATCTTAGCCTAAGCGGGATCAGGTACCATCAATATTAAAGTTGGTCTTGTTTTGGGGTAGTATTTTATAATGTTGGACCTCTTGACTCAATACAAAACATTTTCTGAGCTCTGGCTTCTCTTTGCTATAATTACCGTTAGATTACAGGTGTCTTTCTGATTCTACTTTCGCCCATATATAAGCCTGGAATATTGCCGATTCGGCGTAAAGCATCAATCAATCTGATTCTAATTTAGATTACTGTTCTTTCCTTTAAGCAATAAAAAACGCACCGATGTTTTGAGATCAATATCCCAGGTTTATCAAACCTTCATTTGTTAAAAAAAAAAAAAAAAAGCGTCATGATAACACAGAGTGATGAGTCTGACGTCATAATAACATATGATGTCGAACGGAACAATGGATGTGACGAAACAATTGTCGCTACAACAAAACTTGGATAAAGATGTCGGAGGTAAAGTCGCTAACATAACTAACAAAAATTCTTTTTAAGTGCAGGTTCAATTTAAGAATTTTTGCATTTATCTTTTCATTATCCATGTTTTCTTTTTTTTTTACGTTTTCCATTTCATATTCTATATATCCTTGTAGAAAAGCATGTATGACAAATTGGATTTTGGAACTGACGCAGTCAAAGACGTGGAAAGCATATAGGCTATGGTTGTTATTTGTAAATAACATTGTTTCAACATTAATGCAAAAAATTGTAAATTTTTTTATAAATAAAATTAAAGAAATTTTTAAAACCATACCGGTAATTTGATTTTTGAAGTACGTATGTCTTCAAAGTTTGCAAAAAATTGTGCTTAATTTTTTTTTTAGGATACCAAACTGGCGATTTTAAAGTTTAATTACAGCTGGGTTACTGAAGTGGAGAGGGAAGAGAAAATAATAAAGGTAAAAGTATACAAATATAAACTTAATTTATTGTGCTCGTAAAAATGCTTAAGAACTAGAAGAAGAATTATTATGAATTGCTAATAACTCTTACAGACAATGATAGCAAAAAATAGTTTTTCTCTTTATTTATTTTCATAGTAATCATTAGAGATAACTAGCAACATTAATGCTTTTAATGTTTTATTACTGTGATGGCATAACATATAAGAGAAAAAGGGATTGTTTTTGTCCTAAGATAGAAAGGAATCAATCTTATTGTGACAAAATTTGTTTTCTAGGACGTGGAAAAGCAACCTTTGGAGACAACAGATAACATGAAACAACTCCAGTCAGATGACGTTAAATCCGTCGATGGGTAATATCTAAAATATTATTCTGATACTCCAAAACAATCCGGTTTACAGTTCTCTACTAGTATATGAAATGAACATTTTTTAAATCTTTTATTATTTCTTTCTAGACAATCAGTTCTTGATTTTGGCGAGGAGCCAGTTAAAAATTTGGTAAGTAGTCTTGTGTATAAATTATAAGTTTTTTCACATTCTTTGAATTTTTAAAAAATATTTCTCCCGAACACTTCATGATCTATTTCCAGGATGCAAAGTTGGAGATCTTAGAATTTAATTACAGTTGGGTAGATGAAGTGGAGAAAGAAGAAAGAATGGCCGAGGTAAATACATATCAGCCTCCTACATTTTATCTCTGATAAAAATAATTGGTACACAAGACAAATTACTTACTTGCCTGATGCTGAAATGTGGTCACTTATTATATTATTATTTATATCTATCGTGAAAAACAAAACAACCATTTGACAAACAAACAATACTAGTACCGGTATGTGGAATGAGATGATTCCTTAAAATAATGCATGAACAATTTTGTCTTCCAGGAAGCAAATGAGAGAGCTTTGGAAGCTGCAGATTTCACGAAGCAGAAACAGTGGGTGTCAGACGGAGAAAACAGAACCATTTATGGGTAATGTTTAAATCTATCAACAGAATTTTTTTAATTCAGTATTTTTGGAACAGGAATAAAGTTACTGAACTACCACGCAAGCTGACTTACCATGCTATATAGAACTATGCATTTAGACTGTTGCTGAATCTTTCACAATTTTCTTTGTAGACAAGAATTTCTGGACTTTGGTGAAGAGCCGGTTAAAAGTTTAGTAAGTAATTTCGTATTAATGACAAAATACGTGTCCATGTACAGTGCACAAGAGAATGTTTTACCGACTTCTTAATACATGTTTAAAAATATAGATACACCATATACCAATGAATAAATTTTTAAAGATACATGTATTTAAAATGCATTTATTTATATATTTTTCAGGATGCTAAGCTAGACGTTTTGAAGTTTACATACAGCTGGGCTACGGAAGTGGAAGAAAATGAAAGAAGAAAAGAGGAGGTTTGTAAACGTTCCGAATATTTTTTTTTTTTTTGAAATTCAAAGTATATAACAAGGGTATTTAATATAGTTATATCGCATTTTTAATTATGGATCGTAATATCGGGGGGTATAAATATGTTCAAAAATATCAAAATATATCTTCATACTTATGATTAGGAAACTCGATTACAAACTAAAGGACAAGAATATGGTGTAGAAAGAGAAATTCAGAAAGCAGTTCCAAAGGAAGATGCACAGGTGAAGGCGCCAGAGAAACCACAGGAAGTTACGTCAGAGAACCAGAGAAATGGGATAACAGAAAAGCTCAAGGATCCGCTCCAAGAGAAAGAGATGGATAAGGATTTAAGGTATTCCATCCCTTGTGTGTCTTTTTCAAGTAATGTTCTGTGGTCTTTTTATATGATTGTTTTTTTCATTCTTCAGTTTATTTTGTGGATTCTTAAAATCGTTTTTTAATTCATTCAGCAAACCTGCAGAACTTTGCAAAGATGAGAAGCCAGAACCAGATGTATATCAGCATGGACAGAACCTGAGTAATATACAGGTATGTTATTCTTGACTTCAGAAAAGTATTTTTTATAATAGCTAAGACAACTGAATGAAGATAAACTATTGGCGAAAAGAGATTATTGAGATTGTATATAATGAATTACACTAAGTGTTATGTCTTCATTGATTTTTTTTAAGTACTGAGTACAATACCTAATGATAAAATGATAAATACTGTAGTTATAACAAACAAATATGTTTTTAAATATTGTGTCCTTTATTTAGCAATTGACAGATGATGAGGAGGACCATTTCATTCCAAGAAGGCTCTTTCTATTCGGAATTACCGAATTCAAGGTATATACATGTTTAACCTCTTCATTTATACTCCCTATTGCTTAGATTGCCAAATGATTATAAGGTGACAGTAAATAGTAAATTGACATATTTGTCTGATTTAATAGAAATGTGGTCGTAACTCGGTCCTTTGGGCTTTTTGATACGTAAAATAGAGAAAAAGTATTTGTATTAAAATGTTTTGTTAGATTAAATTCATTGGATCTAGATTTCTATATTGTTTGAAATATTCCTAATTTCTTTTATTCTAGAATGATGCAAGACAGATCACCACTTGCAATGAAATGTCTGTGCCCATTGTTGGTTGCCCAGTAAACGAATATTCCACAACCTCCACAACCTGTACATCTGAAGCAACAATGGCAAGTTTATAATATCAACTTAAAAATGTATTCATTATTTAATAACAAACTGAAGGACTTAAAGAGGTGTGATAGCTTATCTTACTTTTTTTTTATTTCAGGCCACTGTATGCACCAATTTGAAGAAGAGCCTTCGTAGACGAATTAAGAAATTTCTTGGTTTTAATAAGACGATCACAGTTGTATAACATCAACAAAAGACTCGACATCAATGAAAAATAGAATTTGTTAATTTCATTTCATGTCTTGTCATTGGTTAAGTTTATTATCTATTAAATACATGTACCATCTGTCTATTGTTTCTGTGTTTTGTTTTTATTCCTTAATTTTTATGTTATTTCAAACGAAGTGGAGACCACATCTGTCATATTTTGTTGTATCACTAGTACTTACTGAAGGACTACAAGCCATGACATCGCACATTCAATGTGACACGATCTCATTTCAGTCATGTGTTACAGGTGAAGGTTATCGAAGCAGTTTGTCACCTTTAGAACACCTTCAGTCCCAACGCAATGAGGAGGGGGACTCCCAAAAAGAAATTAACATTAAAAAAAAAAACAACCTTGAAAAATAATTTGACTGGCCAAAAACGACTTAAACTGACATAACTCAAAAATCCTAAAGGGGGAGGGGTTGCGATTTCATCTCTTAAAGGTAGCAAATGCTTTCTGCAGTTGCAATTACTAGTCACCGCAAAAACCATTTATGAGACATGACTTCCGGATATTTAGGAAATCAACGTTTTAGGTCTTGATATAAGATTGTTAGGTTGACCTTCTTCGGGGTCAACCACATTTCCGGACAAACTGATAAGGAGTTCTCCTACGGTCTGAGAGCAGCATATAATATGTGTACCTGTTTGCAAGGACTAGTCATTTTGTTCACTGTCACATCAGTTGCTCAGTGCTTTTTCTTTGATAGTAAGTAATGGAATATTAATTACTGACTCCTTATACAACGATAAACAGCACAAAAAGTAATAGAGTTGTTCCAACACTTTGTTTTAATATGCCATACTTCCAAATCGTTCAATTCAGACGTACCACTTCACTTCATTAGGCCTATTTTTGCCCCGTAAAGATCCCTTATTTTTTTCATTCTTACTGAGGTTTATTTGGAACTTCGGCACCTCGACAGTCAACAACAACAAGAAAACCAAATGCAGGACCTGTCGTGTTGGACCCTTACGCTCATAAACTATGTCCAAAACATCTTCAACGAAACAGGTACCTAATGTATTACAGCTACGTCAAGAGATGTTATACCTTCGTCATCAGTGATCGGGCAGACTGGTTCACTGCAAAGGACGACTGTTCTAGTAAGGGCGGGAACCTGATGAACATTCACCAATCACTGGAAAACTTCTACCTCGGTGTGCGGGACCAGATTGCTCTAGGTCACACAGACAACTACATCTGGATTGGCCTGTCCGACACCATGTCCCCTGGAAGTTTTTCCTGGACTAACGGTAATGGAACTTGGTAAATGGAAGTTGATATACTTGATAGAAAGTCTAGGTCTTTCTTACTCTCAATTTCTTCCTTTCATCTGTTATAATCTGTCACAGGTCCCTTAAAGACTACGTCCTATAAACACTGGCATCCCGGACAGCCGATCCTTGACACCCCAGGGAATAACTGTGCTGCTTACAGTCATGACAATCAAGACTGGTGGGTCTTCCCTTGTAACAACACTAATCTTGGCTGGGTCTGTGAGTTTGGTAGGTTTACTTACTTTTTTATTGATTTCTGATGACTTATACAAAGTAGATAACTTTATATTTTGAACATGGAAACAATAGTCTTTCATGCATGAAATCCAATTACTTTTTGATATCAATGGCATTGTACCAACCAGAATTCGTAAAATTTTAAACTCTTGGTCTTTGTAATTTAACACATTGAAAAGGTTATCTCTACTTTATTATGGGTTTTTTTTCCAGAATTGAATGCTACGATCCCAGAAACAACTTCAACAAGCACATTAACAACACTTCATCCTACATCAACCTCTGAACCCATAACACCTGAACCGACAACACCCAAACCCACAACTTCGAAACCAACAACTCCTGAGCCCACTACACCTGAACCAACTACACAAGAACCTACCACACCTGAACCTACCACACCTGAACCAACAACACCCAAACCTACCACACCTGAACCTACGACACCTGAACCCACAACACCCAAACCTACCACACCTGAGCCAACAACACCTGAACCCACCACACCTGAACCTACCACATCTGAACCCACTACACCTGAACCTACCACACCTGAACCCACAACACCCAAACCTACAACTACTACAGAGGAAGAATCTGGAATCATTATAATTGGAAAACGCGATTACTTGTCTTCCTAAAGAACAGTTACTGATGTCTTTTCTTGTTTTCTCAGTGCTTTAAAGTTGGTGAATGAAGGTGTAAATATAGAATTTATAATGTTTTCGTAATTATCTTACTATTGTTATTTTATTACCGGGTATTGCTAATTGTGGTCTAGTGTCAGTCACATAGTATTAGGGGAGTCCACTCTATTATGATGTTATTATATTTAGATGTAAAGCAATTTTTACTTTAAAACCTCACTCACAAAAAATGTTTATTGAAGGTAAGGGACATCTACGATAGTTCGAAACATGGGATAATTTGCATAACGGACCAAGCCCGTTATGCCCAAGTTATCCCACGTTTCAATTACTAGTATCATTAATGTTCCTGGCATACCCTACAATCTAGACGGTGATTCCTTATATTTACATTATATTTTGAAATAACATTTTAAATTTAGATTTCAAAAATGTTGTCAAATAGATTTAAATCACAAGGCATACCATGTCAATTTCAAGTCTCCTCGCCCACTGACGTCAAATACAAATACAGATGCACGATATTTACATGTATTACTCATAACCTTTGCCTTGACAAAATTTACATTCCAGTTGAATGATCAAGAAACCACCTCACCTAATTCTTAAGAGTTATCACAGAGAAAAAAAAATAGAAATGGAAATATAACGTTAAATATAATTCGTGATATTCATTCCTAGAGGCAGTATCAAAGGAAGTTTGGCCGATTTATTGTAAGAGGCAAAATAATTTAGCAGTTTTCATGTTCAGTTCGATAGCTAGCCTCAGCAAAACATCCGCCATTAGTTATATATCGTACATGCATGCAATACCCACTTGGGTCGTGGCAATGCATTTCAAAGAGATACAGATTTTTTTTAAAGTATATATGCATCATTAATGGTATTATTCATGCACTTTTTCTCTTCATCAATAAAATGTAGAAATAGTGAAAATGGTAAAATGATAAAAGCTGAGGTATATTTACTACTTATCACTTAGTAATTAATTTACTCTTTTAAAGAACAAAGCTGAAAAGCAGATGAAAAACATCAATGGCGCTATACAATTTAATATAGAGCGTTTTTGCAAGATAAGCCATTACGATAGAGTTGGGTCAGTATAACTCTGCATAATCACTCATTCAGGAAATATCGATTGCATTTACATAGTCCAGACAATGGCATTAAAAATATATCGAGTTAAAATGCATTTTTAAACATGGAAGAAAACCCAAAAAGGAACCTAAGGAAATCGACGCCGGGACATTCTGTTGCAGTGCTGCAAATAAAAATTTCATAGAAAAGTTATTGATTTGATTGATTGTATGTTGTTTTAACGTCCCTCTCGAGAATTTTTCACTCATAGGAGAGGCCACCACTTGCAGTTGGAGAACTAAAAAATTTGTCCTATACTCGGCACTTAGGGCCATTGAGCAGTGAGGGATCTTTTTCGTGCCAGCACCTACTGCGACACGGGACCTCGGTTTATACGGTCTCATCCGAAGGACCGGTCTCCACGTCCCACAATGGGATTCGAACCCACGACGTAAGGATTGACTCGTTACTTTGCAACTCTAGAGCAGACGCTCTAACCAATACGCCACGCGGGCGACCATAGAAAAGTTATTATCAGAAAGTGAGCATGGGGAAATGAAATGAAAGGAAATCGTCATGATTTTCCGGATAATAATGATGTGGTAAAAGTGTATGATAAATAAAAATTGAGATTTTTTTCAAACAAGTAAAAATGCTTTGAATATGCTCTACTGCTGCAAATGACACAAAGATATGTTTTCTACATTTTGCACCGCGGTTTCTTGCAGCACAGCCTACACTGCAAAAACCATCGGCATTATCACGTGACGAAGATCCAGGGTATCTGCACATGCACGTACGTGGTTCATCTTGAGAGGCCTGCATCTTCATTTTGGTGACAATAAATTCTTATCATTCATCAATGACTTTTTTATTTACATCGATGAATCTATTTATGAGCAAATGCTGTAAAATGTCTATTTATTTAATTTTTTTAAATAATAATTCATTTTGTTTTAAATGTCATTGCAAGTATTCCTATCTTGTAGTTGACAATGAAAAAAATGTAAAACTACTGAAATATACAGGAATGGGGAACTTTGCTGAAGTTTTCGAAATATAAAACGTGTAAAATGTCTATTTAATTTTTTTTAATAATAATTCATTTTGTTTTAAACAGCTTCTCAGTGTGTTTAAAACTACAAATATACAGGACATGGGCGATTTCAAACAACATTGAATGAAAAACATGCTTTACAAGTAAATGCAAAACAAAATAATTATAGAATTATTCGTTGAGTTATATGTATGGTATATCTGTAAGAATTAAGTTATTACTAAGAACTTTGTATGGAAGTCATTGGTTCCGTTTCTTGTGAATGTTTCCTTTCTCTCCGGGAGTCGAATTCGGACTTGAGCAATGACGTAAGACCGTCTGAGTGCCTTTTTATTGGCAAATTGGCAAAACCTGTAAAAAGAACATAATTATTTACAAGAACTGGAATGGACACGGCTATCACAAATATCCCTGAGATGGCGCACAAACACCCTATGAATCTCCCCGGAATATTCTGCGGATAGGAATCGCCATAACCAACTGTTGTCATGGTAACAATAGCCCACCATATTGCATCCGGTATGGATTCAAATGTGGCTCTATCCGAGTAGAACCCGATGGATGAAAAAATCAGAGCGGCTACAAGTAAGTTGAAAATCATCAGCAACATGTTTTTTAGACTTGCACGTACTGAATAAATTAAAATGCGAAATCCAATAAAATTTTTTACTAAACGAAAAAGACGAAACACTCGAGCTATCTGAATGCATTCTACGATATCCAAAGCGGAAAATTTGATGTACTTTTCCTTGGGAAATATGTATTCAAATGTCATAGTGGCAACTTCCGAAGAAAATGCTATGACGTCAATGATATTAAGTAAAGATGAGAAAAATTTCGATTTTTTCGGACAAAACGTTATTCTTATAATAAGTTCCACTCCAAAATAGGTCACCATTCCATAGTCCAGATAATCCAAATACGTGTATCTCGCAACTGTGTTTGGTGGTGGCATAAGTTCCGCCGTTTTATTTTCGTGGTCACCATCAAAAGAGTTATTCAGTTTTAAGTCTGACAAAAATGAAAATGTATGATTCCGTTTTGTTGGTGCTTTAGGTGACACTTTTTTAACTTGGCTGTTGTCGGATTTTCTGATTGGCTTGTTACGGAGACCTTTGACCTGTGCCAGCATTTCCGGGTCAGAACTGTAGTAAGCCTCGAGTTCGTCATACTGTAGTTCTCTCTGGAACGCCGGGTGAGTACTCACACAGAGAACGAATATAGACATTAGTATGACGAACGCTGACACACCAACGTATATCTGTAAATCAAATAATGTTTCGTGAACTGATAGTGAACATCAGTTAAAATGTACACAAGGCAATAGTTTAAGCAAAGAAAGTGAAAGGTTTCGTTGTAAAATTTCAAGTACACTGTACACAAACATTCGGATCAGAAAAGTTTTAATATTTGGAATTGTACTATTGTGCACCTAAATTAGTTTGCTTTTAAAAAAATGATGATGAGAAAAAATATTGTATTCTCGTAGTATACCCGCATATTAGAATTTTATGGATCATACCTTTGCAGCAACAGAGGACGATGGGTCGTCAAGAATCCTCCAGACTTTACTCTGAAATTTCTCCAGCTTACTCCTCCCAATTTTTGGAAGTTTTCCTACGCCTGTGGACTTTTTCTCGTCCTCCTCAAATGTTTTAAGCAATTTCTGATCTTCAAAAAACGAAAGGTATTTCATGTAACAGCACTGAGAGAGTTTACTTGGATCCACAGACCAAAACTCCAGTTCCTTTTTAAACACGGCTGGGCATATAGAATTAGGCATATGAAGTTCTCCGTTAGTATAATACCAAAGAATGGATTCAAAACAGTCTGCATGGCGCTCTAGAAACACCTCACCTTGACCATCTTCGCCATATCCCAGACAAGCAATAGGTAATCGCAGGAACGTGGAACGCTTCAAGCGGAACACCCTGCCGTTCAGATTTAGATCAATGATGGCATTTTCCATGGCAATGGCTGCAATACGACTTTTTCATACGCAACTCCGTTCACTGCGATCTTTGCTATAAACATTTATCTCCATACAATAACAATAATGTTCAGCTATAAAAATCGATGTCATTCATTTTCCGATGCTGAAAATGAGGCGTCCAAAGCACATGGTCGGAGAGGGTTTCCTTTCGATATCGATTACAAGTAAGAGCTAAGGGTGGTCCGGCGGCGTGGAATGGCTATTCCGTTGTGTTGATTATGTTGATACCCAAATATAAACAAGACAAAGATCAGATACAAAATGGGGATGCAAACAGACGACACGGCGGAGCATTGACCACAATCAATACACTGCATGTATTCTTAATATAAAAAAAAAAGCCGTCAATAAAATTATGTGTCAAAAAATGCATAAAAGAGTGGTTACTTATCACACGTTATGTTTCTTTATCTCTCAAAAGACAATGAGATCTTTTTTAATATGCAAAGAGAACGATGTCCCAAAACACGAACACAAAAGCGAAAGAATCGAGTCTCGACACACAAATACAATTGTTTAAATCCAATTACTGGCCTGCAGGAGTTGTTTGTAAAGAACTAGAAACTGACAACAGCATTATCCAGACCAAAATATTCTCAAATATAGGGATAAACCACTAGTTTGAACTGAATTAAGTAACTGTTTAGTACTGACTGTTGGAAAAGTTGCCCGTAAAAATGCAATAACATAACAGTAAAGTTCTCCCTAACGATCGATAAAAATGTGGTTGAGGCAGATGCCACATGCAGGTATAACAAGAAGCAGGTTAGCTGGGTTTTCTGGTCAACAAGGATATGAGTATAAAGCGAACCCTTTTACTTTTCGAAAAGAAGGTGAAAATAAATAAGAGATACTCTCTAAAATTAGAAATATCTCTTTAAAATTGAGATATCTCTCAACTTTGAAAGATATCTCTCTAAGAGAATCTTTCATCTACAGAAATGTATTTCACTGACAAAGATACATGTATTTCTTAATTAGAGATGATGATACCTTTCTCTTAATCAGCTCCACGTGTTAAACGGGTATGCTTGAAAATATAATTTTGATTTGTTTTTGCATCTATATTCCATGTGAAAAATTTTCATTGTTTAAGAGACATCTCTTCAAGATAAAAAAGTGTTTCTTCCGCCAAAAGAGATATATCTTTCTCCTTCAGCCAGAAGAAATATCAAATAAATGATAAAAAGAGCCCTACTTGTAATATCAAATAAATGATAAAAAGAGCCCTCCTTATAAGACAATAAAAGTCAACACTATGAAAAAGAACTCTTTTACTTATAAAATTGATGTATACGGAGTCAAACAACAGACTGAGCAGGGATAACATGGAAATTCTACGACGGAAGAATGATGTGGAGCGAAGTAGTCTCCCATTGGTAAACTAAAACTAGAACTAGAACAAGATATATATGTCCATTGAAATATAGGGAAAGTAAAATAAATTCTTTAACGATAAAATTTTGGTTTTGAGAAATTTATTGATTTTATGTAAAATATCATAAACAAGTGAGCACTATAATAATTATATTTTCAAACAAGGCACTTGGGATACATTAATTATATAAAGTTAAACGTCAATGTATAATTAAATACTTGTTAGTTTTAATACTGTAGTAAGAATATATATAAAGGTGGCTAATAAACTTAAAATTTGAAAATTAGGTATTTTAACACTTAAAATCACAACGAACATGCATAAGAAAAGTTATTTTCGAGGCACCCCCATTTGCCAAGAACTGAAGGGAAGGGAGGGAGGGGTGTCATCTCAGGGTGGTTCGTGGAATGTAGTCGGCCTCCTCCAGTGTGTCGGATATCGCCTCTTCCAATCTGCGCGCCTCCTCAAACATCCGTTGTTGTAGGAGGCGCTCTCTCTGCTCGCGCATCGACTTCACTTCCTGTACACGCTGGTCTCGGAATCTCTGCCATTCTTCCCACTTTTTATGCAGTATTTCTTTGTATTCGTCCTGTGCTTTTAACAACTATTGAAGAGATTGAAATTTTTTTCAGGAAATATCTGTGTGTTTGTGCGTGTGTGTTTTAAATATATCTTGAATTAACTGTCAAGTAAAATTGGGAGTCAGTATATGTTTGCAGAGAGAGATACAGTGGAAAATGATAAAATGATAAAAAAAAGTATACCAAATCAGTCCTTTTCATTTCTTCTCTCTGCATTTGTTGTATATCCCTTTCGCCCTTGTCAACATGAGAAACGTGATCATCGACATGTTGCACGTGACCTGTAATTTCATCCAATCGTTTTTCTAGACGAGAACCAATTCGTTCTATCAACCGCCGTATCCGGTCTTCTGCAGCATCTATATGACAATGCAAACAAATAAAAAAACTTATCAAAAGTATCAGTAATAGTTTTGATATAAACAAGCTACGTATCATGTCATTAAAATTGATTCCGTTTCATATATCGTACCTTCATCGCCCTCCATCTTCTCCCGAGATGCGTAGACTATATATCTCTGAACTAGCGTACATATGACATTCTGTAATTAAGAAATCGGACAGTCTTTAATACCTTTTTTAAGGAAAAAAGGATACATCCTAGATTTAAAGGCTGAGGGGCCAAACACAACTGCCATTATACATGAGAATCGTGAAATAGGAACCTAATTTATTCGTTTCTCAACTCCTTGCTCTTTCTGTGGATTCAAGAGATGATAGAATGACCTGTCTATGATTGACAAATAATTTACCACCAAGCCGAAATGAAAAGTCTTTCATGAAAATGATCCATTGATTTCTAGGTGCTTTTGGGTGCAAAAGAAGGGACATATAGATCGAAAAGGGAAAACATCAATCAGATGTTAAGACATTAAAGCAGATAAATTTAAAGAGACCTGTCTGGAATTCGTGCATGCAGATGAAATTTTCATTTCTTCATCAAGTTTCTGGAAATATAGACAAAAATGAATAAAACAAAATAAATTTTACTATCATTACCAACAATTTAATTGTACAAATTTTACTTTGTATGTTTAATAACAAATTTCATGCACACACAAATACTTTAACCTTTAATCTTTTGTTTATTTTCAGTTTACGTTTCCTGCAACAAGTGCAGATTAGCCATATTTTTCTCCAAGCCTTGCACAAAGTTTGGACCGTAGGGATAATATTGAATGGTGGGGCCACTGGACATCCGGGCTCTATAAATGTCATCCACAGTTCCGTACGCGCAAACTTCCACTCTATATCTCTCTCATCCTACAAGATACATTGAAAAATCGATTTTATTCTTAAAATATCTTTGAAAAAAAAAGATAAACTTTATTATTATTCAACACGGACATTTGTTGTCACTGACCAGAAATGTTATCCAATCATTTAAAATTGCTTTTACCTGAACCTCTTGGAAGGTGTTGCTCATTACTGCAATTAGTAAATTCATTAAAACAACACTTGCGGCAAAAACATAAACGCCGTATATAGCTGTTCCAAACCATTCCGTTGATGAAATTCGTGATGGATTGTTCGTGATGGAACTCATGGGGGCGCTTCTATTCAAATCCGGGGTATTGCCCTCTCCAAATCCCAGGAGAGACCATACCAGAACGAAAAATGCACCGCTAAACCTAAAAAAATAAATATATTTGACAGATGTTTTATTGGTTTGGAGAGAAGAATACTGTTAATTTACAAGTACATTTCTCGTATGCCATAAAACTTCACCCCTGGAAATGCGGTGTCTGACAAACATGAGCAGCGTAGAGAGCAGCCAGTCCGCAGGAGAAACTCAACAAAATGAGAACGAACATCGCCAGAAGTTTAACCAGGTCCCCAAACGTTCTTCTGAAGGAGACGAGCATTGTTCCAAAGGTTTCATTGGCTGGCATGATGAAGGAGATTCTAGCAATACTGAGAATAATCCCGGCAGAAAACATAATATCCGAAATCAACTCCGGGTCCGGAACCCAGCTAGGCGACCATTCAACTAGAATTAGAAGCAACAGTTCATATAACAAACTTTTATTAAGATAAACTGGTATTAACAATGATTCAAATCAAAGGTAAGTTGTTGATTAAGTTTGCAACATTATTTACATTTCATTACTGTTTTTTTCCTCGAAATCAAAGCACTAAATTTCATGAAATAAATAGTTTAAATCTCTTCAAAAGGTTTTCAATAAAAGTGACATTTGAATATGTGTAATTGTTTATAAGGCACCAAAACAATTTATTTAAATTGACCTCCAACCGTTGCTGTGGGACATTGGTGCTCGACTGAGAAATAACTTTTCCCCTCCTTGGCCTCGTAACAGAACAAGAGTTGATTGATGTTGATTTCTCTTCCCGTAGAAATATTATAATTCAGCTGGTGATGGGCTAAAGTCCTTTTTAATCTTAAAGGAATGACGACATCTAACGTAAATGACGTCAGGAGTAACGTCAGCATTAAAAAGTCGATTACATTCCAGACAGACCGGAAGTAATCTCCAGCACCTTGGTCATACAACTGTTTTACTTCTTCCCAAATCCAGCCTGAGAAAAATTTTAACATATATTGAACTATTGCTTAAGAACAACCGGTACAGACTTGCAGGTCCTCTTTGCATTGCTTCACTAGACTTACCTATGATCCACATGAATATGATGACGATGAAGGCGTAACTAACAGGGTTGGTTTCTTCACAGCCCAGGGAGACCCACATGTTACTAAACTGGATTTTGCCCAACACTATCAGACACAGGAACGAGATGTAGGAACACGTGTAACTCAGGAAGCGTGTGGAGGGGGTGTTCAGCAAAAGTGTCACCTAGAGGAAAATATTGACATTAATTGGTTAACTGAGGGAGCGTGTAGAACAAACGGGTCACCTGAAAAAATGTTGAGGCAGCATGTGGAAGGGATTTTAGAAGGCCACCAAGAGGAATGTTAACAAAGTTTGGTAAACTGAGAAAGTGTGTAGAGCGGGTGTTCAGCAAGTATATCAACCAAATTTTTATTAACTGAAGAAGCATGCAGAAGGATTCAGACTAGTGCCTAGGAATGCTAACAAAAGTTTTTGTTGACTTTTTTTGATTAATGGTTCAGCAGAAATGCCACCTGTTGCATGTTTTAAACATAAGTTTGGTTAACTGAGGATGTCAGTGGATGGAGTGGTTATGCATGATCGACAACACTGTCACTATGAGGAAAATAAACAGAAGTTTGGTTAACTGAAGAACTGTATGGAGTGAATGTTTAGTAGTAGTGTCATCTTGGGCCCTGAAGGAAAGTTAACAAAACTTTGGTTATTTGTGAAGGGGTGTTCAGCAAGAGTATCACCTGAAGGAATGTGGCCAAAGTTTGGATAACCAGGGAAGCATGTTGAGGGAGTGTTAAGTAATGGTAAAGTTAAAGGTCACCTGAGATTACCAGGTCTTATTGAAATTGAGAAGACATTGTGACCATGGAAACCAAATGATTCTGAGAAGCTAAAGGAATATTTTCATGTTAATGCGCTTTTTTTCTCGTTATTGATGGATTTTTTATAAATTCACTGATTTTTAAAACGTTGGTGAAACACATTTTAATATTGTTGGATTTTTATCGACATAAAACAAAATTAATTAAAAGTCTCAAGATGAATCTATCATAAAGATACAAAGTCATCATGCATGCTTCAGATAGATTTAGATATCTTTCATATAAGATTGATCCTTTTGTTATCTCAAAAAATTGTGTAATGCGTATTGATAGTCGAAATAATGAACAGCTGTAACATGTAAGTTTTGGTCATTGACTGTTTTTAAACAAACTTTTTGTTGACGGATTCAATCGACAAAAGAATGAAATGTCACATGGAGAATTGACTGCTCCAGATGTAATATTAAAACTTTGATAAATGTATTTGAATATTGTCATACCTTGCTCCAGGGTGCGAGGATAAAAACTAAAGACAGGATGGGCAATAGCAGCATTCCAGCAGGAATTGACAACAACAGGAATTCGAACCGATTCAAATGGCGCATACCTTTAAGACCACTGAACCACACAGCTGATACCTGAGCCTGGCATTTCGGGTGCGAAACAAACTGAAAATTCAATCCAATATACATGTATCTAAATCCTTTTAAAACACAAATTAACACAACATTTTTTATTTAAAATTTTCAGATACACTGTACCTTTTTCTGTTCCATTCGAAGAGCGACTTGCAGTATAGGAAAACTATCGCTTAACGACTTTTCGGTTCCTTCAGGCGAGTCTAGAAGAGACTGCACTTCTCCTGAGGTGCGACATTGGTTTAACAGGTCGAGGGTGAATTCTTGTACCTGTGCATCCAATTCTTCATACGTACTCTATACAAAGCAAAAAAAGCAAGAATTCAAAACGTGTATACTGTTATTTCAATTATTTTAAAGGGGAGTCATCAATGAAAAAGTAATGTTGCAGTAAAAATATAAACTATTATAACAGGTGTCTATAATATGTCAACAATTTAAATGCTAATTAATTTCATAAATCATACAAGAGGCCCACGGGCCTTATAGGTCACCTGAGCATTATGCAACAACTTTCCAGTTACAGTGTATTGAATTTGATTCATGTTTTAAGCCAGGGGGGTTTTCTCGAAGTTAAACTTCGTGATATGTCAATTGGGTTACATGTCCTTACCCTATTCTAAGTAAAATGATTGTTTTGTTCATGATAATATTTTTGCCAGATTGCACCAAGAAAACAAAGAATAATGATCATCAATGAAAAAGTAATGTTGCAGTAAAAAAATAAACTATTAAAAGGTGTCTATAATATATCAACAATTTAAATGTTACAATCATGGAGAGGAAAAGGAATTTCATAAATCATAAAAGTCATTTGCGTCTTCTTTATTATAGAGCTCAAGAGCTGATAAACTTATTTCATTAATTTGATCCATTTCTTCGAATACCTTATATTCAGTTTCCATGACCTGAAGCTGTTTGAACTTTTTGCTGAGGTAGAAGGATGCCATAACAGGATCTTCCTCATCAAGGAAATATACGCGGGAGCAGAGAAGAAGATTTTCAAAGAATTCATGTAATTTCACTATATAATCAATAGAGCCCCCCCCCCAACACCAGAACCCTTGATGATAGGGCCATTAAATTCACAATTTTGGTTGAGGCACACTTGCTCATCATAACTATGCACTTAGTTAGTTTATATAATACAGGAGCAGAGAAGAAGATTTTCAAGCACTATATAATCAATAGGACACACACACCAGAACCCTTGACCCTGGGGCCATAAAATTCACAATCTTGGTTGAGGAACACTTGCTTATCATAACTATGTACTTAGTTAGTTTATTTAATACCTAGCGAAACTTAGTTAGTTTATTTAATACCTAGGAGCAGAGAAGAAGATTTTCAAAGAATTCATGTAATTTCACTATATAATCAATAGCACCAGAACCATTGATGCTGGGGCCATAAAATTCACAATTTTTGTAGAGGCACTCTTGACTATGCACTGGTTTATTTAATACCTAGCAGAGAAGAAGATTTTCAAAGAATTCATGTAATTTCACTATATAATCTTGTCTCTGCTCATCATAACTATGCACTTAGTTAGTTTATTTAATACCTAGGAGCAGAGAAGAAGATTTTCAAAGAATTCATGTAATTTCACTATATAATCAATAGAGCCCCCCCCCCCCCATTGATATAAAATTCACAATTTTCGTCACTTCTCTGCTCATCATAATTATTTACTGCCCAGGGGCAGAGAAGAAGATTTTCAAAGAAATCATGTAATTTTACTATATAATCAATAGGCTGGGGCCATAAAATTCACAATTTTGGTAGAACTCTTGCTCATCATAACTATGTAATTAGTTGGTTTATTTAATACCCAGAAGCAGAGAAGAAGATTTTCAAAGAAATAATGCATTTTCACTATATACTTATTTAGCCCCGCCCTAGCACTAAAACCCCTGACCCCAGGGCCATGAATTTCACAATTTTGGTAGAGGACTCAATGCTGATTACATCATGCAAATAGTTTGACTGCTTGATGTCCAGGAGTAAAGAAGAAGATTTTTAAAGATTGCATTAATTTTAGTGGTTTTGGCCCCACCCCTCAGGCCCCAGGGGGCAGGGATCATGAAATTCACAATTTTCGTTCCATGTGCCATCATTTGAACAATTTGAGCTCAAGAGCTGATAAACTTATTTCATTAATTTGAACCATTTCTTCGATAAATGTCTTCACCATGATTCATTTGAACAATTTGATAATGCATTTTCCCCCTGACCCCAGGACACAATTTTGGTAGAGGACGCTGACAATCATGCAAATAGTTTGACATGTCCAGGAGTAAAGAAGAAGATTTTTAAAGATTGCATTAATTTTAGTGGTTTTGGCCCCACCCCTCAGGCCCCAGGGGGGCAGGGATGAAGTTGTTTCTGATTGCTGCTTTAATGAGTGCTTCCTTCAGCATTTTATTTACTGTTATTTCAGATTGCTGGCTGAGTTTAGACCTCGTTGATAAATCATCATCAAACACTTCCGACATTTTGTCGCTATTTGGGTTTGTAATTCCTTCAATGGAAGAATACTCGTTTGCATTCTCTTTTGATTGCAATGAATACTGATAAATGGAATTTTCCAGCAAAATTTGGCAGATCTCTTCTCGATCATTTTCGACTGCGCAAAGCAATCCTTGATGGATGACCTTAGGTCCCACTTTACCTGAAAGGAATTCCACCAAAGAAACATGACCACTTGCTATGGCGAGGTCTAGGGCTGTTCTTCCTTGAGTGTCCTCAAGATCTGGAGAAATCGTCCCAGAATTTAACAGATTTCGGACTAAATCCTCGTCACCTAATTCACAGGACTCTAAATACTTCCTTTCCACATCTAGTAGACCAGGCCTCAACCTCTCCGACAAAAGGTTGATCAAATTCGGCTTCTTGCTCATAGTTATTGCAAGTACTGCACGTACGGGACATATAAATATTCTGTTTATTCGGTATGCATGTTAGTCCATGCAGTCAAGAATGCATTTTGTCGTTACCGAGAAAATGTGCTGTGACATTTTTATACTTTATTTGTTCGTTCAATTTTATTGGTTAAACAGCTGGTTGGGATGCTGGTAATATGATAATCACATATTGTCTTTATATTGATACACTGGCGTGAAATTGATCGTACACACAATTAACCACAATTTCTACATCGAGGAAATGAATCGGAAAAGATTGGGATAATTTCTACAAAAAATATTTGCTCTCTGTTTTAATACACTATGTTGTGTAACACAAGAAACCTTGTTGAGATATAATTTTTATACATTTGAAATGTTATCTGGAGATGAAATATTGAGGAATTTTTTACTCAAAGAAATTGATAGACGCTTCAAGTAAATCAAAATATCTTTGATTTATATTTGAAAAAAGCTACTTGGAAATGAAATTTATGTAATCGTTTCAGAGTAGAAAATGTTCAAAGGTTTACATACGACTGACGAGATATCAGACAATGAAGAACACCGGAGAGAAACATATAGGAATGGGGAAGACCTTACACAGCGACTTCTCAATCAATGAACAAAAAACGTGTTATGTAATCGGCTAATCAAAATTAACTCGGTTAATTTACTTCTAATTTAATTTAATAAAAACGAATCTCTGGCTGATATTTGATTACTTTTTTTCATTTCATTTTTTGTTTTCTTTATATGTACTCTACACAAACCATAAAGGTTTGAGGAGCGGGTTCGTTTTAAACACACAGCCAAAATGGATCAAACTTGCATGTATGAAACATCTTAGGGAGCACACCGATGGACTTGATATGGATGTTACATCTGGCCTACAGTTTCCAGATCAAGGACCAGGCTATTTTTTTGTCGGAGCGGGTCCATTACCAAAAAAATATATACATACAGTATCAACCAATCTTGCAAGGATGTTGCGTCAAGGGTTAAACATTCTCAAACTTGCTTCAGATGCTCAATTTGAATGACATTTTCTGGATGAGTGCCTTGTTTAAAGTATTTGAATAAGTTCATTCCCAAGTTAAGAAATAGCTATTGCAGAAACTAACATGACTAATAATTATTTTTTTTTTGTTTTGCGTGGCTGTTATGCATTTCTGATTTAATCACAATTGCCTTATTCTGGGTCTGCAACTGGTTTTTCCATGGAAATAAGATCTGCCAGACATTTTAAGGAAATAAATGGAAGTTTGTTACGGTATTGTGATTTTTCCTTTTATGCCATTATAAATCGAAGGTGCTTTTTCTCCCTAGATCGCGATGCGTAAAATGGAATCATCTCTTTCGCTTAATGGTAAAATTACATTATACACGGAAAGAACATATATTAGTTAAGTAAAAAATGAATTTGTACATCGTTTAGTCACTAGTCTACAGAAACTAGCGTTTTAACAAGCGATCCAGAGAATTTTTTTTTTTTTACTTTTTCAAAAGCAGAGTAAAATTACAAGGGCAACAACTCTCTTTTGATGCCCTATTCCTAATTATGTTCCCCAAACGAAGTTGGGGAACATATTGTTTTTACTCTGTTTCTTATTAAGGTCTTCCGACTTCCTTCGGAAGACCTTATTGTTTTCCGTCGGTTTCCTATTATTATTATTATTATTATTATTCTTTTTTTCATTTTTATGGCGATATCTCAGCTCTGACTGTACGGATTTCAAAGATTTTTACAGAAAAGATGCAGCAGGTTAATATCTCCAGACGTGTTTTTCATTTTTTCAAAATTTTTCTCCGTTCGCGATTTTTGGGGGAATTTGTATTTTTTAAATGGATTTTTGTACACTACTTTTCTCGAAAACGGCTAAAGATATGACATTGAAACTTATGGACATGAAAGAACATCAAATGTAAATGTGCCGAACGTCCTTCGTTTTTTGTCGTTTCTACTTCCGGTCGCAAACGGAAGTGAATTCAAAAAGTCCAATTTTTCAACTTCTTTGTTTTTCAATATTTTTCTTTCGGATTCACAGGGTTTATAGAGCGTCTTCAAAGATATCTATACATGTTTTTATTTTCTTCATGCGTGTGTTTATTGCAAAGATATGACCAAACCAAACTTTGTCTTACTGTCGGGGGTTCGAATCCCGCTCGGGGCGTTCCCCAAATTTTTTCTTTGTTTTTGTCTTTTTTCAGTTGCAAATTACTTTTCACTCTTTTATAACATGTGTGGAACATTTTGCCGATTTTTAAAAGCTATATTTGGAGATATTTTGTGAAATACCTGGTGTGTAACAATCACGATCTGTGTTGAGAAACTACTGTAAATGAATGTAAACGAAAAAATACATTCTGAAAACTTTTTATGGCATGATGCTGCATAGAACTCTAAAGAAAAGTCGGTCGGAAGGACGTCTCTCGCCCCTCTCACCTACTTGTTGCCCTTGCAACAAGAACGCATCTAGTTATTATTATTATTATTATTATTTTTCTTCTTCCTGGGAAAAGTTTGTCCACGAGTGATCTTGTAAACTACACATCCGACTAAGGTAAAATGTTTTTAGGGTCAGTAGACATGTTATGTAGATTTGCCGAACGAAGGTCATTTTGCGCGCACGTGCTTGCAAGAGCGCGCACGTGCAACACGAAAAATGACCAATATAATGGATATTGCTGTAACTTTTCTTTTTCTTGATGAATTTTTTTGAAACTCATAATGTAAGGACACATTAGTAGTATAGACAGGATGGCATGGTCAAAATAGCAAGATCTCACGCGCATGCACGTGCGCTTCGCTCTGATTGGCTGAAACTAAAACCTCAATATCTTTCTTGTTTCTTGTCATAATCTTTTGAAATTTTGAACATAGTCCTACATTATGAAGGTCTACAGCATGATATATAAAAATATTCATGAAAGCATGCGCATGGGTCTTGCTCTGTCTCGTCCGTCCTGCTGCTTGTTGTTCGTCGTCCGTCCGTCCGTCCGTCCGTCCGTCTTTCTGTCTGTCTGTAACGCTTTCGTTTCCACACGATAAAACCCTTCGCGCATGCTGCAATCTGATTGGCTGAAACTTTAAATGGCTATATCTCCTTTGTTTTTTGACGAAATGCTTTGAAATTTAAAACATAGTCATGCATTAGGATATCTAAAATATGATATAGAAAAAAATCATGAAATCACGCGCATGCACGTGTGCTGCAATCTGATTGGCTGAAATTTTATATGGCAATATCTCCTTTGTTTTTTGACGAAATGTTTCGAATTTTAAAATATAGTCATTCATTTAGATATCCTTCAATACGATAAAGATAAAAATTTATGAAATCACACGCATGCATGTGGGCTGTAATCCGATTGGCTGAAACTTCAAATGGCTATAACTCCCTTGTTTTTCAACCAAAAGGGATTTGATTTAGAACATAGATAAATATAAGGGACTCCTACAAGAAGGTGTAGTCATTATGCACGTGCTTGCGCGTGCGTGCACGTGAAATGAGTAAAATTATAAATACACTCGAATGAGTGTATTTTTTAATACTTTTGGATTAAATGCTTTGAGTATATTAAAATTTTAGATAGTGTAGACAAGATAATATGGTCGTTACGCACATAAACACGCGTGCAATGCCTATTTTTAGATATATTTTGTATTTTTCTTCTATAAAGTATTTCTTATCTAATAGAGATTACAGGGAATATGGCACCAAAAGGACTTGGGGAGCGTTTGGGGAACATCTGTAACGGTCCCCGTTACAATTAGCACTAGTTTTATTTGCCGTCTTTTTATAGTAGGAAAAAGGCAAGCATCAACCAACCTTAACTGTTCCAAAGTCAAGGATATGTATGAGTGCAGGAAAGATAACTCTATCAGAGGTGAATGATCAGAAAGACTGTACAGATGCAATATACGATCAATGTAAATTTTAATGAAAGAAGTAAAGGTGCATCTTTGCAAAAGTACTGCTCACCGAACAGTCTACTTTTTAATTATGACTAAAATCTCTGCTTGATTTTATTTTTGTTAACAGATACAGTAAGAGGAACCAAAAGAAGATCGAGGCTTTTAGAGACTTGACCATCATGAAGACTTTTCCTGTAGGTTAATTAGTGAGAGAGGCTGCAAGTGATCTTATCCCCCTCTCCCCCCCCCCCCCCAAATAATGATACCTTTACCCTATAAAATTGTTTGCTTTGTTTTGTATACATTTGATTAACAATGTGTTAGGGATAATAAGGGATTCTATACAATTGTTCTTGGATAGTCCCCTATCTCCATCCATGCTGAGGTTACACCTATTGCTGTTTCTTAAGCAGGCACGTAACATTGGGGGGGGGGGGGCTCCTCCCATTTTTTCCAGACTTAACATTTTACAATAGAAAACGTTCATTGAAAGCCCAATCCCTTTTTTGTTGCAGTAAAGTCAAGTAAAGCTTATTCAGTATGTTTGAGTAAAAACAATAGTTGGTACTGAAAGACGTTGGAACCTACTCACCCTCCATCCCCTCCCAGTTTGGACAATTTTTTTTAAAAATCTGAAATATATATTCATCTATATCAATTCAGTGTAGATTGTTTCCTACAAGACTGGCTCTGTTTGTCTCTTCATGCTTCATAATAAAAAAAAATGCATTTATAGCAAATATCAGACATGCAAGGCTTAGGTACCGCACTTAAATTGTTTCCAACAACCCTTTTCCACCTTCCCTCTTTTAAAATAGGAAGTTTGGAGATTTTTCAGAACAAAAGCTCACCTCCACCCTCACCCCTTCTACTTTATCTGTGCCCTTCAAATCAAACAGCAATTACCTCTATAAATCACTTTTGAAAAAGAAGCCAATTTTCTCCTTAAGAATTAATATTTCATAACTGTACCATAAATAATCGTAAAACATCCCATCACCACACGTCTAGATTAATTGCCCTCTAATTATAAACATTCTAGCATAACCAGCTTTTTCCAGGAGAAAAAAAAACAGATAAGAGAACAAATGAAACAGCTTCAGAGGTTTTGATTCACTGTTATCCTTGGGTTCATAAGCAAATTAAATTGATTGGATTAACCGCTTATGAGATATATGCCATCTGTAGTATATCAGTCTCGTGTCTGAGACAGTGCTCGGATGGACCTTCCTAAGACTTGCTGACTCAGTTTCTGTGGATGACAGTTTCTGGCTTTCCCTGCCTTCAGAATAACAGGAAAATGATTGACATTACAGTTATATCCAGTGTGTATTGATTTACATGGTGAATTTTGTGGAGGGAAAACACTTGGACAATTAACTGTGAAGCCCTGGTGAGTATAGTTTTCTTATATTTTTCGAGATGATATAATGTTATTAGCTACTTGTCATAATCCATATTATTTCCTTTTCTTTTTTAAAGAATCTTTCTTTTTTTTATAAGAGAAACAAGTTTGATCTATTTCTTAATTCTTTCTGTGGAAAGGAGAGTTTATAATCAATATACAAATATTTGTTATAAATGTGTGTGGTTTAGTATGTGTACATATCAATATTAATACAAATGATTATCATACAAATATTAATCATTGTTATTTTTACATTTCATTTTTTCACATTTGTTCAAATATGCTTTAATTAAGCTAATTAAATTTGAAGGTGCCATTATATTTTACCAATTTTTCTCAATGATGGAATCATTTAAATTCCAGACATATATATGAATTATTGATCATCATAGACATTAAAAGTATATTGAACCCTGATATACTAATAAGTGTGTTCCAATTTGACACTTTCGATGAGAGAGAGAGAGAGAGATAAGGGGAGAAGGAAAGAGAGAAGATAGAGCACTAAGCTAAAGGAGACTTTGGGAACTAGCCTGTAGTATTGACCCCTTTTTAGGACCCACTTTGTATGTAAATAGAATTGGTATTTGTAATTCCACATCGTGAGTTTCCCAATCACACCTAGTTAGGCTAGTTGCCAGAGAAATATTAGATTGCATTAGATTTGTATACATTAACTAAAGCTCACTTCTGATTTTTGCTGCTAAAATGTTCATATGGCAATGAAGAAATTTAAAGAAGTCATAGTTATGATGCACCACTTACTTAAGTATATAAAGTATATAATTGAAAGTCTTGCATAATTTGAGAAATCTTTATGCAATATTTTATAAGATTGTTTGGAGGTAATTTTTGTTCCTCGATCATATAAATATCTAAATTTTCTGCAAAGAACGGGGGGAAGGGGGGGGGGGGGGGGGGGGCAAATGTCAATCTGAATGAAAAGTGACTATGGCTATATATACTAGTATATAGTCCCTCTTCTTATTCATTACTCTTGAGGACATTCAGTGAACCAAGCTGATATTACTAGTTTCTCATGCTCTACATTTCAATTTTTATAACAAAAATGTTTTTCGGCTGTGAAAGATTTTATTGATGAGTTCTGTCATTCAACAAATTCTAAAAATATACCGCTACAAATACAATATTGTATGCAAATTGTCAAATCATAGAAAGATCCCAGCTTGCAGAGTTTCTTAAAGTATAAGTTCAAGAGGACATACAAACGTAAGCTAGATGACCGTTTAAGGTCATGGCCCTTTAAACATATAATGAGACATTTGTTTGTTTAATGTCCCTGCAAGAATTTTTCTCTCATATTGAGATGCCACCATTTGCTGATGGAGAGCTGCAAATTTAGATCTGTAATTGGCCCATAGGACCTTTGAGTAGTGAGGGATTTTTTTCCTTGCCAGGATCTGCTATGACACAGGACCTCGGTTTAAAGGGTCTCATCCAATTTGGACCATCCGACAGTGGTATTCATACTCGCAACATTAAATGATCAACTCCACACTGCATCTTAAGAACTAATACTCTGACCAATGCTCTAAGTGGGCGATTAATAAGACATTTTTATAATATTAAGACATTTAATATCCTATATATTGATTACAAGGTGACTATAAACATTGATAGGATCTCTATTTCTTGGCGGCCTCAGGCAGAAAGACTAAAATATCAGAGCTCAAGTTTATGATATGATTGCGATATAAATCTTAAGTCTGTCAGTTATTTTACAATTTAGTGTTTCAGTGTATTCATTATTTCAAAATTGATTTCAAAAGCTTTGTAAAATTTCTATTCATGAAAAAAAAGAACAATTTTGTGTATTCTTGGTCAAAATCTTATTAAGATGCTGGCTATTCAGGAATACTAAAGTATGGCAGTGGTTAAGTATAAATATACGTCCTTTTGATGATAGTGGGAGAGGAGATATGTATCATTTCACTTTATCCCTACATTGATTTTGTGTTCTGTAGAAATAAGTGGTCAATACTTCCCTGGTCTGTTTGTTTATCTTCCGGTTGACTTGATTGAGTGTTTATACATTACTGTGCATTTAGCTTCAAGATTTTTTTCAAGATAAGTGTGTCAATTTTTCAGCATCATATTTAAAAGCTCTCTTTCTAAACTCCATAAAGAATAGATGTATACAAGGTTATACCATATGATTTGGAAAAAAATGTTTTCCTTACCTTTCTTAATTTATATTTAGGGGTGTGTGAATGGAGGGATGTTGAAAAAGGCTTTAAAAAAGGAAATCAATGGGGGGGGGGGGGGGGTTAGGGGATATAAAACTATGTTTAATCAATGGGGGGGGGGGTTAGGGGATATAAAACTATGTTTTTTTAGTAATTGCTCTTCTTTTCTCTGCTTCTGAAATATAAAGAGAGGTGTAACCTTGTGAGTTGTGACCTAGCTTGAAATATACATTGTATATAGGGATAATAATTTGGAAAATGTTCTTTTCCAAAGCACTCGTAATTCCTTTAAAAGGAATGTTTAGGATCGAATTTGAATATTTAATGAAATTTTTATTATGGAGTGCAAAGAGGAAGTTATTAAGAATGCAAGTGCACTTAAGTTATTTTTGTTTTAATTAATATAAAATTGAAGAAAAAAAAAACCATAGTTCACAAGCAGTAATGACATGCTTGTAAAAGTAGCTGTTAATGACATTTCCTAGTATTTTCCTCAAATATTTTTACTACAGCTGAGACAAAAGGTATTCTTTTGGGATATGGAGGTTTTAATACAGATGCACCACAACTACTGAGCTCATAAATTCTGCATTAACTCCTGATTCGTTGCCATTGTGTGTGTGTTTTTAATGTACATTAAAGTCTGGCCAGTATAATGCCAGCTTCAGGATGTGTTGTGATTATTGTAGTACTATCTGTAATAACTATCATGACTGTACCTGTCGGAGTGATGAAATGGATTGTCACTCCGTAAAACACAACACCACATCAATTACAGCCCTAATGTGATGGAGTCGGATACCAGCAGCAGGAAGGCATGGCGGATAAAACCTAATTATGGAGCTATTATCTTCACTTTGTTGTAGGTGAGTTGTCTGAGTCTAGTACTGGCTGCCATATGAGGGTATTTTTATGGGTTTTACATTAATTGTTTCTTATGTGGTTTAGTCTGTACTATACAATGGGGGCACTTGGGGATTCTTTTGTAAATGAAGGGAGAAAAGCTTGCATCAACAGCAAGGCTAAAATTGTTCATTTTATATGGATCCATTAATTAGGAAGGGCTAACTTCAGAATGCAAATGCAGTATGTCTGCAAGAATGACATTGATGGATGACATATAATATTTTAGAGACTATCCTGCACTAAAAATGTGTGCCATATTTATTGCACGGTAATGCACTTTAATGGTATCATCTCATCAATTTGTGTCCAAATAATGCAAAGCTTACAGGATTTCCATTTGAAATATGCCATTTGCCTCCAGCTGATGCATTGCATTTAAAACTCATCCTCCTCTGAGAATTCTGTGTTTAATAGTTGAGAAATATCTAAGATTGGCAGGGGAGCTTACTCCTCCTTGGCACCTGATCCCACCTCTGAAATTTCAGGGAGTCTGTTTTATGCCTTATATGCTCACAATTTTGTATTATAAATGATATATTTTTTTAAAGATCGATCAAGGTCCATTAACATAACCTTTTTTTATATTAACGTGCACTTTGTGATTTTTTCTTGTATAATAAATGCACGAGTTGATTTTCAGATTGAAAGGGGGTGGAATGGGTGCTCTATGAGCATTTCCTTTTTATGAGATGAATATAGAATTTTTTTTAACTTGGCCACTTTATATATTGTTATTTTTCAACATCATAGAAGGATGATTAGTAGATAATCTTCATATATGGAACATTTAAACAAAAATACAAAGAACTATATGCAGTATATTGCTTATATCTTTGCCCCCACAAAAGTCAAATTTTAAAAAATTCTTGAAATGTACTGAATTCCATAAATTGTATGAGAAATATAAATAAACAGAGCAAGTGGTGGCTTCTCCATATGAGTGAAAAATTTTCAAGAGGGATGTAAAACAATTAACATACAAAAATATTAATTAAATTAACATAACTTAAATTTTCTGTCGAAAAATCCATCCATGCATTGACCTTCAATTTTTAACACAAACTTCAAATCTTAAATATATATACAACAGTGTACTTAATAATACCCTAGCTATAAGTTATAGGGATGAGTATAATTTTATGAAATGGCATGATGATTTGTCATTGTACAGGTTATAAGTAACCAACAACATCAGTACCAGAATTAGGTCATTTTGACCTACATTTTTCTGCATGAATGACTTTGGTTAAATTGATAATGGAGGTTCATATTTCAGCAACTATAACTTATAGTGGCATGATAGTTAGTCAGTGGATACATCATGGGTAACCACAAACGCCTGTACCAGAATTAGGTCATCTTGACCTACATTTTTCCGCATGAGTGACTTTGCATAAATTTATGGTGTATCTCAGCAACTATAACTTATAGTGGCATGATAGATTTGTCAGTGGATACATCATGGGTAACCACAAACGCCTGTACCAGAATTAGGTCATCTTGACCTACATTTTTCCGCATGAGTGACTTTGCATAAATTTATGGTGGAGGTCAATTTTATGTATATAATGAAAAGCAAACTTGATAAACTGTATATAGACCATCTGGAGAGCTCAAGCTAATAATGTCCAAATTTTTATCATAAGCTGCTGCCAGCGCATATAAAAAGAGCTGTTTGTTTGAGGAGAAAATCCAAAAAATTACATAAACAATGAAGTCATCAAGTAGGTAGATCAAAGAGAAGATAACCCACCCCCTCCAAAGAACGTAAACTGATAAAAGCTTATTGTTTACAAGGCTTAGTGTATTGTTGTTTTTTCCAACCACATAATCTTGCATTGTATGTTTTCATGCAAGAAATAGAGAAATGAAGATTTTTTCTATCCCCTGAGTAAAAGAACATATATATATCCATCTAATTGTAAAAGCTAGCACTTTCTCGAAGAAAATATATTCTTTTGCTAAAGTTTAAAGTCTTGAATGTACGTTTAAATTAGATGCTGGTCTCCCCCCCGCCCCATGCCATCCCCTCCCCACCCCCAAATTTTGTTGCTGGGAACTTGAACACTTGCAAAGTCCTGCAATTAAAAAAAAGAAATGTATACGTAAAAGTTGGGAAAAGGTATTGCCTTCTCTCTGTAAGAGAATTTTGTTTGTCAAATTGTTTTAGGAGTTTATGAATAAAAGGGTTTGTTAATTAAATTATAACTTTGAAAGCACATATTAAAAAAAACAAAAGACTTCAAATTGTTTTTATCCTTATTTTAGCAGAGGAGAAGTTACATTCATAATTGATCTTGTTTCATTTGGTGACAACTCCATGGTTTTGTTTCTTTCATTTTGTCCTTAATTGCTTTTGCAGGTGACATAGATTTCAGTAATATATTCCTTGAAACAACAAAATCTACATATTCTATAAAACATTGTCACATACAGTTAAACACTGAGTTTGTCACTTAATCACATCCCCACAGTGGCTGTGACTTTTTCAGAACACAGCAATTTTAGAGTAGCTGTCACGACTGATGCGTGCTTGATTATTGTCGAGATGAAATTGACTTATAGTATTCCTGGTACAGCACGCTGAAATAGCAAGGATTTCAGACCAATTAAGAGAGCTTACACAGTTTGATCTAATGCAGAAAAAAAGACTACCCTATACTATAGAGCCATGGGTTTCTGATTTAATTATGTAAATTAACTCTCCAGAGAGCAAACTGGGAGTTAATTAGGCATTTCACTTTTGAATGGATTTACTTTATTGAAATGGCTACATGTTGTTTTTTGTGAGGCCACCCTGTTTCTTGTTCTGTATGGTTTGTTAACCATGTAGCTCTGTTGGTAAAGTCCGTAATTAAATTTCATTCTGAGGGTTATAGGTTCAATTCACATTGAAAACAGTGATTTCAAAACACCCAGCTACCAAATCAGTCACAAAGGAAGTATTACAGAAGCCCCCATGTTCTACAATCTGCTGTGGACCTGAAACTTTACCCCACTTTACCCTGAATTCATTTCATTTGATCAGTTTAACTAATTTGCAATAGTATAGAGAGCAAATTTGCAATAGGAACATTTTCCTTCTTTTGAATAACGAATATAACCCACTGAATGATGTGAACATTCTCAAAAGTCCAGTTGAACAATACAAATCATGACCGGAGCCAACATGGACCCCTATAGATTCAGGTGCCAAAGAGGAGTAAACGTACCCCTGTCAACCAGTTACACCCAAATTGTGCCCCTTGATAGACTGAGTAAATGAGAACGTTCTTAGACAAAGCAATGTGGATATATTTGACTAACTTCAAGAATAAATTCTGCTACATAAGAATACAAAACAGGTCTGCTAATAATGGCTGGGTGGCACAATTAATACCCATGGGAATTACAACCGAATGTAGGTAGGTCTGGTCTCCAGAAATGTCATAGATGTTCTTTTAGTGTAAATGAAAACTCAAGCATCTTTTTATCATCAACATTACCTGACAAATACTTGTGTGTAGAATCAGAGAATTTTTTAAACAAAATAATTTTTTCAGACCACTAGTGACAGGGTATGTAAATTCACGAGTTCCATCAATTATATATGTTGACAAAAGGGCTGGTCTTTGATTTATCATGGGGAATGATTATATGGAGGGTTGAAAAGCTGTATTCTTATTGATTATGGTAAAAGTCTGCAATTTAAAATTTTCTAAAGGTTCTTTAGAGATTAATTAACATCGCTTCTTGAATATGTTGTTGAACACTTCTGAACTCAGTTCTTCACTGCTGTTTATATTTTCATGATTAGAAAAAAAGGCTTGGTAGAACATATACTAGAACCTCCTGTTAGTCATTTTTGTAAGTACAGGTTATATACTCAATTTCAGGTAGTATAGTGAATATAGGTATTGAGTATTATACAAAACCTACCTTGCGAAATCTTGTTATAAATACATGTACTTATATGAATATAAAAGACTAATTCAAATTTATAATATTTTCAATTTTGAGACCTTTATAGTTTTGCTATAAAAATGTAGAGTTAATTCTTTTTATCCTGTATAAAAGAAATAAACTGGTTACATTTGTAAATCCATTATTACAGAATTTGTTATAACATATAACACTTTACAAGAATTAGAAGAATATATAGGGACACCCCCCCCCCCCAACAAACTTTGCTTTATCCAAAAACTTGCTTTTTCTGTATTCAGGGGGAGGGGAATTTAGTTTTTTGGGCTGTCCATCTGTCTGTCTGTATGTCTGCAAAAACTTTAACCTTGGCAAAAACTTTTGAATCGCTAGTTGTAGGGCCAACATTTTAAGGTTCCAACATGATGCCCTCATGATCTTTAATTGCCAACCTTGGAATTGGACCTTCTTTTGAAAAAAAAAACCATTATCCTTTGCTATAATTAACTTCTGAATGGTGTGTAGAATATGACTCATATTTCATGTAATATTCCATGTGGCAAGACCTTCCTTTGGATACCACATACATTTTTGATATCATGATCTTGACGTTTTCTGTACCAATTAACAGTCGAAAAACTATGAAGTTCACAAGGGGGGGCATCAGTGTAGTATGTTTGCCAAACTTGTTGTACTGTATGGATATGTAATTGAGTATCTTTGTTGGCTACCAGTGATTGAACCTGCCAGACCTTCACATTTGAATAGATGTACCTTTATGAAATGAACTTTCAACACTGTATATATCTACATCATTTGACAATTGGATACACCTTGTTTTAACCCAGCTTTACAAAGAAACAAATTCTGTGGGCGATGTTTGTTTAAGCTGCGTAGAACACCAATGTGTTGCATGGTGTTTATTTTTTAACTCCTGAAACTCAGCTTTCTATTTTGATGTTGGGGGATGGACCATCTGTTATAGAAATAGCTCTCACTTTTCTCTAAGACTCACTTTTTTGACATTGTGTTTATATATGATATAAAGAGAAGATTTCTGGTGTCTTGCTTGTAAATAGTTTTAATATTGATGTAATCTTGTAATAATCTCATATTCCATAGCAGAGTGGGGAGATTGGGGATTTGGGTTTCTGTGGCTTGGAGTTTGTTTGTTTTACCATCTGTGCAGCGGAGAAAAAACATCTATATTAAGAACAAACTGTCAATTTCTAGACCTCACATATGTGACAATATATTGATGTCTGCTCAAGGCCTAATAAACACAGGAATCTAATACATTCAGCTATAGAAAGGCCGGGTTAATTATTAAAAAAAATTATATGATGCCATAATGCCGTAAGTCTGAGATTTTTATATCAGTAAGTGACAAAATGTACTTAGATACATGTATTAATTGTGTGAATGTACTAATTTTGGCTTAATTAGTACCTAATAATTTAACAATTTGGAAATTGTTGCTGTGAATAATAGCTATGGGATTATAATTAACTGACTGCAAGGGGAATTGCTGAATGCACATGCATACAAATGGTATGGAGAAATTTGCAATTGAAAATTTAATTTCATAATTTACTTACAGACATAAAAGACAGTATTTTAAAAAAAAATGTATGTACCTATCAATGAATTATATTTTGCTTAAAATTGATCCAATTTTGTCTAGACTTTGACCCTGATATATTAGATTCAAATTTTGAATGGATCAATTGATTAATAATAAAAAATATCTAATTCATATATTCTATTAGCTTTATAGCCCAGTAAGCATATGGGAAGCTTAAAGAATTAAATAGGAGAGGTGCATGATTATGGAATTAATAAAGTGTCTTATAAAGGATTGATTAAAAAATCCTCATTAGAATAGACAGGAGGGTGGGTTAAACAAACAACTATAAATCAATTCATAATCTATTTTCCGCAAAAATTCAGCGTTGCCCAAGGGCAGAAGTAGTAGTATAGATTCATTACTCAGAGTTGAGGTCATTGTCCCCTCAATTGGGATAAATTACGATTTTTTAAAATGAAATATATGGAGAAAACGAACTGTATTCAAGCTCACAAGTCCAATTAACAATACAAATTAGGAGCAGAGCAAACACAGGCCTCTGAAACATCAGGAGTGGGATCAGGTGCCATGGAGGAGTGAGCATCCCATGCCAACCAGTCACACCCAACGTGTGATATAAATACATGTAAATGATTTTTTTTTCAAAAAAAAAGAGAGAAGTCAATACAGTTGAACTGCAGTATCTCAAATACCATGGATATGTCCAAGTGACTTGGAAGTCCTAACCACGTCTTTCTTGGTATTTTACCCTCCATATCTCAAACACTTGGATATCTCAGTATTTTCTCAGACCTATTGAGTTTGAGATATGGAGGTTTGATTAAGTATTATTATAATTTCTTCATAGATTATAATTGCTTAAACTATGCATTACTATACCCTTTACCAACTGACTTTAAAGGGGCTGGGTGGTTACAAAATGTACCCATTTTCAGACTTTATATTTTGGTCTCCTTTATATTAAGAGCTCTATATATAGTGATATACAAAAATGATCAAATTCTAAAACTAAAATGTATGAAATTTTTCTTTACCGATGTTAGGTGATGGCTTAAGATATCATATCTAAAAAATTAAGTCATATCTGATAGGTAATTTGTTCCCCCCAGCCTCCTTAAATTGAAAACTCTTTTTTCATTAACACTTCTCATTTTTGAGGTTGTGAATTTGACTCTCAGGTACATATGTAGGACAGTCCTTGAGATTTTGATGTGAATGTTCCTGATGGCCAGCTACTATTTCCAGATCATGGGTCTTTAATTCAGACCTTAAAAACCAAGCCCATTATTGCAAGTGGGCATGCACTTGAATGATGAAGAACTCAATTTTTAGATCTGGCATGGATGTCAAAAGTCCACGATGAGTTTATCTGAGAATGGCCTGGTAAACTTCTTATATTGATTACAATTCCAAATTTTAGGGATAACAGCAAGATCTTGAGAAAGCATCTCCTTACAAAGATGTCTCCAATTTCAAGGCTTTCTTGATCAAACATTGATTTTTCTGTGACTTGTCATAACCAAAAATACTCAAAATGAATACAATCTGAATAATAATTCAAAGGTTTCTCTGTCTGTCTACTTGTCAAGTGCACACAATATAGGTTAAATAGTCTGATTCTTTATCTTTAGGCAACCTCTCCAAATGATTCTTCAAATTCTCACTGGGAAGACAAAATCCAGCTCCAATATCAATCTTAAATTTAAAACAATATATATGATGACTTTTGCTTTGTTTTTGCATGTTTTTGCTGCCAACATTTTTTTTTTGCTAATGGTCCTTTTCCTTTGGTCCTTTGGTAGTAAATTGAACAATTTCAGTAGAGGAAAATATATACCCTGTATCTACTATTTTGTCATTATTATTTCCCTCTAAGTATGAATTCATGCAGCTTAAAATGTATTCAATAAATTGATATCATGCAAACGAGGTAAAAGGTAGAAATAGAATTCCATTGAATTAACAGCTGGAGTGAAATTTTTTACACAATTCCACTCAAATATGATCTGATATTGCTCTCACACAGAGATCATAATTCATGAAAATTAGCAGTTTTTAAGGAAATGTATCACATTGGTTATCAATCTTCTTCATGCATTGATTTTTTTTCAGCCATCGTACCCAATAGCCATAAATGCCCCAGTCCCAAAACTTATACATTTAATTTTGCATATCTCTTTGCTGTCTCTATTTAGAAAATGGATATGGATGAGACAGAGCCATCAATTATTTATCTCAGTTTTCTGTATACGTGTTGTAAAATCAAAAGAAACTTGAACAATTACCAATATTGACTAAACAAAAGGATTCTCCAATAGTGTAACGGATGCCTGCAAGATTCACAAAAGCAATTTCACATGTAATAAAATATTTAATATGTACACAGACTTCTATGTATTACAGCTCAGTAAATTGGTTGTCAAGGTGATAAGAGAAAGCTGCATGACAAAAAGATATATATTGGTTATTTTCCACCTGTACTCATATAATCATTGATCTACCTCGGAAAGTGGAACTTAATTCTTTCTGCAGATATAAGAATAGTTCTCATGAATATTTTATATTCCTAGACAGTCGGTACTCTTCATTTTTATTTCAGAGTCAGTCGACTTCAGCTCTCTAGTATATGTTGTTTTGCCGTACACATAGGACTAAGACTGCTCTATTAGTGTAACTTTCCAATTGAGGCTGCAGACTTTTTATCACTAAACTTTGGTAAGTTTTTTTTAATCATCTAATAATCATTTATAATAGATTTACATTGGTCAGACTGATTAACTGTGATATTTTCTAAAAAAAAAATGAGAAAAATACTATTCTAAAAATACAATACAAATCATATTTGATTAGAGAAGCTCATTAAAGTATTGTGTCTGCACATTATCTCTCTTTGTGGATTATGATTTCAAAATATAATTTCTTCAATTACTTTATTATGTTGCATCATTATCTATTATCCATCATTATGTCTAATTGTCTAATCCATCATCCATCTGTTTCATTGTTATCCATCTGACCGTCTGCTATCCATCTGTCTCATTGTTTGATATCCATCTGTCTGTCTCTTATCCACCTGTCTCATTGTCTGTTACCCATCTGTCTCATTGTCTGTTATCCATCTGTCTCATTGTCTGTTATCCATCTGTCTCATTGTCTGTTATCCATCTGTCTCATTGTCTGTTATCCATCTGTCTCATTGTCTGTTATCCATCTGTCTCATTGTCTGTTATCCATCTGTCTCATTGTCTGTTATCCATCTGTCTCATTGTCTGTTATCCATCTGTCTCATTGTCTCTTATCCATCTGTCTCATTGTCTCTTATCCATCTGTCTCATTGTCTGTTATCCATCTGTCTCATTGTCTCTTATCCATCTGTCTCATTGTCTCTTATCCATCTGTCTCATTGTCTGTTATCCACCTGTCTCATTGTCTCTTATCCATCTGTCTCATTGTCTCTTATCCATCTGTCTCATTGTCTATTATCCATCTGTCTCATTGTCTCTTATCCATCTGTCTCATTGTCTCTTATCCATCTGTCTCATTGTCTGTTATCCATCTGTCTCATTGTCTGATATCCATCTGTCTCATTGTCTGTTATCCATCTGTCTCATTGTCTCTTATCCACCTGTCTCATTGTCTGTTATCCATCTGTCTCATTGTCTCTTATCCATCTGTCTCATTGTCTCTTATCCATCTGTCTCATTGTCTCTTATCCATCTGTCTCATTGTCTCTTATCCATCTGTCTCATTGTCTCTTATCCATCTGTCTCATTGTCTGATATCCATCTGTCTCATTGTCTGTTATCCATCTGTCTCATTGTCTCTTATCCATCTGTCTCATTGTCTGATATCCATCTGTCTCATTGTCTCTTATCCACCTGTCTCATTCTCTGTTATCCATCTGTCTCATTGTCTGTTATCCATCTGTCTCATTGTCTGTTATCCATCTGTCTCATTGTCTCTTATCCATCTGTCTCATTATCTCTTATCCATCTGTCTCATTGTCTCTTATCCATCTGTCTCATTGTCTCTTATCCATCTGTCTTATTGTTTGATATCCATCTCTAATATATTGTCTCTTATCCATCTGTCTCATTGTTTGATATCTGTGTGTCTGATTGTCTTTTATCCATCTGTCTGTCTCATTGTATCTTATCCATCTGTCTCAATGTCTCTTATCCATCTGTCTCATTGTCTGTTATCCATCTGTCTCATTGTCTCTCATCCATCTATCTCATTGTCTCTTATCTATCTGTCTCAATGTCTGTTATCCATCTATCTCATTGTCTCTTATCCGTCTGTTTCATTGTCTGTTATCCATCTGTCTCATTGTCTGTTATCCATCTATCTCACTGTCTCTTATCAATCCGTCTCATTGTCTCTTATCCATCTGTCTCATTGTTTGATATTCATCTGTCTCATTGTCTGTTATCCATCTGTTTCATTGTCTGTTATCCATCTGTCTCATCATATGTTATCCATCTGTCTCATTGTATGTTATCCATCTGTCTCATTATCTCTTTTTTATTGTCTCTTATCCATCTGTCTCATTGTCTGTTACAAATTAATTTTATGTCATTAAAATAATTTTTTTATGTATTCCAGTTGAAATGCGTGTTCTCTGGTCCATAATATGGATACTACTGACAAACATCTTTGAGACCACTTCAGTTCCAGCAGCACAGACTAGTTCTTGTGGCCCCCTACTACCACCTCTCCCCAGCGATCCTGACCACACACACAAAGACACTGTCAATGTGTCTGCCAGTCTCCAGAATAACTGTCAAATATACAACAGGCTGGGGCTTGTCCTAAAGGAACTTGGCATTTTTTCTGCCAATTCCAATTTTTGCTTTATTCTAGAAACTCTTACACGGACTGTATACCAGAGTGATAATTCAGGTTCCTCACAAAGGATTTCAGTGTCATTAGATTTCATTGTAAGTTCACAATCATCAGGTGTGGATCAAAACACAACAGTGACTAACAACTGTCACAATATGGCGACATATTCCAGACAGGTGGAGGCCATGGAACAGCTTCAGTCTCAGAATCAGACAGATGCTCATAATGTTAGTACAGTGGTGGATCCACCCAGTAAACACGCTCAGGGGGAGGATTCAGGAGGTTTGTAGCAAAGATTAGCAGAGCTACAAAGAAATCCCCTTTCTGTAAAATGAATTTAAATATTTTGCTCCCAATGTTTTGAGGCATTTAGGAGATTTGCATAGATATGTAGGGAAATCAAAATGCAGTATGTCAATTAAGTTTGTATTTATCACTTTAGAGTCCACAAAGAATATTGGAAATATAGTGCTTATATTAATAAATACAATAACAGCTATATATACATGTACAGGCATTTTTGTGGTTCAAACATATTTAACAAAAGTTTTTGCAGAAACTTAAAAATGATTTTTTTTTCCAAAATTTGCAGGAATGTAATACATCCAGTTTTTGATGATTTTTTCAGGGTTGAGTTATACTCAGATGGTAGTCATAGCAACCTGTGCATCCATCATTGGAACATTTTTTCTGATTGCAGGAATTATAAGGGTGAGGTAAGGAAAGAAAAATGGTTCTTGATAAATTATGTGACCTCAAAATTGTTGGTTTTTAATTAAGTACTTAATTTTAAAAAAGTCATATTTTGTCTAGACTTCAATTGCATGTTTAAATGTTGATATAATAACAATATGTTTCCTCCAACCATTTATCATTATATGTGCTATCCTTGACCCTTTAAATTGCAATTTGTTTACTATAAGAGTCCATATGAAAACAACTTTTAAAAAAATTAATTATTTTAACCTAGATTATCAAGTTATGAAAAATATATTATGAAAATTAATTTAATAATTAAACATTCAATTGATTCTTCATAAGATAATAACAAAAAAGGTCACTTTTATTATAATGAAATACCTGGTACTTTTGCCAGACAGAGTTTTGGTCTTTGTGAAACTACAGTATCACAATTCGTCTGATGTTCTAATTTAATCAATTATCCTCTTTGCGATATACATGTACATCTGTTAATTAAGACAAACTTTAAAGTACCTAATAAATATAATTAAATTGGAAAACCATGGAAAATATATTTTTTATTGGCTAAAAGATCAATTGCAATTTTTCATTAATTAGTTGTTTTTTTTTCATTCCATTGTTAGAGTTCATTTGCAAATAAATAAATGATAAATAAATGAATAAATAAATAATTTATTTATAATCAGAGACCATGTCATGGTTGTGGTAGAATTTTACTGGAAATTAATGATTTCTCCATGATTTTAAATGAAACTTAAAACTGTGTGTTTTGTAACTGAAAACGACCAAATGTTTTTGCATCCAAATGTATTATAATCAGCAAATGATGATGATTTTTGTAAAATGCGAAAATAAATGTGTTCAATCTCATTGGAGAAGGGAAAAACAATGGGTTGTAGTTCAATGACATCTCTACAATCAAAATAATAAATTAGAAAAGACATCACTTAATAAAATACAATTATATTCATCAATAAAGTCAAAAACAAGTGGTTATGCAGCAAGGTTTCACCTACTGTATACAGGGTTATTTTCGCACCGTCTTATTTTCGCCCTTTCACACTTGCAAACGATTTCACCCCGTTTTATGTGTTTTGTTTACTTATACTGTAAGAAATTCGCCCAAATGTGGGTAGGGCGAAGCAAAAATAAAACGGGGGCGAAAGGAAGTTTCATTATAAGATTTTTCCCCTGCTTGAAAAGTGGGAGGATATACTGTAATTGGTATGTCTGTCCGTTCGTCTGTCTGTTACGCTTTGGGGTACCCATCTCTTATCCGCCACTCTTATACCACTGAGTGACATTTAATGAAACTTTTACAGAATCTTTATTACATATTATTGCCATTGTGCACCTCCTATTTTACTTTTTGATCCGACACATATTTTGGGTTTCCTGGCTACAGGAAAACATGGACTTTTCCATTATAATCATATGGGAGGCAGGGATATCATTGCTCACAGTACCTCTAGTTTTATCTTGGGTTAAACATTACTAAACAGAAATTCCTTGCTAAAAAAAGTCATCAGATACTAAGTATTATTACTGAGGGAGCATTATCATTAATTAGCACTGTTCTAATCTATCTAGTGACAAAGTGACAAAATCAATTGACCAACATAGCCCCCCACCCAGCCCTTTTCAAACATGGGTACTATCAGCCATATAAGTTTAAAGTTTCCAGTAAACTTAGGTAGTTCAAACTTGATTTCTCTTCTTTCTGTAACAGAAACTACTGGAAGAGGTGGCGGGAGGAGCAGGCAGCCTCGCGGCGACTGGCCGCCACAAACTACCGCCTCCCACTACACTCATCTAATCAGGAGGTCCACGGGTCACCTAAAGACAGCAGAGCCGGGTCATCTGGTAGTGGCCACAGCCAGGTAATGGTCATAATGACATACAGCCAGGTAAAGGTCATAATGACACACAGCCAGGCAATGGTCATAATGACACACAGCCAGGTAATGGTCATACAGTAAAACTCGGTTATAGTGAAGTCATGGGGACTTGTGAATTTAATTCGTTATACCCGTAATTCGTTATATCCGTATAACGTATTCGTATAACCAAATGTAGCGAAATCGCAATATGCATGTTTTCCTTCAAGTATTAAGTACCAAATATGTATGCGAAGCAAATATTACAAAACATACATTCGATAAATAATGTTTTATTATAAATTGAATTTTATATACAAATGCTAGAAGAAAATAACGTCAGTTTAATTTATCAACTTTTGAGATCTTTGAAAGTTCTTTATAAAAGATGTTAATTTCAATATATTTAACTTCAACGGGACTCAAAATCAGTTTGCTATATCCGTAAATTCGTTATATCAGAGTTCGTTATAACCGTAAAATTTTACAAAGATTTGTTCAGAATTTCGCCAGGGACCCATAAAAACTTCGCTATAACCGTGAATTCGCTATATCCGTGTTCGTACTAAACGAGTTTTACTGTAATGACACACAGCCAGGTAATGTTCATAATGACACACAGCCAGGTAATGGTCATAATGACACACAGCCAGGTAATGTTCATATTGACATACAGCCAGGTGATAGTTATAATGACATACAGTCAGGTAATAGTTATAATGACACACAGCCAGGTAATGGTCATAATGAATACAGTCAGGTAATGGTCATAATGACACACAGCCAGGTAATGGTCATAATGACACACAGCCAGGTAATGGTCATAATGACACACAGCCAGGTAATGGCCATAATGACATACAGCCAGGTAATGGTCATAATGACACACAGCCAGGTAATGGTCATAATGACACACAGCCAGGTAATGGTCATAATGACACACAGCCAGGTAATGGTCATAATGACACACAGCTAGGTAATGGCCATAATGACACACAGTCAGGTAATGGTCATAATGACAGACAGCCAGGTAATGGTCATAATGACACACATTCAGGTAATGGTCATATTGACATACAGCCAGGTAATGGTCATAATAACATACAGCCAGGTAAAGGTCATAATGAATACAGTCAGGTAATGGTCATAATGACAGACAGCCAGGTAATGGTCATAATGACATACAGCCAGGTAATGGCCATAATGACACACAGCCAGGTAATGGTCATAATGACAGACAGCCAGGTAATGGTCATAATGACATACAGCCAGGTAATGGTCATATTGACATACAGCCAGGTAATGGTCATATTAACACACAGCCAGGTAATGGTCATAATGACACACAGCCAGGTAATAGTCATAATAACACACAGCCAGGTAATGGCCATAATGACACACAGCCAGGTAATGGCCATAATGACACACAGCCAGGTAATGCTCATAATGACACACAGCCAGGTAATGGTCATAATGACACACAGCCAGGTAATGGTCATAATGACAAACAGCCAGGTAATGGTCATAATGACACACAGCCAGGTAATGGTCATAATGACATACAGCCAGGTAATGGTCATATTGACATACAGCCAGGTAATGGTCATATTACAGCCAGGTAATGGTCATACAGTCAGGTAATGGTCATAATAACATACACCCAGGTAATGGTCATAATGACATACAACCATGTAATTGTCATAAGGACATACAGCCAGGTAATAGTCATAATAACACACAGCCAGGTAATGGTCATAATGACACACAGCCAGGTAATGGTCATAATGACACACAGCCAGGTAATGGTCATAATGAACACAGTCAGGTAATGGTCATAATGACACACAGCCAGGTAATGGTCATAATGACACACAGCCAGGTAATGGTCATAATGACATACAGCCAGGTAAAGGTCATAATGACACACAGCCAGGTAATGGTCATAATGACACACAGCCAGGTAATGGTCATAATGACACACAGCCAGGTAATGGTCATAATGAACACAGTCAGGTAATGGTCATAATGACACACAGTCAGGTAATGGTCATAATGACATACAGCCAGGTAATGGTCATAATGAACACAGTCAGGTAAAGGTCATAATGACACACAGCCAGGTAATGGCCATAATGACACACAGCCAGGTAATGGTCATAATGACACACAGCCAGGTAATGGCCATAATGACACACAGCCAGATAATGGTCATAATGAACACAGTCAGGTAATGGTCATAATGACACACAGCCAGGTAATGGCCATAATGACACACAGCCAGGTAATGGTCATAATGAACACAGTCAGGTAATGGTCATAATGACACACAGCCAGGTAATGGCCATAATGACATACAGCCAGGTAATGGTCATAATGAACACAGTCAGGTAATGGTCATAATGACATACAGTTAGGTAATGGTCATAATGACACACAGCCAGATAATGGTCATAATGACACACAGCTAGGTAATGGCCATAATGACACACAGCCAGGTAATGGTCATAATGACACACAGCCAGGTAATGGTCATAATGACACACAGCTAGGTAATGGCCATAATGACACACAGCCAGGTAATGGTCATAATGACATACAGCCAGGTAATGGTCATAATGTCATATAGTCAGGTAATGGTCATAATATGGCATGAAACCTGAGATTCAAAACAGTAAGGTGGTAGAGGTCTGCATCACATATTCTCTCTCTCTCTTTCTCTCCCATAAAAAATCACTAGTAGGTATATTTCCTGTTTGTTTTCTCATGAAGTTTTCTGGTCTATAACAATTTATGTTTAATCTACTCCTTTACTTTATATATTACATGTTACAGTGTTGACCCTTTTCACTTTGAAAGATTTTGCTCCTACAACAGTTTCATGTTTTATAGCATTACTATGGTTTTTCTGGATATTCTTTTGATCGATTTGTGCATTCAGTTTTAAAAGATAAATGTTTCATCCTAACATTAAAATTCATTGGAAATTGTTTCCATTTGAATTCTTGTGAAACAGAAAACTGTGGCAGGCATAAATGGAATCTTTCTTCTCATTGCATGGTAGTATATGCAAAAGATAATCATTCAAGAATAATGAAGTTGGAAGACCTGACAAAAACATGGAATCAAGACACGACAAAATGTCAGAGACAGTTTTACTCATTGACAATGTTGAACTGCATGAAGACATCTTGAACTGATGACAACCTAGTATGATTTTGCTTGGAGACCTGGTGTAAGATTTGTCTCTGGTTTAAAGTAAAATGTCATCGCAGGCTTAGAGTAACATTTGTGTGGTTGCAACAATATAAATCATGTTATGAAAACAGACTGATCAATTTCTCTTCACAGGGAGTAATCCTCTCTCTTTTCTTTGTCTGATTAGGAATTTTAATCCTATTATGTACCCTCTAGCTGCCTGGGCCTAATCCTTTGACATCCTTAGATCTGAAATGTTACATATATCACAGCATTAGGTATTACAGCTACCTTAAGAGGTCAATAGATTGAGATGTTACATGGTACATACATCACAGGATAAGTCTGATACATGTATGTCAGTTTGTTTTATTTTTTATGCCTTGCCATGAATGTGGCTGGAGTATATGGTGTTTGTTATGTTCATCGTCCATTCTTCAATCCTTATCCATTCATCTACTATCACACTTTGATATAACTCAATCAGTTTCAAAGAAAAGTGTTCAAGATATTTTTATCAAACTTCATATGCTGATACATATTGATAAGAGCTATTCAAATGCATCAACAATCTTGACCTTGACTTTTTCTTTGACCTTGACCTCACTTTTCAAACATTTGTGTTTTGCTCATTTTCAGAAGAAAAGTCTTTTCATTTATTTTTTAGCACATCTACAATGCTGATACAATACATATTGAAAAGAACTAAACTTCATCAACATTTTTTGACCTTGACTTTTTTTAAAATCTAGTCCACCATGGACTCTGTTGATCATATAATAAAAATGTGTTTTATCTTTCAAAACATTCTTCTGGAATCTAACAGTTAAAGAACATTATTTAAGCAATGAACCCATTTATTAATACTATTTGACAGGACATAGTCACACTCTGTGTGATCTGTATTATGAAGTGTGATCACTGAATGAAATGTAATTGACTAATTATGCTGAATTTTTTTTTTAGAACAGTCCAATGTTAAAACACAATGATCTCTACAACCAAGTGGGCAATGGTAAATCAGTGGCATCCCCCAATAAGTACCTGGACACCATGCCATTGTTAGTGGTGACCGCCCCCTCCACAGGGCCCAACACACCCATAGGATCTGTGTCCTCGATTCAGTATATTGATGAGGAGCCAGACACTAAAGTAAGACTTGTGGGCTTTGCAATTACTGGATGTTAAAAGATCACCTTGTTATCATACCCCCTGTTTTGGGGGTATATAGGATCCACCTTGCCCATCTGTCTGTCTGTCAGGCCACCTGTCTGTACTGTATGTACAGTCTTGTTTAGGCTAATTATTACTTTCTTATGAAGAAACACTCACTGGAAGCTTATACTTGGTACAAAGATTGCTTATTATTTGAAAGTTTGTTCTGACCTTGACTCAAGGTCAATCTGACAAGTTTAAGGTCACTTGCAAAAAAGTATAATTTTTTGGTCCAGGTCATAACTTTTTAATGAAGAATCACTGGAAGATCATTCTTGGTACATGGGTTGCTTATGTCCTAATAGTGTGCCATTACCAAGGGCTTTCCTTGACTTTAACTCAAGGTCATTCTGGTAAATTCAAGGTCAATAGCACAAATAATATGTTCTTGTCCAGGTTGTAATTTTGCGATGGAGAATCACTGGCAGATCATTCTTGGTACAGGGAATGTTATGACACAATGATGAGTCAAACATGATATAAGTGAAGAAAATAAAAATTTATCCTCACTTTCAAATAGAAATAAAGAACTATATGCGGTATTAACCAACATTTGCCCCCCAAAATCAAACTTTGACGGAGTAATATTTAATTAAGTCCTTAAACAGGGGAGTATATGCTGACTTCAAAGCACTGAATAATTTCATAAGTAATGATGTCATATGTACGTAATGACGTCACAAATATGACGTAAATTTCAGTTTTTTATGAATTTTGCAGAAAAATGTACATATTTCGTCGATATTTTAAATAAAAGTCACCGAGCGCATGTGTGTTCAGGATAAATATTTTGATATAATGTGTAGAATGATAATATCAATGAAATATGTCAATATTGTTCCTGAACACACATGCGCTCTATAAATTTTAAAGCTTAAATTGTTGAAATTTTGTCCATTTTGTCCTCTTTCTGAAAAAGGATATAAAATCACTAGTTTGTGATATAAAATCAGAAATTGTGAATACACTGCTCTGGAACTATAATATTTTCTGTTAAATATTTCTCGTATTTATTGAATTCAGCACATATCAGGAAGTTTCTTTGTGGGGGCAAATAGAATATAAATAGTTCTTTATATGGCTAATGTCAAATGAAAGTAGTGATATATAATAAATAGTTTTGCAGAATATATATTTAAATGTTACAATAAAAGATCCAATGTTGTCTCAGGATGTTCCTGAAAGTCGAGAATGATATAATATGCAGACAAGGTAGATATCCACTAAAATTTATGCATGATGTGGCATAATATTTGCGTTTGTGTACTTTTATCATATATTATACATATTCATTGTTGCATATGAATTCAACTTTCATTTGGATCTCTTCCTCTCTTTAGCTTTAAATTTTATTTATGTTGTATTTTTCTTGAATGCCCTTCATGGGCCCAAAATTGGAAATAAATGATATTCTATTCTACATGTATTTTAACCTAAGGTCATTTTAATAACTGGAAGAAAATGTTCTTGTCTGAGCTAAAACTCATTCATTTTGAAAGAGAGAAGCACTGGAAGCTTAGTACTTAGTAGAGGTTGTCTATGACCTGCAGGTGGTTCATGAATGTGTATACACTTTTAAGAAAAATGCAGTGGGGTGTTATTTTTTAGCCTCTTCACTACAGTACCTTTATTTCTTTAAAGTTAAAATATTTTGAAAAACATCTAAATGATGCTTATTCTTATAAATTGAATATTAATATTGTTATAATATATTTTGATAGATTTTTACTAAATTGAATAGAGAGAAGCTGCTGAACAGGTAGTTGTAATGTTTATGTCCTAAAAACATATGACAAGAAAGTTGTTGACTGGTTATCCGGAAAACAGGAAATATATATGTAATTTCCCTCAGCAATTGCACAGGTACAGCACCACTAAATTGTTTGCTTTACTGGGCAAAGACCTTTGGCATGTATATTTCCTGATAATCAGTCAATGATCTGGAATTCAGTTCTGCAATGTAATATTTATTTGTCCCTCTTTTTACCATTAAAGGAAGAAGATTTCACAATTGAGAAAAATATGGAAAATGAAGAATGTACAAAGAAAAGTGACTCCCAAACTACAAGTGGAACTAATCAAAATGCACCCAATCAAAACACAGCTCAGAGGAATCAACCAATCAAATGCATTGTCTCAGAGGAGAACAAATCAAACAGCCCAAACATTGATAGTTGTGAAATGCAAGGACATGCTGACTCCCATTTTTGTTCAGATGGTGGAACTACAAACACGGATATAAATCCCAGTCAAAACAACCAAGAAGGGACCCCAAATAATTTATTGCTTAATTGTGGAATCTCACAGTCTGACGAAAGCCTAGGCACTACTGCAAATCATGCATATTGCTATGGCAACCAGTCTGAATATTCAAGCAGTTCTGGTTATGGTAATTTTGCTTACTATAGCAATGAACTGGAAGATAACATATCAGAAAATACAAACAATGAAAATGAAGAAAATGAATCTGAAGACATTGAAAATAAAGAACCATCACCCAATATCAGCTCCCTTAAGGATGGTGGTTCTGAAAGATTCATTTCTTTATATAATGACTGCAGTGATGACACAGAAACAAATTTCCAGTTTAGTCAAGCAGCAGACATTCCAGAAGAGACTGTAAAGACCAACTCTTATGTTTCTAATGAAAATTTATCAGCAGCTTCTTGAAATGACCACTGCAGTGTTTGGTTAAATTTGTGCAAGATGACTCAAATCAGATTTACTTAAAGAAACAGAATTCAGGAACATATGTATATGTAATGCAATGTGCACATCTGATTTTTTTTTTTGGCTGTATAGATTCCAGAGTTTACTGAAATTTTTAAATTGAATATTTATGTCTATGTATCGAAATCTGTCCGTGTCAACATTTCTTTACTGGCTTTTTGTACTTTATTTGCTCTGGAGATAAAGTATTTTTTTTAGTATAATAAACTTAAATTTATTGTATCTTTAACATGAATATTTGAAATACTGAAATATAGTCTTCATATTTAATGTTGACCTTGACTTTTCACCTTCAAAATAGAAATTTGAGGATCAGTCATTTTGATCCTAAACTAATGTGGCATTTCAAATACTTCCACTGTTATTGTTATTGCCTCTCACCCTTTGACCTAGTGCATTTAAATCAAAGTTTGGGGTTTTTTTGCCTTTTTTCATCTTATTTTGTATCTACGATTACAATTCATTTTCAAACTGTCAGAATACCAGTGTGTCCAGTACATGTACTTTGATTATTCCTAGTGAGTCGGTATCTCTTTTGCTCCCATCTTTTTTGAGATTATGATTATAATTATCTATAACAATTGATACTTAAGGTACATGTACCAGCAATGGTGTTGACATGTCCACATGACATTAATCAAGCAACTTGTAAATTTCTTAGCTCTTTTGTGAATCTAACCATGAAATATAGCTTAATTATACTCAAATAAATCAGGATGAAATTTATACAATGTTATCATTATAGTTGATTAAAAAGCTCTTGAGTTCAAATTGTGGTTACCTGTACTTTGCAATCCAGCCATTTTTGCTGTAATTTAATGCATGGTTTTCTTATTTCTAAACTGACTACAGTATACAGAAAGTACTTTTATAGACAGCTTTCAAGGACATGTTTGAGATGGAATGTACTTTAGAAATTACTATTAGTTATTCTGAGCAAACTATTTGCATTTTTAAAACATGGAAAAATTGTGTAGTTTGAAATAATATCAGTTAAATCGATCTCATCATAATTAGTTTTAAAAAAATGCATACTTCTGCATTTGCAATTGAAAAATAAGATTAAATGTTGGTACACAAAGGGCAGATTTTTTTTCAACATTGTTTTTAAAGAATATGTATGTCACTTTGTGAATATTAATTATTTTGTAATGTTTATGTGATCACAATGTCTTAGATTTATGCCAGTAACTGGGACTGTTACCTATATAATGCTGGTAATAATTCACTTTAAATCTATATGATCACACTGTCTTTAAGCTTCTGTACATGTACTTATTGCATTTGCCAACTTTATCGATGATTATGCAGAAATAAAGAAGCGTCAAGTACTCCATGCATTGTGGAATTTTTTTGGAGATAGAGAGAGAGGGGAATTTGACATCATTTTCCATGTTGGTCAAACTCCAAATCCACATCATCAAAATATAAATCTGTGAACAAAAGACCCATGGACCACATTGCTCACACGAGTCGTTTTTTGCCTTGTCCTCAAAAGAAGATTTTTGACAGAATTTTTTCATCTTTCTTCTTAGTAAAACTTTTGAGCCCATATTTGACCCCACATGAGCTCCATAGGGTTATGCGGCTTATCCCTTTATTGATCTTAAATCAACCAAATATGAAATGCTTCTCTGAGTCAATACGATGAAGAAACCATAACTTTGCTGTTCCACAGAAAAAAAAATAAAATATCTTTTTGGTCAAATCAATTGATTTATCACTGTTTGTCTTTGTTCATCATCATGTCTTGCATTGGTTATAAAGTTTTAAAACATTTTCATCTTCTAGTTTTGAAAAACTGAACTGACTTCAAAATATTTTGGTTTAAAGCATCTGTGGGCAAAAGGAAACAAAAATTGGGAATTTCATGGATTCTGCCTCACTTGGGCTTGAAGGATAGAACCTAATTGATCAAAATCCCTTTTATCTTTTTTTTATAAATTCTGGATACCAAGTAGTTAAACTGTTGACATATGGTTATAAGAAGCATGAGGCCTTTACCACATTTGTGGCCCCATGATCAAGGGTCCTACTATTAGGGTATGGGTTCTATTGATCTTCTAGTGAAATCGCATAAATTCCCTCTCACTACAAATGAAACAGACAAATAAGTTCGTCATTGTGATGAGCAAAGGTGTTTTTCAAAAATCATGAAATCCATGTCCCCATGGTCAACGGTCTGGTGCTAGAAAGAAGTTTTATTGAACATTTATTTTTAAAAAATAATGAATGAAGTTTAAAAGTCATTCAAATTCCCATTTACCTTAGTTTGTATTTTTTAAAACTCAATACGTTTTTTTTCACAGCTAGGGGGAAATGTGTGCATCATCATTTTAGCATTGTGACATGAATTCAATTAATGTATTTATTAATTAAAATCATTATCATTTTTTACAGTCATTCTTACAGTCATTCTTACACATTTTTAAATTAGTTTCTTTTCAATTAATGAAATAAATAGATTCTTCTTTAGATAACTAACAAGTTCAAATGCTTCGTACAACATTGTGCACAGATATTTATGTATTAATCATCAGATATTTAATACACACATACAGCATAACGAGCATATCAAGCATACAATCATATATGATACTTGCATATGTACATAAAAATACATATTCCTCTATTAAGAAATATTAAATTCGACTTGTTACATTCCTCTTTTGTTTGAGTCCTCCATTACTTTCCTTGAGTTGAGAGCTTAAAACACATTCACATTTTTAAAAACATACTTTCTTTATCAATCACAATTTTCTACTTCCTGTTCCTCTATTGGTGTTAATTAATTAAAGCTATCTTATAAGTATTGTTGCAACTTAGCAATAGTTTAAAAAATTATTTGCATTTTTAAATTAGCAAAGATAAATATTGAACCGGGGACTAATGGTAATGAAGAGACATTGCTTTCAGCAGTAAACTACCATGAAAGGCCAATGTTGGAATGAAATTGAAAATCTTCACAACACTTTCTTTGAAAAAAAAATTATACGTAGTATTACAAATTATTTAAATGTATTATAAATACTTATTAAAACATCATATATATACATTAAAACATCATATACATATACATTAATATAAAAATTTAAAGCAATGGGATTTCAAGCAGGTCAATATATGGTGCCAATATATACCACAATTCTCCATTTCTTACAACTAATGGCCATGACATATGGGTCTTGAACCCTTTGTTGGACTGCCAATTGTATTACTTAAAAGAAATGGCAAGGTAAGATATTAACCCATACAGGTTCTATAATTATAAAAACATGTCAATTGCAATACAAAAAAAACCAAAATACACATATAATTATGTACATTTTATATATTTAAAACAATCATACCTGTATTTTTACTAAACCTGTACATGTATTACAATATAAAAAGTTATGAACAGAGGAAAATGGAAATAATAACACACACCCCCTCCCTCATCATTACAGCCTGTGGAGAAATGATACAAGTTCAGTATTGCACTAATATGTTTCAAAGAAGCAGGGACTAAAGGCTTATGGACATTTACAGTGACCTGAGTATCATGGACCAACTTATTCCAAGGTTCATATACTCTTCATATTGTTTCTGTACCTTTTTGTTAGCTCTATGTTCACAAACATAATGACCTTGAATTTAAAGTTGTAACCTTTTTGTAGCTTCATCTTACATGTATCTGTTTGTCATTTCTGTATCATTAGAAGATTATAATTATCTCAAGATCAGAATTGTATCCCTTTTGACAATAAAAAAAAAAGTTTTTAACTTTAAAGAGACTGGGGGGTCAACAAATTAACCACAAATTAACCACCAGATTTAACTTATTTTTTAGATACGGTATCTTAAGCTGTCAACTATCATTTGGCAAAGAAAAAATTCCTACATTTTAGTTTTAAAATTTGATCATTTTGTATATCTTTATATGGATAAAAGGAAACAATAAGAAAGGGCTTTCTTCCAAACAGTCAAAATAAAAGAACATTGCTAATGAGGGGCCTCTAACTTAGCCTAATGAATTTTCAAGACAAAACCTGATTGATGTACTAAAAAACAATTTTTAACATCAACTGGACATATGAAGTCTTATATACATTGTAGTCAAACCTAATAATCTCAAACTTTATGGGACTATAAGAAAAAAATAATAGATATCCAATGATTTGAGAAAATAATAATAAAATACTTAAATAATAAAATAAAACTAGTTTCACATTATCAAGGTATTTAAGATAATAGTGTTTGAGATATCAAAATTCAACTGTATCTAAGACTGTAGCAAGGATAAAGTTTTGACACCACAAGCAAGGGCATTTGGATTGCTGTTAAACTTAATTTACATTCGTTGCCTTTATGAAGAGATATATGTTATCGTTGTTGATTATTAAATACTGATTAATTACTACATGTTTTGTTTTAATGGAGAGGAAGCTGAGACAATCATTCTGTACAAAAAGTGAATATGCTCTTAATTACAGTCAAATCAAGAGCTACAGAATCAAGTCCTTGTAAACACTCACCAGAAGAACCTGTTATTTATGATCTATATGAAAGTTTTAGTATCACAGAAATCTGTACAAATGTCAGTGTTGGTCAACCTATTCCAGTGTACCTCCTGTCCAGCTGACTGACCTTTAGGTTGAGGCCGGGTCACTGAAACCACTTCCTCCTGCAACAAAAACATAGAATATCTATAGAATATATACACACACTATAAAAACATAGAATATCTATAGAATATATACACACTATAATATACTTCAAGGTCATGAGGTAAAAAATGTCGGTATAAGGTTTTGTCACAAGGAATACACATATGAAAGGCGTAGAACCATGCAAACTTATATAGGGAATAAATATGGTTCTTAAGATTTATAAAGTAATCAATATATTACTCACAACAAAAGTTTATACTTGTTTACAATTATGTTTAAAAAGATTACTTGTTCAAAGCATTGTAATGCAATATACACTTGAATTTGATAAATTTTTAACATAGTATTCTAAAATATTTCATTTTTCAAAAAATTTGTTAAAACTCCACTTAACTTCTAAATCAGTAGCATGACTATTGATCAATCATTCTGTCTACGTTTTGTTCAGTATTACCTGTCGTAGATTGGTCGTTGATAAGTCTGTCGTTTTCCCCTCCTACGTCCTGTAAGTTCCTATACTGAGCTCGCCTCTCGCGGATATGTTGTACGATCGGGACTATGATGATGTTATTGTAGAGACACATTCCCGTCAATAAGATGAAAAATCCTATCAACTGCAGCACCTGGAATCCCTGCCAACCCAAGAACAGGGTCAACAGCCAGATAAAAAGAGTCCGAACACTGTCTAGCACCATGCGTGTTGTAGCACTTAGCTCCTTTGTAACGCTAATTCCAGCAAAGTTGAAGAATGCTATACTAACAATATTTCCTACAAAATAAATAAATTGTTTTACAATGAGTTCAAGCAGAGTCACCCAAGATTAGAATATTACATAGATATCTACCAAAATGGTGAAACTGCTCATCAGTTAAAGCTGAAATGTTTGAATTGCAATGGGCCAAAAAAAAAAGATTTATTCATTCCAGAAGAAATATAAATGAAATAGAGTGACATGACACTTACCCACAGTTGCTAATAAAATAATCCAGCTATTCCCTATCTGTATAAAAGCATCTATAGGATCTTCTAACTTCTGAGTTGGTAATTTACTGAAGGCACCGGCATCAATGTAGAAGAACACGATGTTCAGGAGTCCCAGAACGGTGAACCCGAAAAACCCTGTAAATAGATTTATGTAGAATTAATATTAAGAATGATACTTTGAAGGATAACTGTGTTTCCTACACACCAGGTACTACCTAAATCTTTGTAGAACAATTTATTCAAATGTGTAGAAATGAAGCCAAAAATTGCTTGCCTTACAGGGATTTTATTTGAACATTCCTAAACTTGATTAAGAATAAATGCAGGAGCTTTGATTTCTTTTGTAATCCATTTGTATATAATCATTTTCTATTATCTTATGAATGCTCTTCAAAGTCAGCAGACCTGCCCACTAGCTCTCCTGCATTCTATGGGTCTCATGAGAAAAATTATACCATCACCCTTCTATAGTATAGGGTCATCACCCTTATCCTCACAACATGGTAACAGGTGGCTGCTTTCTGATTAATACTTGTCTAACTCAAGAATTAAGTTACAAGTCGGTCTCATCAGCAAAATTACATCACTACATCAGGAACCTCATTATCTGGTGACAGGTGCTTGGTTATATTCCAATTACTTGTCCGACTCAAACGTAACAAGTTGGGAGGTTGGCAGATACATTGTACATTGTGAACAGAACATTCCCATGTGCCTTTTTGATTCACATAATGTGTAGCACAATAATATTAATATTCAGGTCGGAAACTAAGACTATATACGCAAAAATTTATGTTTTAAAATATTCAAGGACAAATATATAATTTTGGCTGCTTTACCTTCCCATCCCACGGCCTGCATTGCTGGGATGCTGTATCTGGTGACAAACTTTTCCTCATACACCATCTGTACCGCCACAATGATCTGAGCCATTATAATCAACAGGTCACCTGTATAGTAAAGTGTATATGTATGAATCTGAATGAATAAAACAAAAAGTCTATGCATAAAACAAAAACTCTCTGATAAAACTGTAGGTCTACCTAATAATTTAATTAAAACAAAGGAAGAGAAAAGTAGTACTTGGACAATTGTCTCAAGCAATGGGTTTTGTATCCATTCTATTTCCAAATTTGTGGAAATAGAATGGACACAAAACCTGTGGCTTGAGACGTTGTACTTGGACTTGAAATAATGGAACTATCATTATGAACTTTATGTTAACACTTTAAAATATGAAGATTATATATATACCTGCGATGATTCCATTTGTATCTGTCTGAGCTGATTGGTCTCCAAATAAAATATCGGACAATCCTACCATTGCCAGACCTAGCAGGACGGTGAATATCCCCGCCCACATCAGTTTACGTATTGTTGATCCGAGGAAAGCCACGGAAAGGAGGGCTGTGAAAATGATGACAGCACCTGATGGAAAACAAAACAAAAAAAAAATTCCATTATTCTTAGTGGTATATTTATTTAAATAAAGTACATGGAGATAATGAACAGCACACGCGTCCAAAAGTCCATCAAAAACCACAAAACAGGAGCGATCCGGTGCAAACAAGAACCTCCAAAATTGAAATAATCTTCAGAAATTTGTTTCTTTTTATTCCCTAAAATTCCACCATTTAATTTTGCCAATACCACAGGAATGACAAAGTTCAGAGGCCTGTAGGCCTTTAAAGTCACCTGGGAATCATACAGCAACTTTCTTTCAGATATTAACTTTAAAATACACCATATCTTTTCATATGCAATCTTCTTACAATACTCTATTATGAATTTATGAACAAGATAATATGCCCTTTTTTTCCCCTTGTAATTTATTTTGTGTATCTTATATATAAAAGTTACTTTATCCATTTTTTTTCAACAATCTGATTGAAACAAGAGATGTTTGTAAAACACTTATGCCCCCCTTCCCCCCAAATAGGAATTTTTCAAAGTCCAAAAGGGCATAACTCTGTTAAAATTGGTGCGATTGTACCCAAAAAAGAAGTTAGCCTAGATTTTCATCTGATATATTTGTATACTAAATTTCATTTCAAAATGTGCAACCTCTGCAAAGAAAATGAACAAAAACTGCAAATAATTGGAATTTTCCTAAGTACAAGGAGCATAACTCTGTCAAAAATTGTGCGACCGTATCCAAAACAGAACTTGACCTAGATATTCATCTGATATATCTGTATACTAAATTTCATTTCAGCATGTGCAACCTCTGCGAAGAAAATGAACGGAAACTGCAAATAATTGGAATTTTTCTAAGTCCAAGGGGCATAACTCTGTCAAAAATGATGCAACTGTACCCAAAACAGAACTTGACCTAGATATTCATTTGATATATCTGTATACCAAATTTCATTTCAGTATGTGCCACGGTTGTGAAGAAAATGAACAGAAACTAAGTGGACCGACAGACCAACCGACAGACAGCAGCAAAGCAATATGCCCTCCCTTCTTCGAAGGGGGGCATAATAAATTAATCTAAAAAATGACCAGGGTTAGTAAAATTTATTTATAAATGAAGTGTACCTTATCAAAGTTCTGCACATTATGCACAATACCAGAATGCTGAAAACCCTTAATCAGCTGTGAACTTTAATAGTGTGGTGAAAGTGTTAACCATTGCAATATGATAAATAAATTTAGCATTAATATTCCATTTAAGATGTCATTTCATTCTGAAATATCTCCAAATTTTCTGGTAACAAACTCCCACCTAGAAGTGACTGCAAATTTTACATGTACTCAACTTAATCAAGCCAGCATGGAGTGTTAATTTGTCCCATCTTAGCTATAGGCAGACAAAACAAATTTTTACCTTATATAGTATCAATGACTTGCATGTTAAAATCTACAAGTGCTATCATCCTCTACCCATAACCTATCTGTAGTGATTACAGTGTTGATGTTTAGGAATAAAATTTCGAAGCTAATGCCTAACAAAAACATGCAATGCTTATAACTTATAGCCTTCACCTTTGACCCCATAGATCAAGTCCCCCACCCCACCCACCCTATCTACATAGCATTCCTCTACCAAAGCATCCCCCACCTGAATATTGAGACTGTCAATTAAAAGATACCTCAGGATTCCAAAATCACCTACATAATATGTGAAGTCTTTATTAAAAAATGTGCAGTTTTTCTTATCACATAAAAATGTGAAGTCCTTTATTGACACATACATAAAAATAACTGTCTATATATGGAAAAAAAATCTGAAAACTATAATCACCTACATCAAATTGTGAAAGTACCCTGTAACAGCTAGTCTTAATTTGTTTGTAAGCCTCATTATTGCACTTGCATTTTAGAGGAAATTACTAGATATAATTCTATGACTGGTAATCCAATTTATATCCATAGTTCCCTAACTAAAGGAGGAAATGCTTAAAAATCATATGTCAGTTTTAAATACATATATTTTATATCTCCCAACCAATTTGAATTTGAGTTACTGTACCTATACTTGATTCCTAAAAACTTCATAAAATAAAATACTTACAGATAAGAGATATGTTGAGGGGTTCCAGTAAATGTCAGAACTACCTAGCCTGAGTATGAAAATATTAAACTGCAATGATCGAAGGAGAGACTGTGATTGGAAGTACATCTATTATGTACAACAGTGTATTTGAGAAGTGGTGTAAATCAGATGCAGATCGATACATGCATGTACTTTACTTTTAGAAATTTTGAAAGCATAAAATTTTACCAAAACATCAAAACATACAACTTTTTCAAACTTAAAACAATCATTCCAAATAATACTCTTTGACATCACAGAAAACTGTTATTCTTCAATATAAATGAAAATTCTTTTCATGCAGGGTCACCTGTAGACTTCTATAGTTTATTAAAATAGATTAGGATTCAGATTCATTATAAGTATAAAACATATTCCCAGTCCATGTTAGCTAAAATAATATTGTCTGTAGGAAATATAGTCTCCTTCATTTATTTCATTAAAAACTGTTATTCAAGTTATACAGGTACACTTAATCCATTCAATCATGCAACATTAACAAATGATTTTATTTTTAGATGGAAACTTTAAGTTTATATAAAATTTAAATCAAAACTACATATTTGAGATCTAGCTTAAAAATTGTTAATCTGTCTAAAAAAAAGAAAAGAAAAAGATATCTGCATTTAAAAAAAGTTTTATCTTCACTACGTTGCTACATGGGGGCATCAGTGTTTCACAAACACATCTTATTTTCAAAAAAGAAATTACAGACATTATTGAAAATAAACATTAACATAAATTCATAATTATTATTGTAAATAATTAAAACCATTAACTTATCCCCTAGCTCTTAATTATTCTTTTTTAATTCATTAATAATTTCAATTTTTGATTTACTACATATTTTATTTCTTAATTATTTATTATATATTTTATTTATTTCCTATATTACTATATTTCATTTCTTCATTTATTGTTTATTTTTCTGCATTCAATAATATATTTTATTTCCAGTCTAAAATTTCTGAAGAGTAATTATTTTCAAGTTAAGGAAAAATGCAGGTGGCATATCAAACACATTTAATCCAATTAAAATATTCTTATCACTGTTAATCTGTCATCATTATCTCAAAAATTTCTTCCAGACAACAATTATCAGATTAGCAGCCTATCTGTGTACCTAACTGTAAAAAAAAAATGCCTACAGATGTCCAACAATGCCTAGGGGTGTCTCAACTAATTGCTGAGTTAATTGGTCAAATAAATTGTCTTTTGAATTCACTGAGGTGTCAGAGGAAAAATCAGAAGTAAAGAGAGTGAATTTTGACACCTCTCTGCTAAAACTGGCAATATATACAGACATTTCACTATGGTGTCATCACAGAGCAGCTAGACAAAGAGAGGGTAAGAACTAAATATCATTTTGAAGAAAAAAATAATTTTAAAAATAAAAAAATCTTAATATTACTTACAAGTATTTTATTTATCTTTTTCATATTTTACTAACTGTAAAATAAAGTCTAATTGAGTTTTCAAAAGAAAAAAATTCAAAGAACATTTTAATGGTAAATTAATTTTCAATCAAAGTACCGGTTGGATTGTGTTTGGCACAGTTTATGTGCAGGTGCTGATGAAACACCCACACATAGTGTGTCAATCACAAGACAACTAACTATCACCAGATCTGATTCAGGAAAAATTCACATTAAATTCATTTGAATTATATTTCAACAAATATTTTCTTTTCCTCCAATTCTTCCCTTTACACTTATATTTTTTCAGTTTGAGAATTTGAATTGTTTGTCTTTCCTTGGACCTGTTATGTGCTGGTTTTATGTTGGCACTAGCACTAGCTTGTGCAAGGAAAGACACAATTTTCTTCTTACCAATTTCTATTATTTAGGACTGAAACTTTAATAATTAAAACCTCTTCAAGTTATAATTTAATAGTTTTTGACGTTTTCTTCCTCAGTACTTCCTTTGTGCTGATAAAGTTTTATCATTAGCACTAGACTGTGCTGAGGAGGAAACTGTTGAAAATCAACAAGCAGGTCAAAAGATTTAGGATTTCAAGGAAGTCATACAACTATTAACCTAATATAAAGTTAGCACTTGTATTTGTTTAGTTTTTTATTTCCACATAAACATAAAAACTAATACATGTACTGCAGTCTTCGTTTTAACATTATACCTCCCTCTTTTTAATCTACTGTAGAAGTACTTTTTTCCATGTGGTATTAATTTACGCTATGTACGCGGTCACAAATTTTCTGTGGAAATTTGTCCAAGCATACTTAATATAAATGTAAGGCATATAGTGGCAGTCTAGGAAATCTGCATAATTTTCTACATGAGGATTCAACAGAAATTAAGATTCCACGGAATAATGACCCTGTGCAAAAAAGTATGTCTACAGTATATAAAATTGTTTTATCTTGGTCTTCCTATTAAGTTCAGACTAACACAAAACTAGTTCAGCACTCTTACAATTCAGTTCAGAAGCCTATATTTCTGAATTTTTCCAAAAAAAAGAAGTTTTTTTCTCAGAGATTAAATGTCAAGCTCTTCCCTTGGTACTTGCTATGTGCTGGTTTACCCTATGTTACTAGCACTAGCCTGTGCTGAGAGGGGAACAAGACCTTAACAGCAATTACTCCATGATAATAAATGTATTAAAATGTCATGATAGACAAAATAATGGCCAATCCTAGATATAAAGAGATTTTATTCAAAGGCCTGACATTGGATCTTTCTGAATGTTTTTTTTTTCCAGAACTTTATAAACGTCAAGATTTTTCCTTGGTACTTGCTATGTGCTGGTTTACTGTATGTTATTAGCACTAGCCTGTGCTGAGAGAGGAACACGACCTTTGCAGCAAACAAATTACATGATATGGTTTGTTACAACAGACAAAATACGGACAAATTCTTGATACATACACAGAGATTTTATTCAAAAGCAAAAAAATATATGCTTTTTTTTCACGAATTTATGAAGTCAAGATTTTTCCTTGGCACTTGCTAAGTGCTTGTTTCTCCTATGTTTATACTAGCACTAGCCTGTGCTTATAGAGGAACAAGACCTTTGCAGCAATGCAATAAAATTTCATGACAGGTATAAAATTACTGACAATTTCTAAATACGTACATGTACTTACAAAGAGAAATTTTATTCAAAAGAACGATACTTGTTACTGGATCTTTTGAAATGTGTGGGATATTTTTCAGAATTTTAGGAAAGTCAAGCTCTTCCCTTGGTACTTGCTATGTGCTGGTTTACCCTATGTTACTAGCACTAGCCTGTGCTGAGAGAGGAACACGACCTTTACAGCAATTAAAATTACCCCCATGATTAAATGCATGCACTTAAATGTCATAAATATTGATAAATTCTAGATACTACTCAGAGGAATTTTTTTTCAAATGGCTACTAATTAATGAATGAAAAAATATTGATTTTTTTTTCAGGATTTTATAAAAGTCAAGATTTTTCCTTGGTACTTGCTATGTGCTGATTTACTGTACGTTAATTATTAGCACTAGCCTGTGCTGAGAGAGGAACACGACCTTTACAGCAATCACATTTCCACATATGACTTAAATTACTAAAATGTGATGATAGACAAAAAAATATGACCAATTCTAAATACTGCACAGAGATTTTGTTCATATAGCAATACTTATCATGTATAAATGCAGGTGTGTATTAATTCATCTATTACTTGATTAAAATATTTAAAAGTCTTCTTTCCCTTTTTTGTCCTTATTTTCAGAAATAGTATTATGGTATTTAAGATGTTTTATCTTTAATTTTCTATTTTATGTAAATATTTCATTTTTATCCACAAATTTAAAATTAACCACCAAAATTTTATACCAAAATCTTGAACTCAGCCTTTAAAGTTGAGTTAGAACTCTGGAATTTTTTGCCATATTTTTAATATTTACCAGGTATACGATTTCTATCATTTAATTCATTTTTCCTTTGAAGATTTGAAAAGGATGATTGCAAAGTACTAATAATTGAACTGCAAGAGGCCTATGAGCATCAATGCACACTCTTTACCATTTTTGTTTTCTTACTAATAATTATCTCCCTTTGCATTATTTCATTTACATAATTTTACATAATTTTGAGTCCCTTTGAGCTAAAGGAATTTAAGCATAATTTTGGATAAAATGGATTTCTTGGTAAATCTAAATGTCACACCATTTATTTTAATAAAACAACTGCATGTACTTAATATATCATTTTCCACACAAACATGCTCTTTCAAATAACAATCAAACTTTGATCGGAAAAGGTTTTTTTTAATACCGGTACTTTAGCCTATATAAAATAAAATTCTCAATGGTCTCTTTACTGCATTTAGAAGAAAATCAAATTTCAGCATACATTTCCATGTTGTTGTTTTTTTGTTCCCATAGCCCCTTAAATTAAGTCAACTAAACAACTAAGGTGCAAAATAAGATATTATTCCAACTTGTCAAATCATTCCATTTGTCTAAATTTCTTGCAGGGAAACTTCGATTGTATGAATAAAACAAACCTCTCAACATCTGGAAACTTGAGGCATAGGTTAAATTAAGTCCAATGTACATCAGTGATGTCCCACACATATCACAGATGGCCGGGGGGAGGAAGATGAGGGGGTTAAAGCCCTGGTTCCCCATATTCTGTTCCTGCTCTGGGTGGCGAACTCGATGGTACAGCTTTATTATTTGGAAAGCTATGAGGCAGGAAAATTCACCCAAAAACATCCCAACTGCCTGAATAAAGCAGAGAAATTTCTTTGTCAATATAAAAATAAAAGCTAGTAAATTGATACCTATTAATAAATCTCATCTATATAGTAAACTTGCAAGAACTTTTTTTTTATGATGGCTAGCTTGGTATTACATTTTACTTCAAAAAAATAAAAAATAAAATGCAATCCTTTCATATGTGCAGCAGAAATTTTATGTTAGAATTTTAACCATGAAAGATTCAGTTTTAATGAAAAATGTACAGAGCTTCAAGGGAGAACACCTGGTACTCATATATTATGTCACACTTTCCTCCCTAATGAAAATTGGGAGAAACACCATGATAATTTTTTTTAGATAATCATCTTCTTTACAATAATTTGAAACTGGCATTAATGGGAAAAAAATGAAAGAAAAAAATAATCATAAAAGGGATTTCTAAACAGATTAATTTTGAAAAATTGTTCAATTGTTAAAATTTCAATCTACATTACAAAAAAATATCAAAATTTCAGTTCATAGTACATCTATCATGTTTTTCTATCATCACTTCTTCAACCATCAAATCACATACCCAAGAAACAATATTTCTTCCAACCTCAAACACTTGACCCTGCCTATAAGAACAAGTAATTTTACAGTAACAAGTGAAACTGGTGCTTCATAGGGAATTACCTGCAGGAATGGATGGTCAAATGAGTGATTAATTCCATCTCTTCCAACTGCATCCTGTCTGTCTGCCCATCTGTTTAAAAAAAATATTTGATTCATAGAAATTAGTTTCTAATAATTATACTGCCTAAAAAACAAATATTTCAGCGATTTTTTTAAAAATTATTTTAAACAGCATACGTTAGAAGTTTAAAAATTTAAGAACAAGGGGAACAGGCTAACCTTATTTATTTATAAATTTATACCTACAACTGTGTATCTATGAAATTTATACATTTGTATGAAATAACTTTTCATACAATAAAGTGAGATGAAATCTGAGCCAAGTTTAATGTTTTCTTTTTTGCACCTTGCTGCATGTGCAGAAGACAAAGATATGTTAATTCATGAGTAGAAACTGTGACTTATTAAATTATTTTAGTAATAGGAATGGTATAAAAGGAAAGGAGAATATATGGCTGGGCCAGAAATTGAACCCCAAACCCAACTGCATCACTAGCCAGGTGCTCTACCAACTGAGCTATGTGATATGGCAAATGGGACAAACCATGTGCATTACATTTCTCCTTTCTTAAATTGTCTTAAATTGTCAATTTTACCGGAGTTCTTTTAAACCCAAGCAGAACTTCCATTCTGCGAGTCTAGGGGGTAGGGGATATGTACAGGAAAGGAGAAAATGTATGGCTGGACCGAGGATAGAATGTTATACTGAAGTAACTACATACATTACATTGATTTTTTTATAGCCGTATATTATCATATTTTGTATTTTGATTAATCAACCCATTTGATAAGATCTGGTTGTTATTCCCTAGCTATTCTGTATGTGTCATGAACCCCATCACAGTGTACGAGATGTGTTATTTTAAAAGTATATGCTCCAAGTAACTTTATATACCAAGATGTAAATCAGTTTGGAATTCATCAGTTCAACTGTTATTTATCATTTTCTCCAACAGATATATTCATCATGTGAAGGGAAAAGTGAATGGTAAAATAATGTTACTACTATTCATTAAAGAGACGGGGTAAACTTTGCGGCCGAGATGGCGGAGGGGGGGGGGGGGACCGGTCTGATCATATGCAGCTTGTTATCAATCGCGTGACACTCTTCATTAACGCATAGGCCTACCGTAGGCCCAAATGTATAACTTTATCAAGTGGAAATATCTAACAGATAGGAGAGCCTTGTATAAACGTTTCCATCAAGCTTAACCACACCGGGAAGAACAAGGAAGATACCTTACGAGTAAAGCGAAAATAGAAAGCCCGACATCACGTGCATGCGTAATTCAAATATCTTGACAGCAAGTTTAAAGATACTTACTTCGTTGAGATGGTGTTTATAGAACCCGTCACAACCATCATTACGGCAAGTACTATTTGTTTGTAAGTCCAAGCCATTTTTGAGAAAGGGACTCTGAGACTTCGAAGAAGGAAGATTATTTACTTTTCAAAGGGTCATCGGTCAGCGATTCAGCGTCACTAATACGCTTGCTTAAATACCCATTTATAAACATTTCTGAGATGTAGATTATCTATAACCAGTATGTTTAGAGTTAGATATCTATATGAGCATGGCTCGTTGGTCTAGGGGTATGATTCTCGCTTAGGGTGCGAGAGGTCCCGGGTTCAAATCCCGGACGAGCCCAATAATTTTTTTTCATTCCCAGTGGACCAAGTTTTATTTTAAAAGAGAGGAGTGAAATTTTGTCATATCTGAGTTTCCAAACCTCAGGGACTTGAGAAAATCATAGAAAAATCGGGTATATAGATTGCTACGATAGTCTAAAGTCCCTGTGTTCCAAACTCTTTTCGAAATATCTACCGTAAGTACCGATATAGGGATTTTGAAAAAAAATAATAATTATTTGCCTTCTGTTCATATATGACTTTACATATAATCTGAAATGATTTAATTAATCTACTTTTTTCATTTCCTTTTGTAATTTAAAAAAAAATACCCGCCAAGTACCGTGACTACAGTATTTTACAGTAAAAAAAAAAAAACCCTACCCAGACTCAACAAACTAATATTTTCTAGTAGAAAACCGTGGGCCTACCAGAACTAACAATTAAAAGATTATAATAATAAGATTTTTTCAAGTCTTTTGAAATACAATATTTATTCAAAAGTACTGAACCCAAAACAAATTCTAAACAAAGTTGAAGTACAAGAATTCTCATAATTTCCACTTTCAATTTATTTCGACACGCGCTTTTTGAATAAAAGTCGAATATTTGACCAAGAATGGATTTCATTATTTCATACTTATTTTATAGGAGTAATTTCTTGCAAGTAATACATTAAATTACCATATGCAAGTGTTTCAAACATTTTTTTTATTATTTGTTTACTAATTATATATCATATATTTATTTTATTTTATTGATAAGTTTGTACTTATAATATATATAAAAAATAAAACTGACACTGAATGGTGTCTGCATGCCGGGATACTGTACATAAAATACAGATCAATAAATAATATCTTGATTATCTTCCTTTCACCGGAGAAGTTATGCATTTTTCAAACGGAATATTTATTTGAAATAGTGAAATATGACTATTCACGACAGAAATCACGCCGTTATCCTTACCAAATGAAATAACTTCAGCTTATAGCATGCTAAGTGGACTCTTTTCATACATTTATCATGCATTTTAAGAAAAGAAAATTATTGCTAAAATCCAGTTTCCGGATATTTTTGTAGTTTTTTGATAAATACATTCTCGGGGGGGGGGGGGGGGGGGGGAAAGAAGGGGGGAGGGGGGTGTCAAGGTTAATTGTTGGTTGAGGATTGCGACCCCAGATTCCTTTTTCAGCCGAAGATATATATTATTCAGATGATATATGTAGTATGTACAAACTGGAGCAAAGAAAAATCGACCTCATTCATCACACATTAACACTTAACCTGCCATAAATTTTCAGAAAAAATATTACCAAGTGCACAATATACTGTAATGAGCTCATTCACCCCAACCATTAAAATCTCTCTCTCCCTCCCTTCCTCCCTCTCTCTCTCTTGGCACGCTTCCCGCTTATGTAGGTCAAGAAACCCTCTCCGCACCCCAATCTTGATTCGACTTCCTCTTAACGATTTTGTTTGCACACCATGCTTGTTGTTAAATAGTAGACCTTTTTTTAAAGACTGTGATTTATAGTTTTAGGGACAATTAATATATTTTTTAAATATGGTAAGTATTTTTATCACCGATTATTATTATAAGGTGGAATACAAAAAAAAGTCCTGTCCTTTAATAATGAAATGCAGAGGTCACAAAATCTGTTTAAATTTATGGTATAACATAAGATCTAGAGCCAGGGCAGGCCCGTAGAGAGCTAGGTGGGTTCTCCTCCATCTTTTCTGATTATAAAGTATAGTAATTTCTGTACATGTAGACGCTGGTTGCAACCCCACCCATCCACTCCTTTTTTTTTCTTTTTTTTTTTTTTTTTGCTGTAAGGTCGAGCACTGGCAAAATCTAGGATTTTAAAGTTAATATTTTGTAGTTGTTTTTTTTTTTTGGGGGGGGGGGCTTGTCCGATTTGGGGGGGGGGGGTCCCCCTTTGAAATCGTTTCTATGGGTCTGCAGGGGATCAAGTGAGCACAATTAACCGATCAAAGCTTCTTTCTCCGGAAGGAAACGTGAATAAGCATTATTGGTGAAAATTTACATTCTAGGATGTGGTTGATGATATTTATGTAGAAAAACTTCCAGACCCCCCCCCCCCCACACACACACACACACCTTTTTTTCTAAGGTTAAGGCTATTTAAAATTGGTAAAAATTAATTTGACATTATCTCAATGTTGTTTTTACTAAAGGTAAAGTACCTTTCCCCTTTGAAATAAACTAAAAAATTTCCCTTTTAGTGACAGCAAATTTCCTGATTAAACTTGCATGTTAATATTTATGATAGTTCTAGAATTTACCCCCATATTAGCTCTCAAAAAGTATAATATTCGAAACTTTTTTAAGGAGACATGCCCCTTGACTTCCATAGTTTATTATTTATTGACACCTGTAGTGCTTTTAATGTCAAGAAATATTGTTTTCATTTTCCCAGGTCTATGTGAAAAGTGTTATCAAATAAAATAGCTATAGATAAATTCTATTATTGAATAAATATTATTGACATGTAATTCAAACTCTATTTAATCAAGCTGTTGCACTTTTGGGTAGGGCTGCTGGTAACACAACTTCTCAGTTTAACAAAAGGATAGTTAAAATGTTTATTGAAAAATAATACCCTGAAAGCAATATTGTTATTTTTAAGCAAATCTGTAAAGTCATAACCGATAGATCAGCAAATGAGAGTATAGAATAAGTTTGAAGGTTTCAGTATGATAGGGATTTTTGTTACTTGTAGAATTACATGTACATAATATTTGTATAATGAATTCATTAATCTATCATAATTTGTATGATGTTTCACTTGGGGCCAATAATCATTTATTTGGGAGAGGGGGAGTGTTAATATGCAGGCATTTACCATTGGCCTCTCTATAATTTCTTTCTTTCTTTATAGCTCTGCTGGCTTTAAATTTTCTCCATTTGCATGATCTCTCTCTATATTTTTTTTTATTTGTGAATTAAATGAGGATGAGATTGACAGTTTCAGTAACTGGTACTATTTTTGTATGGAATATGATGCTGGTGACACTGGGTGTTGTAGGTTATGGTACTTCTGTTTGCCAGGTGACACTGGGTGAGGTAGATTCTTGTACTTCTATTTGCTGGGTGACACTGGGTGAGGTAGTTTTTCATTTCCAGTCTGTGACCTCACATGGATACTGGACATTCACCTGGTTTCTTCTCATCAAATGTGAAGATTTGAAAGAATAATAACACACCCCTCCCATTCTCTTACATTGCACTTAAGTACCTATCAGATGTTACATATGGTTGTTGATTTAGTGAAGTGCGAGAATCATGCTGTAAATCAATGACCTCCCTCTTTATTTATTTTTGATTATCTTTTGAAAGTGGTGAAATTTTTTCTATTTATTTTTTAATTAAAAACAAGTAACATATAGAATTCAACACATTTTGATATCGAATGTATAATATTTAACATTACTAAGCAAAATCTTACTTAAATTAATGGGTTAATAGGATTATTCCTTGGCATTTGCATGAAGATTTTCCAATTTGCACAAATATACTGGTAATTAATAGACATGATAGATTTTTTTTTCTCTTTCAAAGAAAGAGGTTTAATGTTTATGAACTTGAAATGATTTTTAAAAGCATTAAACCCTATAAAATTTGTCTTCTTAATCATTCTTTGTCATTCCGGCCCTTACAAACTTGCAATACAATATATGGAATCTCATTTTAACTGATGGAATTGGTACTCAGTATAACTGAGTTTATAAACTGTATCACAAGAAAATGTGTTACCTAAAGGTACCTTTAACCATGGACTAGATTGATTAATTGGGTCAGATTATTATTATATTTGGCAGGTTGTTAAAATCAGATTAATCTTAGCCTTATGACACCAGTATATTCTTTTATAGTATTTTAAATTCCTAATGCAATTGACGTACATATATTACATATATATCAAAATATTTGCCAAAGCCCTCAGAAGGTCAGGGTGCAATTTCACTATCCCCCTCCTAGCCCCACCTCTTACAACAATCTGTTGCGTTTAACCTATCCTCATCTTGACTGTTGTTACACTTTGGGGTTAGTGTAATCAGAGGATGGAACTTAGTCAGACTGAATCTTGAAAACATTAATATTTTTGAAACCTTTGGGAGAGCATATCTCCTTGACTACGGGGCCCCCACCCCACTTCTAGAAACATTCAAACATTTTAAATACTTTGTTTTCTTTTTTCAGGATAGACTGTATATAGCTGTAGTCCTTTTAGCTGTTTTCCTGTGTACTACACAAGTACAGGGTGAGTTCTTCCACATGATGTATTGAATGTCTGAAAGAAGAAATGGATATAAACATTCTTTAAAAATTTACATACAAATAAAGAGAAAAATTACAAGAAAATGACAAGAAAGGGAATTAAACCCAGACATCCTGCATTATTAGTCAGGTGCTCTAACCAATCAGCTATACATGGTTCATATTATACAGTTTAAGTATATCATTAAAAGAGTCTGCAAGATTACAGTTCCACAATAGCTGCATAATGAATATTCATGATGTTATTTGGAACACATTAGAACTTTTCATATGATTAAAAGAAATTTCTGGATGTTCAGAATATATGTGTTTCAGCTCAGTTATGATATTTTTGTCTTTCACAGGATCCCGGGAAAAGAGAAATTTATATGAACTGGCAGAGATGATTTCAGAAGTAGACAAACACAATCCCCTAACGGCCTATAATAACTACGGCTGTTATTGTGGGTGGGGTGGTTATGGCACCCCGGTGGACGGCATTGATGCGTATGTTATCCAATTGTTTGCATTTTATCTATTTGGTGCATATGAAATCCGTTACACAGAGTCTGCAGACACAAATGAAATTCAAATTTAAGTCAAAATTACATATTTAAATTGTTTTATTTAATTGAGGGGAATAGCGAAAAAGTGGGAAAGGGTAGGATAATGCAAATCTATTCCATGTAGTTCTTCTTGCCATGTTCCTGATTTTTTGTCTCTCTCACACAGATGCTGCCAGACCCATGATAACTGCTATGGAAATATAACAGCTAAAATCAAGAACTGTTCTCCGAAATGGGACGGTTATACATACCAAGTGGTGCCTGGTAATAAACCACTGCAGCCTCGACTGGTCCACTGTGGAGGTATGATCTTATAATCAACTCAAAATAAAAATATAATATTATACATGTACATGTATAACACATAAAAAAAAATAATATTTTTAGTGCATTTTTCTTCTTGGATATAAACTGCAATTTTTTCCTCCTGATACGTACCTCATTCATTGGATATAAAACTTTTTAAAAGATTTCTCAGTAACATTTGTATCACATATCCCATAGCCTGTAGGGAAATACTGGTTGTGGGTTCATTATATAGCATATGATCACTGTTGGTTGAAAATTCATCTTCATATACACTGTACTGTGAAATCACTGATTTGCTTGGGGGTTAAATTTTCGTTATTTTCAAGGCATGATGAGACCCATGAATTTATGTTCACCACGAAACATATAATTCCATATACTAGCTCGTACATAACTATATATACAACATTTCTTTGTCCACAAAATCAAATCCCCACAAACCCCATATTTTTGCCCCAATCCTCGAAAATTTGACCCCATGAAAATTTGTGATTTTACAGTAGATGTATTATGTAGAAAAAGACGTAACATTTATATTCCTTATCAAAATGTACTTATATTAATTATATCATTGATAATTACATGTACTAAACAGTACTTCAGCAAGAAATGATATTAGTTTGGCGATGAGTGATTTTTAAAAAAAATAGGAATGGGATACAGGTATTTTGGCCATGTTCATCCTCTGTATGTATAAGCAAACCTTGTAGTCCATTTTTGGACTTTGGTTTTGTAAATGAATTTGGCTCAGGAAGTAAAACCTTTTTTTCCCCTATTTTGCAGACAAAAACAGTAAACGTTTTGCCAAGGATTCCCAGAATAATTTTGTGCTCAATGGAAAAGATGATCATTATTGTCGCCTAGAGATCTGCAGATGTGATAAAGGTCTAACCGAGTGCCTAGAACAGTTCAAATTTACTGGAAAGAAATCATGCCCAAGTAAACGATAACGGATCTAAAAATTACTGGCATATCAGTTTGGTGTGTCAATTGATATTAAATATTTCTTCCATCAAATGACCATATCAAAATATCTTCCCCGGTACTCAAGCAGAAATGGGGGGAGGCATATCTAGGAGGACAATAAAGTCATTATTATCACAGATTATTATGCAGATATCTTTCAATGAATCTCACTCATAATTTTTTTTTGAATGTATTGTTTTATATCAGCAAATATTTTGATATTCATGATATTATAGTGGTTTATTTTTTAGAGGTCATTTTATTGAACTTTCTTTTAAAAAAAAAATGTTTAAAAGTCAATTTCTTGAATGGAATATACTTGTAACTTTCAGTACCTGAGTGTAAACAGTGAAATATGTGTGAAATTTTAATCCTTTTATCCTTTTACAATGAAGCGCATTGAAGTGGTAAAATTTTCCGTTTGGATGAAACGTTCTGAGTCATGTTTTGAACATCAATTATAACATAATGACATGCCCATTTCTTGAGAAACGAAAAAGAAATATTCGTCGTCATGTTTATAACACTCCATTCTTCGTGACAAGCAACATGAGTTTCACCAATATGGAGATTTTTAAAGTTATAAGAGAGAGAGAGTTAGAGAGTTTCCGCTTCTGTAAAACACGTATGGAAACGAATTTGTCCATTACTATGAATTTATCATGTTTATTGGAGGTACCATAATACATGTATCGATCGAACACGTGCTTATTCGGTGTTTATGCAGACCGCCAATTTGATTGGCTACTATATTTATGGAATACCTGTTCTACAGGTATTCGAATGAACCATTTGACCGATTTTTTCTTTCTAAAGAAATGGGCGTGTCATTGTATGAAAATCATTGTTCTAAAGATAGCTCAAAACGTTCCAGTTAAACGGAAAATTTTACCACTTCAATGTGCTTCATTGTATGTAAAAAAATATTTTACAATGTTTTACAAAGGAAATAAAGTGTTTTTTTTATGTATTGCTTTCGTGTAATATATTCACGACATTGGCCTTTATGCTTGTCTTCTTGGCAAAAAGAAAGTCCAGACCAGTAAATCTGCTGAGGCTACAGTATATATGTTTTTTTAAGCCTTTTTTGGTCCACAATTTTTAGATAAAGTTTTTGGAATGTGCTTTTGAACACATTCCAAGCAATCGGAATCCATGTACCAATTTTCTGCAAATGAAAATATAATTTGCATTTATGAAGCATGTTATGTATTGGCAGCTGACCTTGTGGGGATAACCACCAATGACACAAATCAGACAAACCACCAAGGATACAAATCAGAAAAAAGTCAAAAACCCAATGATACAATTCAGACAAAACCACCAATGATACAAATAAGCCAAATCACCAAGGATACAAATCAGACAAACCACCAAGGATACAAATCAGACAAACCACCAAGGATACAAATCAGAAAAAAACACATGCAAGGGTACAAATCAGACAAAACCACCAATAATACAAATCAGATAAAAGTCACAAAAACCCAAGAATACAAATCAGACAAATCCACCAATGATACAAATTATACAAACCACCAAGGATACAAATCAGACAAATCCACCAATGATACAAATCAGACAAACCACCAAGGATACAAATCAGACAAAACCATCAAGGATACAAATCAAACAAACCACCAAGGATACAAATCAGACGAACTACCATTGATACAAATCAGACAAAACCACCAATGATACAAATCAGATAAAAGTCACAAAAACCCAAGAATACAAATCAGACAAATCCACCAATGATACAAATTAGACAAACCACCAAGCATACAAATCAGACAAAACCATCAAGAATACAAATCAGACAAGACCACCAAGCATACAAATCAGACAAACCACCAAGGATACAAATCAGACAAAAATGCATGCAAGGGTACAAATCAGACAAAAACACATGCAAGGGTACAAATCAGACAAAACCACCAAGGATACAAATCAGACAAAACCACCAAGAATACAAATCAGACAGACCACCAAGGATTCAAATCATACAAGACCACTAAGGATACAAATCAGACAAAACCACCAAGGATACAAATCAAACAAACCACCAAGGATTCAAATCATACAAGACCACCAAGAATGTAAATCAGACAAAACCACCAAGAATACAAATCAGACAAAACCACCAAGGATTCAAATCATACAAAACCACCAAGGATACAAATCAGACAAAACCACCAAGGATACAAATCAGACAAAGCCACCAAGGATATAAATCAGACAAACCACCAAGGATACAAATCAGACAAAAAAAACCCACCAAGAATACAAATCAGACAAACCACCAAGGATTCAAATCATACAAGACCACTAAGGATACAAATCAGACAAAACCACCAAGAATACAAATCAGATAAACCACCAAGGATTCAAATCAGACAAAAACACCAAGGATACAAATCAGACAAAACCACCAAGGATACAAATCAGACAAAACCACCAAGGATACAAATCAGACAAAACCACCAATAATACAAATCAGACAAAACCACAAAGGATACAAATCAAACAAAACCACCAATAATACAAATCAGACAAAACCACCAAGAATACAAATCAGAAAAAATCACCAATAATAAAAACCAAACGAAACCACCAAGAATACAAATCAGAAAAAATCACCAAGAATACAAATCAGACAAACCACCAAGGATACAAATCAGACAAACCACCAAGGATACAAATCAGACAAACCACCAAGGATACAAATCAGACAAACCACCAAGGATACAAATCAGACAAACCACCAAGGATACAAATCAGACAAACCATCAAGGATACAAATCAGACAAAAACACTTGCAAGGGTACAAATCAGACAAAACCACCAAGGATACAAATCAAACAAACCACCAAGGATTCAAATCATACAAACCACCAAGGATACAAATCAGACGAACTACCATTGATACAAATCAGACAAAACCACCAAGAACACAAATCAAACAAACCACCAAGGATACAAATCAGACAAGATCACCAAGGATACAAATCAAATCACATGCAAGGGTACAAATCAGACAAAACCACCAAGGATACAAATCAGACAAAACCACCAAGGATACAAATCAGACAAAACCACATGCAAGGGTACAAATCAGACAAAAACACATGCAAGGGTACAAATCAGACAAAAACACATGCATGGGTACAAATCAAAACCACCAATGATACAAATCAGACAAAACCACCAAGGATACAAATCAGACAAATCACCAAGAATACAAAATCAGACAAACCACCAAGGATACAAATTATACAAAACCAAAGGATACAAATCAGACAAAACCACCAAGGATACAAATCAGTCAAAACCACCAAGGATATAAATCAGACAAAACACCAAGGATACAAATCAGACAAAACCACATGCAAGGGTACAAAAGAGACAAGACCAACAAGGATTCAAATCTGACAAACCTACAAGGATACAACTCAAACAAACACCAAGGATACAAATCAGACAAACCACCAAGAATACAAATCAGACAAACCACCAAGGATACAAATCAGACGAACTACCATTGATACAAATCAGACAAAACCACCAAGAACACAAATCAGACAAACCACCATGGATACATATCAGACAAAACCACCAAGGATATAAATCAGACAAAAGCACCAAGGACACATATCAGACAAACCACCAAGGATACAAATGAGACAAGACCAACAAGGATTCAAATCATACAAGACCACCAAGAATACAAATCAGACAAGACCATCAAGCACACAAATCAGACAAAACCACCAAGGATACAAATCAGACAACACCACCAAGGATACAAAACAGACAAAACCACATGCAAGGGTACAAATCAGACAAAACCACCAAGGATACAAATCAGACAAAACCACCAAGGATACAAATCAGACAAAACCACCAAGGATACATATCAGACAAACCACCAAGGATACAAATGAGACAAGACCAACAAGGATTCAAATCATACAAGACCACCAAGAATATAAATCAGACAAGACCATCAAGCATACAAATCAGACAAAACCACCAAGGATACAAATCAGACAAAACCACCAAGGATACATATCAGACAAACCACCAAGGATAAAAATCAGACAAAAACACATGCAAGGGTACAAATCAGACAAAACCATCAAGGATACAAATCAGACAAAACCACCAAGGATACAAATCAGGCAAACCACCAATAATACAAATCAGACAAACCATCAAGGATATAAATCAAACAAAAACACATGCAAGGGTAAAAATCAGACAAAACCACCAAGGATACAAATCAGACAAACCACCAAGGATACAAAATCATACAAACCACCAGGGATACAAATCAGATAAAAACACATGCAAGGGTACAAAATCATACAAGACCACCATGGATACAAAAGTTTAAAATCAGTAATCAAACATTATTCCTTTGTTCTTTAAAAAATAATCCCATTTCAAGAATTCCTACATTTTTACAAAACTAGATTTTGGATTTATGTATCTAACTATCTATCAAATTGCCCCATGAGGATCCGGGTTAGAATAGGGCCTCAGTACCCCTTGCTTGTCGTAAAAGGCAACTAAATGGGGCGGTCCTTCGGATGAGACCATATAAACAGAGGCCCCGTGTCACAGCAGGTGTGGCACGAGATCCCTCCCTGCTCAAAGGCCGTAAGTGCCGAGTATAGGCCTAAATTTGCAGCCCTTCACCGGCAATGGTGACGTCTCCATATCAGTGAAATATTCTGGATAGGGACGTTAAACAGTATGCAATCAATCAATCAATTTATCGAATTATTTCGATTCCAAGTACTTTCAGTACTCAGATTCCCAGCTAAATAATACTAATTTTTTAACTAATATATAAACCATTTAATAAGATAAGTCATTGTTATTGTGATATATAAAACAGGTCTGTAGGGACGATTTTAATACGTAACGGTATCAGGGTAGATCTAAAATAGTTATACTAGTGGATGGAAGGAGGGGTAGCTGATGAAGAGCCACAAAGTTACTCCATCAATGACCATAATTTTACGTCTCTAGTCAGATGTCACCTGTTCCAAAGAAACAATAATTGTTTAAAGCAAATATTATTGATGGAAAAATATTTTAGGTATGCATCTTACTCACAAAATATATATATCAATGTTTGCTTCTGAGAAACGGGAATATTGGTCAGATTGACCTGATACTTTCCGTAGTTTATGACGAGGTAGCGACTTCCGGTTTCGATCTAGACAATAACAACAAAGTAGCCTTTCTAATTTTGTTTTTATTGCGTTCGTGTGTATCTGTATCAACTTCATGTGAGTATATCTTGTCGTTTAAAGTTTTTTTTCTTAAAACAAACATAGAAATCAAACCACAGGAGTTGGCAATTTTATCAATTCACTCGATTGACCAAGGCATGAGCTAACATGAGCCCAGGGCCTGGTTTGGTCAATCGAGTGATTTCTATTGACTTTATTGATAAAATTTCGAACTATTGTGATCCACCCAAAAAATTTCACCTCTCTCTATGTATATTTTAGTAGAAATAAATTAAGATAAATTGTGTTTAACAATAGTCTCTGTACTTTCTCGATTTCTAAGAGTATACCATAGACTAGTGTTGTCAAATCGGTTGAAAATCAGAATCGATTAATCGGTAGCATCGGTTGACTCTAACCAACTGATCATCGGCCAATAATCGAATCGGTAACCATTTGCATAAAATAGGCATTAGATTTTATAAAATTTTGAATTTTATTGTTAAATAATTTAAGAAAAGGTGCATTGTACAGATCGAAATTCTAAAAACAGTATATATGCAGTTTGATTAACAATTTCAGTAATACAGATTTTTGCATGATTAGGAATTACTTGGCCTGGGAAAAGTAAGCATTGACAGATCAGGTTTTAATTTACATGATCATCTAAAATGTATAATGAATTAATTTTTTAAACTGTTATAAGACATTTAATATTGTAAATCCTTGAGATTCTGTATGAAATGACAACTACAGTTACTGAAAACTAATATATTTCATTTATACAAGTAGTTTAGTTTCTTCAGTTTAGAAATACAAATAACATTATCTTTTGATTTATTTCAAACAGATTTTAAGTACATGAATTTTAAAATAGTAAAGGACAACTCTTGAAAGATATATATTTTGATAACAAGAGCCTGTTCTTGAAATAAAAGTGAGAAAACAGTAAAAAAGATATGTGCTGAATTATACGGATTAATCGATTGCTAAAATCTCCAATCGATTGTCTAAAATCGACAGCCTTTCCGACCGATCATCGATTATAAATCGATCATAGTGACAACACTACCATAGACCTAGTTGAAAGTTGTGCATTTAAAATTGAACTGACCTTGAACACAGTAACACAAGTTTGACAACATTAAATCAATAAAGGCATCTTGATGCATGCTAATTAAATAGTTGTATCCCTCCCACAACCCATCATGAAAATGGCCTGGCATATATTGTGTCAATATGCCTGCCCATTCCCTGTCTTTCCCACCTTCGATAAAGTGAGCCATAGTCTCCTAATCCACAAAACTCAACCATTATGGAATAAAAGGAAAGACCAATCAGTGGATTCAAAGCTTCCTTACCAACCGCAGGCAAAGGGTTGTCGTGGAGGGCGAATCATCTGAAGAGGTGTCCGTAGACTCAGGTGTTCCCCAAGGTTTGGTACTTGGGCCCAGTCTCTTTCTATTTTATATCAATGACATGCCAGAGGGCCTTCTATCAACGGAACGACTCTTCGCTGATGATACTGTAGCATACATGACCATCACATCAGATGCAGATGCAGAGAAGGTGCAGGAACACTTAATCAACTAGCAGTGTGGGAAAATAAGTGTCTCATGAAGTTCCACCCAGAAAAATGTAATGTGCTAAGCATCACCAGGAATCGTAGAGTCATTAAGAAGAACTATACCTTACATGGACACCAACTGGAGCATATCTCTTCTGCAAAATATCTAGGCGTTACCATCTCTTCAGATCTGAAGTGGACTGAACACTTAAACAACATCACAGCTAAAGCGAACAGAAACATTGGATTCCTCAAAAGAAACATCAATATAAGTAACAATAACATCAAGGAAAAAGCATACAAATTACTAGTAAGACCAAGTGTGGAGTATGCCAGTGCTGCCTGGAATCCTTATCTAAAGTCAGATAATAACAAAATCGAAATGATTCAGCGCAGAGCAGCTCGGTATGTCCACAACGGATACCACAACACCTCCTCTGTAACCGAGATGCTAATTCAGCTGGAATGGCCATCATTAGAAGAGAGACGAAGGATAGCCAGTCTCAGTGCCATGTACAAACTTGTTAACAACAATGTCCAGATTGACACTAGCCAGAAACTTAGAACTTAAGACAGAACAACTTGAAACAACAATATTCTGGCATTTCAGTTACCATCATGCCGAACGTCAGTGAGGAAGGAATCATTCTACCCAAGTACCATCCAAGAGTGGAATGCCCTACCCTCCTCTACCATGATGGCTCCGAGCCTTGACTGTTTCAAGGTTGTCTATAGGTCACCAGCCAAATAATTCTTTTTTAAACTCAGTTGTAAATAGACTGTCACAATTGTTACATTTTTTAAATCTTTTTTAAACATGCGCACACCTGGTGGCATAATAGTCAACTAATTGACAGAGGCCACTTACTGGTAAAAGTAGAAGTAGGAGTTCCTCCCATCTGTGATGGTCTGTCTGTTTGTTATATTTTGTGTTTAGCGTAGTTAAAAAAAGGTTCAAGATATATAAACCAAAATTTATGCTGTTGAGAGCTATTCAGTTGTGGCAAAGTTTTTTAACCTACAGGTATTATCATTCCCTGTAACCCCAAACTCACAATTCCCAATTTTGTGTCAAAGTAGCTAAGGTAAATAAGATATTTTTATCAAAACTCTTGGACTGAAAAATATTGATGGGGTCATCATTCAGATGTTTCATCATTTTCTTACCTTCCCTGTATGTAACTCATTCATTGTAATGTGTTTTGTTTTGAGCAGATAATACATGTATTGATGAGTAAAGTAGCACCATGGCAAAGAAGTCCCTGACATTAGAAGACCTGAGTCTGACAGGGAAGGAGGAAGACATCCCCCTCAAACGGAGACTATCATCTGGAGATCTGCCAAGAAGTGAACATGTAAGTTATCATCACTGACCTCTGCAATATCAACCTGGAAAAAAACTACATAAACATTACAAAATGTAGAAACAATCTGAACAGGGGCACCACAAGAAGCAAAATGGACTATGCTTGGCATTTCATTATGATCGTGTTTTACTCTACATGTATTTGTCGTACTGAAGTGTTAATTATTTTTTAAATTTGATGTATTTAGACAGCAGTTGTGAAGTTTCTGTTGGGAAGGGCAGATGCTCCGAATATTTTTGACGGCAGTACGGCCGTGAATGGTACCTCCCCCAGTTCAGAATGTCACCACAGAATCTGTATAACGGAGGTGGCTCCCTCACACAGCAGCTTCTTTGGAAACGGTATTTTTTTTATACTAAATATGTACTGAACAGTGAAAATTTTTGTGATTCGGTGGGGGGGATTAAGAGTTCTTATATACATGTACTTTAAAATGTAAAAATTTGTGGAAAGAACATGAATTTATTGATCTCTTCATTCCAAAAAGACAAGAAAAGTTATTCATTTGGCAAAACTCGCCTGATTCTGACAAGTGTCATCTTCATCATTAGATGAGGTATGATTTGGTCAGGGTGTGTCTATAGGGAGAAAGTATTAATCCCCACAAAAATTAATTCATGTAAAATCTGGGGGAATTTATGCAAAAGAGAATTTATTATATCATCTGTTCAAATACACAATAAAATAAAATGAGAAATTCTCTCTTTGATTTTATAGAAAATAAAGATGACTGGAAAATGTCTATCAATGAGTTTTCATCAAAGAAACAAGGAAAAAGCAAGAGGGATGTCCCAAAACGCATTAGGTGAAGAACACAATAGCTTTGTTTTTTTTAAAGCTTCTCTTTTCCAAAGTGACTCTCTGGTCTATCTGTACCAGACTTAATTGCAGAGATGATGCATATGGGGATTATCTTGCTGCTGATTTTTCAGATGGTTCACTACTGTATCAGGGTTCGACATTAACGTTAATCCGTTAGTCTCAGACTAATACATTTTCATTCGGACTAATAAAAATTGTAGCTAATTAGTCCGAATGGACTAATAAAGTTTTCTTGGGAGAAAAAAGAATTTACCAATGTTCAAATTTTTGACAACTTTCACTGGAAAACCCCATATTTATTTTTAGCTTTCTAGCTTCTTGGTGGGAAGTTAGGTAATTCTGAGTCAATTCGGCGCTTAATTTTAAGACTCATTGGTATAAAATTAAACATTTTAGTGATCATGATTTAGTATACCACATAAATAAAGAAAGATGTCGGATGTTTAGATGATGTAATCATGTATAGAGAAAAACGAATGAGATCGGGAATACAATCGTAATTCCTGATTGTGCGATTTCAACAAATTCTTGATATAAACATTTCATGGAAATGCTTTGTTTAATTTTAAAAAGTATAAAAAGTACATTGCAACATTAATTCTATTTCTGTTTATTTATTTTTTTTTTTGACGGACTAATAAAATTGCCCACGGACTAGTAAAAGTAAAGAAGCACTAGTCAAAAAAAAATGTTAAAACCCTGCTGTATACAGGATTATTTTCACCCTGTGTCATTTTCTCCCTTTTGCAATTGATGACAATTTTGCCAGTTTCAAATTCGCCCTTTCACATTTCTGTTTAAGAAATTATTCAGTGTTTTTTGATTTCATCTCATTTTAAATTCGCCCTAATGTGACGAGGTCAAAAATAAAATGGGACGAAAATTTCCTTGTATACGGTATATTAATGAAATTGTATTTAGAAAACTTTCTTGTATCAAATCTAGCATTTGGTCAGTATAAGACTTTGGGTTTAGTTATTGACCCCTGTAAACTGTTTACCTTTTTACTGAATGAAATATAATAGAAGTCCTATAATAATATTCCAGAACATTCTACAAGAACCAGGATGAATTAATCACAGCTTTTGAGGATTTTCATTTCGGAGTTGATGATGCTATGGAACAAGCAGAGGAGGTCGCAGAGAAACAGAAAAAAGCCGGCATCCTTGCTAAAGCTACTCTAGCCGTCAATTTGGTGGGTATTTTTTCATTATTATTAAGCTTTCATGCACCTCTCAAGCTGCACTGAATTCTTGAATTTGTAATATTTCATCACTGTAAAACATGGTTCAGCTCTGGCTGACTTAATCCTTTGTATTTCTTTATGCTACCATCTTATTCCTTATGATTATTATTACCGTTTTTGATGATTTCTTTTACAGTATTTTAGTAAAGTGACAACTGCAAACTTTCAATTAAAGTTAGACGATACGTTCTCCAAATACAAAGTGTATCTGTTTTGTATATCTTCATAATGTATGAAAAATATACAAAATTTTAATAAATGTATGATTTCTTAACTGGTTTCTAATTGTTTTTTTTAAAAATTTGAAACATTTAAAATGTGATTTTGGCAGATTTAAGTTTTTTCCCTAAAGGATTATATAAGAAATGCCTTCCTCGGGTATCTCGCACAAATGCCTGGAAAGGTACCTCAATTTTTTGTGAATAAACATATTAAAGTAGTAATTCTTCAATGATAAAATCTTGGAAAAAAATTATGTATTATTGAGGAACATCTCATCTGTCCTTAAGTCTTAGCCATTATACATTTTCAGTGTCTTTTGGTAGCCAAACTGGTGGCAGCCATTTTGTCTGGATCTATTTCCATCATCTCCAGTTTAGTGGACAGCTGTGTGGATCTCGCGTCTGGAATCGTTATAGCCGTCACAGAGCGGGCCATGAAAAAAAGGGATTTATACGAATATCCTCAAGGTTTCCATTTTGTCATTCTCAAATAATTTACCAAGCAAACACTCTCTTGCATTCAATACAGTGATAACTATAACAAAATTCACTGTTGAAAATTTAAGTGTCATTTTCTTATCATTGGATCCACCCCCCAGCTTTAATGGCAATGAAACAATGTAGATTTATAAGAAATAGGGGTTTTCTGGAAATTGAAAAAAAGTTGTACAAATGTACCTCATTAGAAAAAAAAAAGCAGAAGTCTTGATATGTTAATTTTTTTCTGAACAGGACGTACAAAGTTGGAACCTATATCTATTGTAATACTGTCCGTGATCATGAGTCTAGCTTCTGTTCAACTGATCGTGGAAAGTGCTGAGAGGATTGTCGACATCGCGACAGGAAAGGGAGAACGGCCTGAAGTGTGTATCGTCACCATTGTAATCGTGTGTTCTACTATTGGTATGTTATTTAAATGTAAGCACTCTTGTTAAATATACATGTATTATGGGATGAGCTATTTTTTGTTAGGGCCCTGCATGAAATACATGAACCATTTAGAATTCACATTGTCCATCTGTCTGTATGTTTGTCTGTCAACACTTGTTGTGCAAGACTGTAACTCGGACAGCTTTCACTATATTTTCACTTTTGTAAAGAAGCTCTTTACAATAAAAGAAAATATATATAAAACTGGGGTCGTATCACTCTGTCTGTTTGTATGTCTAGGTTTTTCTTTTGTGACACAGTAACTCCAGACAGATTTCATCATACCAATTTCATATAGTAAACAGAAGGTGCTAACCATAAGAAAAAGATGAATCCTGTAAATTTTGTTATCTACCTGATTTTTCGGTCTCAGCTGTGGAAAGGTTTAATGATTTTGTAGGCTAAAGATAAATTCTTAATTGCCTTTCAACGACCACTTTCAATTCTCTTCATCCAAGGAAAATTAATTTCCTGTAAGATATAGCTTTAGGAATAGGAGGGAAAAATTGGGGTCGTTAAGTTAAACAAAGGAGAAAAACAGAGAATAACAAAGGTTGCGGTCTGAGATTGTGACCATGAAACTTTTTTTTTAATAAAAGCAGCTGATTTTATACCCTTGTTGCTCAGTCGTTATTGATTTTTATGTTGATGTTTTCCATTTCCTTCTCTAGTACATTGTATATATTTCATTCTAAGTTTGTTGCATTAGCCCTCAAGAAAAACCCAGTTATAACTGAACTTTGTATCTGAGAATTTTAAGAATAAACATAAAGTTTTAGGTTAAAATTGAATGATTGCAAGTGTTGGGAAGTACTAGGAAGTTTGAAAATGTTCGAGTTTTTACATAGACACCCCCCCCCTTCACCCCCACCCTCTCACACACACATACAAACAAATAAACATTTCTGGAAATAAAAATTGTATGTTTTTGTCTTTGTGCAAAGTTAAAACAGTTATCACTCTGAATTAAAATTTTCTTCTACCAGCAACCCTTTGATCAAAACAAGTTCAGAGTGAGACAATTATTTTAATGGATTTTTCTTGATCAAGGAAGCATCCAATCCAACATAACCCATGTCATTTTTGTTCCCTTTTCACAGTTCTGAAGATCATCCTGTTCCTAGTGTGTAGGAGAGTGAAGACTCCGTCAGTGGACGCCATGACACGGGATCACAGAAATGATGTCCTGTCTAACATTATCGCGATTGTGTTTGGATACATAGGTAGGACAGCAGGAATCTTTATTTACTATAAATAATACATGAGTGAATAGAGATTGTTAATATTTAGGACTGATAAATTTGTCCCTGCTTAAAAATTTATCCCTTTGTCGATCTGCTTGGTCATGTTGTGCAATTTATAATTTGTTTATGCTTGCAAGAAAAGTCATACTGGTCCTGTAAGTTGTACTTCGCTACATAGTTCATTACTTATTTTCATATTTCATTGCTAAAGATTGCAGTGGCCATTGAGGTAGACATTTTGAATAGCTTATACTTATTTAATAACAGATGAGAATGATCATTATTCTTCAGCAGTAGCCTAGTAACTGTATTTAGCCTTCTAGTCCATATTCTAGAGATCAAAGTTACTGTGGCTGATGAGTTTTTCTGACCTATGCCTCTTGTACCACATACAAATAATGCCTGGCACCTCATAAATGAGCTGTATTTTGAATAAGCTGGGTTGTGTTCAAGATCGTAGCAGCTTGTATAGCTGCTAGGTTAGATATCTAGGTCATATTGAACACGCTGTATAAATGAATACTTGTTATGGTTAAGCTAGCATTTTAAGGTTGTAGCAGATAGCATAGCTGCTGCTGGTTAGATATCTTGGTCATATTGAGTACTGTATGTATTAATGCTTGTTAAATCTAAGCTAGGATATAGTTTGAGGTTGTAGGAGCTTAATACTGCTAAGTACCACTGCAATTTTGTACAGTCTAATGAAAAGACAGCTAGCATAACTGCTAAGCGTTAAATTTTGGAGACGAATGAATCAGTGAAAACTTATTTCTGGAACAAAAAGTTTATTTCAAGCAATAAAATATTTGAAAACAATCTCTCCTTTTTGTTAAAATCTTGTGAGCTATAAAGTGGTAACTTTTAAGAGGCCATCTTGGATTTGATACGTTATACTTAGCACCAAATTTATATAATTATGCTAACTGTCCCTAGAGCAGCTAGGCTAGCTTAACGTTCAAGATCATAGCTTTACATACAGGCTAAGTAGTCACTGCACTCCTCAATGCCCCTGGTGTGTTTTGTCAAGGTCATATCTCAGAGGTCTGATCTGATAGCCATTAAATTAAGAATTATCTATAGAACCTTTAAAGATAAAAATTTTGCTTTATCACACAACACTGTAGAAGCTTTTGCACATTTTACCAAATTTACAGCCCTAGATATTTATTTAAAAAAAAAAAAAAAGCTCTGACTCATATTTGAAATTAAAAAAGGATTTTTGATGATGAAGTACAACACATGTCATGGAGACAATGCTATCTGTAAAATGGTGATACCATATTTACTAAAAAGGAATTGATCTGATTTTAAAAAGTTCTAAAGTAAGAAACTTAATCATACTAATCAGTGTTGTCATATCTTCTAAAACAATAATTTTTAAACAAAAAAATTTCAAGTTTAGATAAAGGATAGAGGATACAAACAAGTAGATCTACAGTCTCATCAGAGACTTCTTGTACATTGTGCTATCTTTGAATTTTTGTCCATTGCCATATATTAATGTAATGTAAATTGTATTCTTCAGGATCCAAAAGCATGTATGACCATTATAAGGTGTCTGAGTTAGTGTACCTGGATCCAATTGGAGCTATCCTGATATCTCTGTACATACTGGTGGGCTGGTGGTCCACTGGTTATGGTAAGTAACAATCGGAGCTGTCCTGATTTCTCTGTACATACTGGTGGGATGGTGGTCCACTGGTTATGGTAAGTAACAATCGGAGCTGTCCTGATATCTCTGTACATACTGGTGTGCTGGGGGTCCACTGGTTATGGTAAGTAACAATCGGAGCTGTCCTGATATCTCTGTACATACTGGTGTGCTGGGGGTCCACTGGTTATGGTAAGTAACAATCGGAGCTGTCCTGATATCTCTGTACATACTGGTGTGCTGGGGGTCCACTGGTTATGGTAAGTAACAATCGGAGCTATCCTGATATCTCTGTACATACTGGTGGGATGGTGGTCCACTGGTTATGGTAAGTAACAATCGGAGCTATCCTGATATCTCTGTACATACTGGTGGGCTGGTGGTCCACTGGTTATGGTAAGTAACAATCGGAGCTATCCTGATATCTCTGTACATACTGGTGGGCTGGGGGTCCACTGGTTATGGTAAGTAACAATCGGAGCTATCCTGATATCTCTGTACATACTGGTGGGATGGTGGTCCACTGGTTATGGTAAGTAACAATCGGAGCTATCCTGATATCTCTGTACATACTGGTGGGCTGGTGGTCCATGGTTATGGTAAGTAACAATCGGAGCTATCCTGATATCTCTGTACATACTGGTGGGGTGGTGGTCCATGGTTATGGTAAGTAACAATCGGAGCTATCCTGATATCTCTGTACATACTGGTGTGCTGGTGGTCCACTGGTTATGGTAAGTAACAATCGGAGCTATCCTGATATCTCTGTACATACTGGTGTGCTGGGGGTCCACTGGTTATGGTAAGTAACAATCGGAGCTATCCTGATATCTCTGTACATACTGGTGGGATGGTGGTCCACTGGTTATGGTAAGTAACAATCGGAGCTATCCTGATATCTCTGTACATACTGGTGGGGTGGTGGTCCATGGTTATGGTAAGTAACAATCGGAGCTGTCCTGATATCTCTGTACATACTGGTGGGCTGGTGGTCCACTGGTTATGGTAAGAAACAATCGGAGCTATCCTGATATCTCTGTACATACTGGTGGGCTGGGGGTCCACTGGTTATGGTAAGTAACAATCGGAGCTATCCTGATATCTCTGTACATACTGGTGTGCTGGGGGTCCACTGGTTATGGTAAGTAACAATCGGAGCTATCCTGATATCTCTGTACATACTGGTGGGATGGTGGTCCACTGGTTATGGTAAGTAACAATCGGAGCTATCCTGATATCTCTGTACATACTGGTGTGCTGGGGGTCCACTGGTTATGGTAAGAAACAATCGGAGCTATCCTGATATCTCTGTACATACTGGTGGGCTGGGGGTCCACTGGTTATGGTAAGTAACAATCGGAGCTATCCTGATATCTCTGTACATACTGGTGGGCTGGTGGTCCACTGGTTATGGTAAGTAACAATCGGAGCTATCCTGATATCTCTGTACATACTGGTGGGCTGGTGGTCCACTGGTTATGGTAAGTAACAATCGGAGCTGTCCTGATATCTCTGTACATACTGGTGGGCTGGTTGTCCACTGGTTATGGTAAGTAACAATCGGAGCTGTCCTGATATCTCTGTACATACTGGTGTGCTGGGGGTCCACTGGTTATGGTAAGTAACAATCGGAGCTATCCTGATATCTCTGTACATACTGGTGGGCTGGTGGTCCACTGGTTATGGTAAGTACGGTTCAACATCAGTATTTGGAACATGACTGAAATACTATGGATATGTAGAAGTGATGTGGAAGTCCCAAACACCTATTCTTAAAGTATTTTACCCTGGATATCTTGAATCTCCAGACTCCTTTACCACATTAAACAGGAAAATATTTTTTAATCTGAAGTGAAAATACATGTTATTGCCTTGTTGAAATGCAGCTGATGAGTTATAGTATTTTGTTGGGTTTTTAGCTCACCTGAGCCGAAGGCTCAAGTGAGCTTTTCTGATCACATTTTGTCCGTCGTCCGTCCGTCTGTCCGTCTGTCCGTCTGTCTGTCTGTCTGTCTGTCCGTCCGTCCGTCTGTAAACTTGTGACATTTTCGACTTTTCAAGAACCAAGAGGCCAATTTTAACTAAACATGCCACAAAGCATCCTTGGATGAAGGGGATTTTAAATTGTTAAAATGAAGGGACATATCCCCTCGCAAGGGGAGATAATCAAGAAAAGACAAAAATAGGGTTGGGTCATTAAAAAATCTTCTTCTCAAGAACCACTGGGCCAGTAAAGCTGAAACTTATGTGGAAGCATCCTGGGGTAGTGTAGATTCTAAATTCTAAAAATCATGACCCCCAGGGGTAGGGCGGGGCCAAAATAGGGAATCTAAGTTTTCCATAGAAAAATATAGAACAAAACTTTAAATATATTCTTCTCAATAACCACTGGGCCAGAAAAGCTGAAACTTCTTTGGAAGCATCCAGGGGTAGTGTAGATTCTAAATTGTTCACATCATGACCCCGGGGGTTGGGCGGGGCCACAATGGGAAATCAAAGTTTTACATAGAAATATAAAGGAAAAATCTTTGAAAATCTTCTTTTCAAGAACCACTGGGTCAGAAAAGCTGAAACTTACGTGGAAGCATCCTGGGGTAGTGTAGATTCTAAATTGTTCAAATCATAACCCCCAGGGCTTGGGCGGGGCCACAATTGGGAATCAAAGTTTTACAAAGAAATATAAAGGAAAAATCTTTGAAAATCTTCTTCTCAAGAACCACTGGGCGAGGAAAGTTGAAACTCATGGGGAAGCATCCTCAGGTAGTGTAGATTCTATATTGTTCATATCATGACCCCCGGGGGTAGGGTGGGGCCACAATGGGGAATCAAAGTTTTACATAGAAATATAAAGGAAAAATCTTTGAAAATCTTCTTCTCTAGAACCACTGGGCCAGAAAAGCTGAAACTTATGTGGAAGCATCCTAGGATAGTGTAGATTCTAAAATGTGCAAATCATGACCCCCGGGGGTTGGGCGGGGCCACATTCGGGAATCAAAGTTTTACATAGAAATATATAGGAAAAATCTTTAAAAATCTTCTTCTCAAGAACCACTGGGCCAGTAAAGCTGAAACTTATGTTGAAGCATCCTGGGGTAGTGTAGATTCTAAATTTTACAAATCATGACCCCTGGGGGTAGGGGGGGGCCACAATGGGAAATCAATGTTTTACATAGAAATATATAGGAAAAATCTTTGAAAATCTTTTTCTCAAGAACCACTGAGCCAGAAATGCTGAAACTTATGTGGAAGCATGCTGTTTTAGTGTAGATTCTAAATTGTTCAAATCATGACCCCCAGGGGTTGGGCGGGGCCACAATAGGGAATCCAAGTTTTACATAGAAATATACAGAATAAATCTTTGAAAATCTCCTTCTCAAGAACTACTTTGTCAGAAAAGCTGAAACTTATGTGGAAGCATCCTGGGGTAGTGTAGATTCTAAATTGTTCAAATCATGACCCCCGGTGTTGCCGGGGCCACAATAAGGAATCAATGTTTTACATAGAAACATATAGAAAAAATCTTTGAAAATCTTCTTCTCAAGAACCACTGGGCCAGAAAAACTGAAACTTATGTGGAAGCATACTGGGATAGTGTAGAATTCAAATTGTTTAAATTATGATCAGTGGGGTAGGGTCTGGTAAAGAACGGAATGGCCAAAGCTTCTCAGGTGAGCGATGTGGCCCATGGGCCTCTTGTTATTATTAGGACAAATCAAGCTGTTAACAGGACACACAGCTAAACCTGATTTCCTGAAGAAATTAACCTGGATCTGTGTCAATCATCACCCAAAGCTGCTCTATGTGGACACGGTGCGGGCATTTCACTTCGGAATTAACTTCCTTGTAGAGGTAGACATTGTTTTACCAGAGGATATGACTCTGAAGGAAGCTCACGACATCGGTGAACCACTACAACATAAACTAGAATGTTTACCAGAAGTAGAAAGGGCTTTTGTGCATCTGGATTACGAGTTTGAACACAGGCCATCTGATGAGCATAAACAAGTGTGATAAAAGTTTCGGGGGGAAAATAAAAGAATGGAAGTTTTCTGCAAGATGTACATCTCAAATTGTCTCTATTTTGTGATCTACAATGTTGGATACTGATTGAATTACATCACTGTGTTATCAGTGTATTTATTTATATAACATTTTAGAAGAAGGTTTCCCATTATATCAGAAATATAATATTTTTATCCATATGCCCTGAAAAACTGCCGAGTCACGCCGGATATAGTTTTATTCCACCGGAAACAGTTATATTGCCCTCCCAAACACAGTTATGTTCCCTCGCGTGCAATCATTCTGCATATTAAATACGTCAGGTTCAAAATTCACAGAGGCAGTTGCTAAGCAAACGTAAACAGTTCCGCGAAAATTAAAAAGTCGAGACAATGTCTGCGATTTGTTTATTTGAATTCAGAGGAAATAGATAACTTAATTGAGGAGAAAAATTCTTTAAATACAATAAAGGTTATCAACACAAGTGTTAGCATACTGAAAACATTCTGCCATGAAACAGGACGGGACATTTCTGAATTATAAGCAACGTACATTTATACATAGTGTTCAATAAATATGTTTCATGATTGATTTGGGTTCAATGCTTAAAAGTGTTATATACCATATATTACATGGCTTAATTCTCGGGCAGCAATACCAGAATATTTGCCCCTCGGTGACAGGAAAGCCCTGGAGTGTTATGTCGCCCTCTGCCTTCAGCATCGGGCGACATGACACTCCAGGGCTTTCCTGTCACCAAGGGGCAAATATTCTGGTATGCTGCCCTTGAAGCCATGTAATATATGTATAATAGATGCTACTATAACTACTTATGAATGATAGAAATCAAATACCGGTAATGTTCAAATGGATAACTTTACATCTATTTTTATAAAATTGTACAATGTATTTTTTTTTTTAATATCATTAGCTCTACTGGTCAGAGACCAGAAGAGCTTATGCGATAGTAATGCGTCCGGCGTCTGTCCATCTGTCTGTAAACAATTTTTCCAAATGCTACTCCTCCTACAGTTTTGGTCTGATTTCAATATAACTTGGCACACAAGTAGACTACACTAAGATACATAATTCTATTTATCGGTTTTTGATTTCGATGAATAGTGTTGTCGTGGTTACTAAAAATAGAAATTTCTGTGAAATTCTTTCAAAACGCTACTCCTCCTACAGTTTTGGTCTGATTTCAATATAACTTGGCACACAAGTAGACTACACTAAGATACATAATTCTATTTATCAGTTTTTGATTTCGATGAACAGTCTTGTCGTGGTTACAAAAAGTAGAAATTTCTGTGAAATTCTTTCAAAACGCTACTCCTCCTACAGTTTTGGTCTGATTTCAATATAACTTGGCACACAAGTAGACTACACTAAGATACATAATTCTGTGTATTGGTTTTTGATTTCGATGAAAGGTGTTGCCGTGGTTACTAAAAATAGAAATTTCTGTGAAATTCTCTCAAAATGCTATTCCAAATACAGTTTTTGTCTGATTATATTATTATGCTGTTGTAAAGTTCCAATTCCCAACTGCTTAAGTACTTTTCTCTCCCATTGATTTAAGTACAAACCAGTAGAGCTTCAGTCTCAACAGAGACTTCTGGTTTTTACTTATTTTAGCAAACTTGATATTTTTAGCAGGTGGCATTTTAATGATTCATTTTATATCATACTGTGAAATCATTTTCATTCATGGGACCAATGTTTTTATGGGAATGTTGTTTTGTGGGTAATATGTACCAGTATATATGGAATATTTAATGAACCAATACATGACTGATACCTGAATAAGTTATCACTCATGGTGAAGTAAATTTGAGTCTGAGGATGATCCAGTAATCCTAAAAACATTGAACCCCCCATGAACAATGATGATTCCACAGTATTTGAAATTTGTATAGTGGTACTTGTATAAATGTAGTAACTAGTTATTATGTGGTGGTGATCAATGATACTGTAACAGTTATCAATGGATGTTGATACGATTGTAAATGAATCTTGGTACAATTTCTAATGGATTTTAGTATCTGAAATTCATTAAATAATCTTTTATGGTCATTTGTTAAATTTATATTTTTTAATTAGTTGTTGACACAATGCTTGAGTCCTCTTTGGCTCATGTTGTATTGTCATATATGCCAATAAGGGAGTTGGCAAGATTTGGGTTTCCCGAGATCAGCCTTGTTTCCCGAGGTAAAGTCGAGACTGATCAAAGTGAACAAGAATCTTGCTGACTAATGCAATGGTTTTCTTTTACTATATTATTTCTCTGATACCAAAAGAAAATTGTAAATGTAGTTGATTTGCTGTTGATTACTGGTTAAAGTATCTAGGTTGTATTTTATGAATGCTAATAACTCTGGATACTTAATATTGGTCAATTTTAAAGGTTGATATTGCACAATTTCTTTAAAGAAAATTTGTTATCTTGGGAATGCTATAATTTTAGTTTAAATTCCATGAGGAGAACACAAAATTAAAAAATTTAAAAAATTTTACTTAAAAAAATTACATATTAGAGCACGTTAATCCTATTAGCGAGGTAATTACTGATGTCTCAAAGAAATCTCGTATGTCAGACAAGTTGAATCTCATTTATTGATAATTATAGCTATACGGGTATATTTTATAAATTCGTGTGCATAATACATCTTTTTAATACATACTGGTGATCTTTTAAAGTACTATATTTGATGCTGATGTATTTGTCATTATATATTGTAATGCTCTGAAAAATAAAATATTTGATATGCATAGGGCTGTCTTTATTGTCATTAGATTTCAAGAAGAGGAAAGTATTTTAAAATCTTAAGCTTCCATGTCTCCTGTTTTGTACATGTATAAGACAATCTTCATTCAGACAATGTATTGCTATCAGTCCCCAGCATATAATCTCTCATGTGCCTTGGTAATAATTTGAGCATTAACGGCCTCTCCTCTGAAATATCTGGGCCAATTTCAATCAATTTTGGTATGCATGTTGTTGCATCTAAGGATGAAGGGGATTAAAAATAGTGAATTTATGATAACAATCCTCATGAGATCTGGGAATTTTGTCTAAATATACCAGAATTAATGCAGTTTTCAAAAATTTCTTTATGCCTAGATAGCTTGCAGATAAAAAGAATATGCATTAGTTCCAAGAAGCAGTTACTCCTCTTTCATAATAGTGAAATTCTTGACTCTTGTATGGGTTTAGGTCATAACAAGATAACAGTACATCTATTCTGCAGAACTAGCAAGCAAACTGTTTGATTTGAATGATACAGATAAACCTCTCCGTGACCTGGACCACCTGTAATTAGCGATTTCTGTCATGCAACCAGTAAATTTCCTCCAATGATTTTTCATTACTTACGTAAATATCTGCCCTGTCCAGGGTTTAGACTAATTCATTGGTCAAATAGACCCCCAATTTCTCAAATCACAAGTCATATGCGCCCCAAAAGACAACAACCCAGGCTCTTCCCTGGCAGATTCTTAACCTGTCACTTCAATGACGGACCAGACCAGGATTTGACCATGGACCATTTACACTAGTACTCAGATGCTCTACCAACAGAGCTTTCTGTTACTGACTTTATACATTACTGCACAAGGAAAAGTTGGAGGCTGCAGGCAAAAACAAATTCAATTTATTATTCTGACTTTTTCATAGAAATTATGGACTTTCTATAATCAGTCTACTATCAGTTTTCCGGCAGTTTACTACTTTATGGAATTGGAATAATGATTCAAATCTAATATTTGTCAAGTTTTATTTGATTTTAATCCTTTTTTATTGAATTATGCCCTTTGTTGACTCGTGATGAAATTGTAATGTGACTTGGGATTACACTGTAGGACATCTAATGTGATGATATCAACAGCTGAGTTGATCATTATAAGAAGCGACACACTGCTGAGCATATCATCTAAACATCAAGATAAATACATGTACAAGCCCAAATGTTTAAAATTCTTTTTTCAGATTCTCATATTTTATTATCATTATTAAATACCCAACTGTGTATCACTCAATTTAACTGTGGATTTCATGCAATATTGTGTGATGTGATCTGATATTCTAGATCATCTCACTCATGACTGGTTTTCTGAATCCATTTCACCTTTCTGCAAGCAATGATGTTGTAGTGACTGACCATAATATACATACATGTTTTAGTCTGTGGAAAATGTACAGTCATGCACATTATAAATGAACACAAGAGAGTTTATTTCATTTCATTGGCTTGTACTTTATTCTCTTAAAGCGTCCTCTGATGAAATGTTTGACAATTAGTGACAATGACTTATATACAATTGAGCCACGTAATATTGTAAAACTAACACAGGTTTACAAAAATAAAATTCTGATCTGCATGGAAGATAATTCTAACACCCAGCTATTAACTTACAGAGAAACAAACAAGGTATCACAAGATAGCACCAAACTGTTCAAAGAAAAAAAATTCCCCCAAAAAAATCAATTTTGTGTGATTGAAAAAAAAAAAATGAATCTCTTTAAATGAAGGATATCTTGTTATCTTTTCCAAATTTCTCCAAAAATGTTAAATTTTTAAAAACTAAATACACATTCTTAAATTGTCAAAGAAATATATCTGTAACTGCGTTATAATAGATTTAATGACCAGCATTGTCTAGATTTTTTTGTTAATTCCTACACGTGCACAAATTACAAAACGCACATGTAACCTCACACACGTATACACACTCATCTCTTATTTCCCCTGTGTTAAGGACAGGGATTTCCCATTCACTCTGTATATGTCATTCTGTGATGAATAGCTGCCTTAATGAGATCTCAAAGGTGATGAACTTATACATGTATACATGTCACACTTAATGCAAAAAATTCTAAAGTACATAATCTTGTTCAATTATATGTGAAACAACATTTTTACATTCAATCACATTTAGCATGTTTATTTTATTGGCTATTTTGTTGAGTTTAATTAAAGATTTGTTCACTTGACCATTTTTTGTAATTGTAATCTAAACAATCATGTCCTAAAACCGAGGAATTTTAGAACTACAGAAATTCACACCTTGTTCACACAAAAATTGAACACTCAATTCTGTCATAGCCTGGCACACTCACTGTTAACAAGGATGAAAGGTCAACACTGAACCCGATGGTGGAACTCCACATCATAGCTGATAACAAAATATACCACCTAAGAATTCATATCAAATGACTTATATCACAGACACTAAAAGTATACATCAACACCTAAAAACTATTTGTAACACTGTCAAGTACACAAGTTAATACAATCAAGGCTATTTACATCCTATGTACATGATTTTTTTTTACAAGTATATTACGTCTTAATTTACAAAAAAAGCAATTAATTCTATAGTCCGTTACATTTCATGAGTATAGCGAATTCCGATCCTTACGTATTTGCACCTTGTCCTTGTGACCTTCGACAAGTTGGGTTAACAGGGACGGGGTATCAAGATAACTATTTACATCAGCACTAGTCAATACAAAGCTACAATGCAGCCAGAAATAAATACAAGGACAACACCACTACTTTAAGAGTGTATGTTGTCGCAAGATATATACGTATTATTTATCCAGTATGTACAAATATATTACATTAGAATTCAGCACTAATAGAAAGTTTTGTTTTCAAGGATCACAAATAAACACAAGAGTTTAGTGGGAATGCACCATCAGTCTACAGAAGTGCAATTCACTGCAAGTTCTCTCACAGAATGAGACAAATGCCCTATATAAAACACAAAGGTATGATTTCCAAGCCAGTGATTTCACTAAATAGATGTCACACTAGTCAACTTAGTTGTACACAAACAATACTCCACATGTAATGTAAATCACTAGTTATCCAACCTATTGAATTTGGATTCTGTTGTATGTAAAGTATTAAATCCATAATTAATTCCATATTTAGTACACATATAGTAAACATTCACATCAAATTCTCCATATCCTATGCCACTGTTGTGATAATCACAAGAAGATGGGCTAAATCCCTCAGTGGCTGCATCAAGTCAAATCCAAGTCGCTCTAATGTATTCCGAGAAAAGTCACACGGAGGGAAGATATGGACCACATAGGCAGGCTGAAATGGAGTAAATATGTATACAGTTTCACAAAAATACACCATTTAAAACATTATCAATGTAATGCTAATCTAGCTAATATTTGTCATGACTTGGTCGACTTGACCAGTATTTACCTGCTGTGTCTCTGGTTCAGCTACATTAACGATTCCAGCAGCTTGCTTCTGTTGTAGATACTGAATAAAGCCTGTGGTCATGGCTCTAGTCTGCTCTATGATGTGATCATGGTCTCTCCCACAGGGTAGGGCCAACAGCATACAGTAGTCATTGTCAAACTGAAAAATATACAGCAGGTGAATAAAACTTGTTACTTTTTAAAAGCAAAGAATTGAGCATAGTAATCCTGAGGCTTAACTGGCAGTTCCTCCCTTAAAGTAATCAAAGCATATAACTTTTTATGGCTTGAAAGTATGTTGCTCTAGATCTATCCCCACCACGTTCATTGCGAGGGGATAATTAAGTTCAAATAAATGATCACAATACCTTCATGCGCTTGATGACCCCGTCTAACTGGGCGGCTTCCAGCCTCATTCTCTGGGCGATACGAAGAGGCTGCACTGACCCATCAGGACCTTGTTGGGGGAGAGATAGCTTGACCAACTGTTCATATCCATTGATCATATGTAACTGGACCACACACTGGTCATTCTTCAAGGCAAGCACACCTTGCCACATAACAGGATAACGCTGAAAACAATAATCAACAAATTTAATATTACTCCATTAATAAAACTCTTCAAGCAAAGTAAGCCTAAATATAGTTTGGTAAAAATTCTCTTGAATGTACTCATCTTACGAATGTAGTCTAGAAAAGATCAGAGCTTATAGCTTGCTTATATTTGTATTAAACATGAATAATTTAACAATAATTCACAAAATGAGCATACCTGTAGAAGACTGAGTAGACTGCCCTCCCCTCCTGGTGCTGGGGCCTCCTGAATGACCCGGGGCTGCATGTGCATCGGTGTTTCATGCATGGGCACCATACGATCTTCCTGTTCTCTGTGTTTTGATGAGGTCTGGCTGCTGACTGGGACGTTCTGAACTCGAGGGGGTGACCTGCTTCTCCCAGACTGAGCAGGGTCCGTCAGGTCCTGGATAGACAGACCCCCGGGGCGGGGCAGGTAGTGGGACGGCAGACCCGAAGTCAGCAGGTGAAACTGTGGGTCCAAAGCGACGTTGTACAGATGAGGATGCTGCTGGTACAACTGCTGTTGGATTTCTGCATAATTCTTGTGCGCCGGGATTGCTACAATTTAATAATCACACATTTCTTCATAAGAATCTAATCACAGCTCATAAAGAGTCCTTGAATTTCAAAAAGAAAAGCATTTGAATATTATACGAATCAGCATATCAAAGATTATTACTGCAATATCACTAACCATTTTGATAAAATCAAGTTATTTTATTTTAGGTCCAATGGACCTCTTGACACAACAAAATTCAAATATTTACCAGGAGAAATGTCAGATCCTGATATTGGTGGTGTAAATGCACTTGGATTTTGAGAGGAAGGTCTTCGCATGTCCGGCATCCCAGGATACAATGGGTGTTGGACAAAGCGGGGATCTATCAGGTTCTTGCCATCCACCTGTCCGTCTGGCCTCTGCTGACCAGGAACGTGGGCTGTCTGTCGCATGTCAGTGGGCTGGTTTGACGTAGAACTGCTAGGTTTGTGTAGTGCATTAGCCTGCTCCATCTGGATTTGTTTCTCAATGAATTGTAGCTCTCTCTGTCTCTGATACTACAAAAGGATATTAATATGATTAAAATGCATGCTAAAATCTGAAAATTAAAATCATGAGAAATAGTTATCAGCTTTATATTAACTTGCAGAAATAAATATCATTGTAAAATCAAAAACAAAATAAACATGGAATTAACTTTGACAGTATAACATGTATACTGACATGCATTTCTTCCAGCTCCTGCTGCTTGCGCTCCTCTGCTCTCTTCTTTTTGATATGCTCTTTCTGTGACATAGGAGCATTATGCTCTGGGGGTTGGTGAGCGGGTTTGAGGCCCATCTGAGAGGGTGGGATGTTACTTGGTTGAGCTACAACAACAAACACACAATTTATGTATATTCTTACAGCTAAATTACTTAATTTTTTTTAAGTGAGCTTTTCTATTACAGTACTTACTCCAATGCTCGCGAGGAGAGGCTCTTGGTGGTTCATGAGAAGGAGGTCTAGATTTGGGTCCCTCATGAGCTGATATTACCATTTCATTGGCCCACCTCATTGCAGCGTTCTTGTCAGCAGTCTTAAAATTAAAAAAATAAATACATTCAATATAGAAATCATACCTGGTATCTTTCAATCAACACATGAAATCTAAACACATAAAGAGTAAAATATATAGCAATATTAGTAAAACTCCTCTCACCTTCTTGTTGATGTTGGCCAGACTTGTATTTGTGACTGGCTGGTGGCCCATCTGAGGAATGCTGGGAGCTGTCTGAGCTAAGGCTGGGGACTTGATCTGGGGATGCTGTGAGCTAGCAGCTATAATATTACTTTGTTGGTGCATTTTTGGAGAAGTTGTTTTCACCTCCTGCTTCTTCTCATCACTTTTAACACTGGCCGGGGGAAGGTGTGGATGCGGCCAATAAAATCCTTGTTTGTGTAAAATCTGGTTACGTATTTGGTCATGCATGGCTAAATATGCTGCCTGCTCTTGAGCCATTCTAACATGTGCTTCCCCTGGCAGCATCTGTTTATGTTGGTTGCTGTGAGCACTTGGGGGTCTCTGAGGACTCTCTTTACCAATGTCTGGCTGTTTCTGTAAAGTCTTATTAGCTTTCTGAGCTTGGTGCTGCTGCATCTCCTGCATTATCTGATGGTATGGTAAACGTTGTAACTGTTCTTTGGTCAAACCCTCTCTTAGCTTGGGATCAGTGAAGAAACGCTCCCCTGCACCCGGGGGCTGTATCATGGTAGGCATGTTATGTGGTTGTTTGCTGAGGGAAGTTGTTGTTATGGGATGTACTACACAAGTGGGAGCAGATGTCACACTCTGTTGTTGGCGCTCTCCAACTGACACAGATCCAACCATGCCAGGCTTCTCTTCAGCATGTGGATTTTGATTTGGCAAATGTGGAGAGATATGCTGCATTCTCTGACTATTTTCAACTGCAGCATTGTTTGGTTGAGCCCGTTGTTGTGTCCTCATTCCCACCACAGTGGAATTCTGAGCCAGCTGGGAGTGGGCACTGGCAATCACAGATCTCCCAATACTGGAGGAGGATACTGTACTCAACACAGAGGTAGGAGCCGATTCAAATGCACTCTTAGTCAAGTTCATGCCAATCTCCTTTTGGGCACTGACTGGTTTTCCAAGAGTACCTGACATATGTGCAGGAACTCTACCAGCATTGTTTGTCAGGTGCGGCATTGTCATCGTCACATGAATGTCCATTTTGTTTGCCATTGTCCCTATGACTGAAGACTGAGTAGAAATGGGAGAAGAAGTAGCTGTTGGAGTGGATGGCATCAAATGATGAGCTGCTTGTTCTCTGTTGTGTAGCTCTGCCATGTGTCCTGAAAAAGAAAAAGCTCAGGTTAAAAATATGCAAAATTCAAAAATAACAACCAAACAATACATACAAACTGCATTTATTTAAATAATCTCATTTTAACTTAAAATGAAACCCATTTTCAGTTCAAATATTAAGATAAAATACAATTCATGTTTAACACATGAAACAAGTGATCTTGAAAAAAAAAAATCATACCGGGATACATAGTGTTTGGCATTATGGCATTGATCTTGCTCTGATACATTGGGTTGACTGCCGAGATGGAACTTGGTGGGGTCTTGACTAGGCCTGTGGGTAACTGGAAGGCCGGACTCGTTCCAGATAACTGTGGTGATCTCATTGAAGGGGACTTCATGGATGGCGACTTTAGAGAAAGTTCCTCAGTGAAACTGCCTCGACTTGCAGTTCGCTTTCTTTCGTAAGCTCCAATGTCCACTGTTAAAGGTGTGGTGAACTTGTTGAGTTGTTGAGGTGAAATTACTTCACCACCATCAGCAGCATCAAAGATTCCTTTAGACACATTATCAATTATTCTATCAATATTACTCATGGTTGAAACTGTAGTGGGTTGTGGAGCCACTGCTAAGCAATGTTCAGTCTCTGCAGGAGGCTTCACAAGTTCATTAGCAAATGAATGGGCTCTTGCTCTGTGTTCTGCACTCATGATGTCCCTGGGTTTCATGGCCTTCTTCTCATCTACTGGATGATTGGGCACTGGTTCCTTCAGAATAGTTTCATGGATAGGTGCCACTCTTGTCTCATTCAGTCTCTGCAATTCAGGTGCCTTCTCTTTAGGAATATCCTTGCTGGGTCTTACTGTTGGTCGGATTGTCATTTTTATGCCAGTTTCCATGATTTCAGATTTCAAAACTTTGCCAGAATCTTTAGCATCAAATCCTTCTTCACTGTTCTTCTTCTTCCTGCTTGAAGAGCGTCTCTTTGGTATTGGGGCATTCTGTTCCTCAGGTTCAACTTCATCAAAATCGTAAACATTCAAAGTCTTCTGTGGTGTCTCAATAGCAGTTCCAGCAGACCTGCCACGTCGAACACCTGAATCCTTCACAGGAACAGTCTCTTTGACAGGGGTTATAGGCAACTGAACTTCTTTAGGAGCTTGCTCTTCATCGAGTTTCAGATTTTTGTTTGTCATAGGCAGTCGCTCAATCTTCACAACAGGAGTAGCAATATCTGACTTAGGTGACAGTTGTTTGGGTGAGGCAATTCTTGGTGACCTAGGTGATGTTCTTGATCGTGGCGAATTATTTCTGGGAGAAATGCCAGACATTTTCTTGTAATTCTTTCTTCTGCTGGCTCCCCTTTGTGGTCTCTTTGGTTCGTCTCCTCCTAAATCACCATCGTCATTCCTCTCCGAGTCAGTGTAGTCAGACATGGATATTTCCTTATCGTCCAGAACTTTGTCCCCAGCAAAAGGTGGAGAAGCAAAACCACTCACTTCCTGACCAGTGTTCACTTCCGTTTCTTGTTCAGGTCTTATTGATACTGGTAGATTGTAAGTAGGTTCAAACACTGAATTAGCTTTCAAATCAGGTACTGGTAAAGAACTAGGCTCCTCAATACCTTTTCCTGATTTCTTTCTTCTGGTCTTGGTTTTCTTTGCACTTGGAATTTCGAATTCTTGAGGCATATTTTGCAGTTGCTGCATATTTTGCATTTGTTCCACATGTTCCACTGGCTGATGCACTTTTCTGCCTTGCTCTTCTCTCTGAGGCAAAGGAGGCAGATCAGTGGCAATATGAAGAGCTCCATCATCAGAATCATCCTTATTCTGCATATCCTGCAGTGGGTCTTCCATAACAAGTTGTTGATAACTCCTCTGCTGAGCCTGGGCATCTCTTATATCTGTCTGTTTCTTTCCTCTTGGAGTTTTTGGCTTGAGATCATGAAGACCTGCCATCGTTTGAATCTCTTTCTGTGGAGGCAGTGAAACATTTATAGGAGGTATTTGCTCTACAGGCTTAGGAGCAGGAATATGTTCAGGACTCTTAAGACTAAAGTCTGGGGTAGGATGAATAACTGGCTCTTGCATAGGTTCCTGAATCAGAGAAGAGGCAAGTTGAGCTTCATCTCTGTGCGATTCTTCTATCAAATCTTGTGTGACCGGAATCTCTTCAGGCTGATGAGAAGATACTGGAGTTTCCACCACTGGCTCTGGTTCAGAGTAATCGTGGAGTTTACTAGTAGTGTCCTCCTCTCCTAACCCCAGTATAGACTGAATAGCCAGAGCTGTTTCACTGTCGGCCTGTGGAGGTTCCTGTTCTTCTGCTGGCTGTTCAGTGGTCTCCGGCAGACATGGGTTTGTCTCATCAATAACAAGGCTTCCTTCATCTCCAAACATATCATTCTCTCTGTCTCGTTTTTCCTCGTTGTGTAGCAGTTCTATTGTTGACACAGCCTCCAAAGTCTCTGCAATTTTATTGTTCTCTTCTTCTAATTTCTTGGCAACATTCTCTTTTTCTTCTTTCTCAAAAAATTTGTCTACTTCCAAATTTTTACAAATCACACCCTTCTCAATTGCTTCACTATCACAACTAACATTGTCACGAGATGTAGCAGCAACAACTTCTTGTGGTGTTGAATCTTTGTGTGCCTCTGCTTTTTCGTGCTTCTGCTGAGCCTTAGGTTGCTTTTTAATGCTGGTATGCTTCTTAGGTAATTTATTCATTATACTTTCTACTGATTTGTTAATATTTTGATCTTTCTCATGACTCTCAGCCAGTGATTTAGCCCAGCTTGCAAACAAGCTCTCTTGCTTGTGATTGACCATTTTGTTGGTATGCTTTGGTTCAAAGGAAGTCTTAGTATCTTTAGAGGTGATGTCTCCAATGTCCCACTTGAATGGAGTCTTGTTTGAATCTGAAGTTTTGGATTTCAGACTGTTGTCCCTCTCAGCATTGTGACGCGGCTTTATTTTATCAAATACTTCCTCTTCGTCATCATTGAAATCAAAGATATCCGACCTGCCAGACAGCTCATTCTTTGATGACTTCTTCTTTTGAGATGGGCTACTTTCTGGAAGTTTACTTGTGGACACATTTAGGGCCGCAGAAGCCTTCATTTCTTTCCACAAACTGTCAGCTGATTTAGTGTTATTCAGTTCTTTGCCAAGACTCTTGTCTGCATCTTGTAATGGAGACAAAAGGTCAGAGGTCACATGTGATGGAGGAGAGAGTACCAAACTACTGTCCTTCTTCGTTGATGTCTTATTTTCTACATCTTTGAGGTTTGCAGTATTTTCAGCTGTTCTCTCCATTGGAGATGGTTCTTGCAGACCAGTTTTTGTACCTAGTTCAGATTCTGTGGGTTCAGTTATTCTCTCACCCTCACCAGACACTTCGTTTTCTACAGTATCCTCATCTCCTACTCTTTCCTTTGCTGACGGCCTGTTAGGCTTTATTTTCTCAGGTACAAAGTTACCAAATAATGGTGTACTAAAGTCCAAGTCAACATCAGAATGATCAGTGTGGGTGTTCTCAATTTTATGATTTTCTGGCTCTTCTGTCCCAGAAGACTGAAGAATGTCTTTACCCTTTGAAACATCATCGATGGTTTTATCCACCTCTGAACAAGTTTTATTTTTGTTCTTCTTCTTCTTTGGTTTACTACCATCTTTGTCCATCTTCTTGGTTTTCCTGGGAACTTCACCATCTTTCACCACTTTCTTCTTCTTCATTTTCTTACTCTTAGAATCCTCAGCATCAGATGAGCCTTTCTCTGGCATTGGCTGGAGATCATCTGTTGCTGATGACAGACTGCTCATCTTCTCCTTCTCTAAACTTTCATTTCTCTGATGTTCAGCAAAAGTTTCATCGCTAGAGTCCCACATACTTCTTGCATTGTCATTCTCCATACTGCACGGATGATCCATTAAAACAGAATTTTCTTCTAAGGGAATCTCGTCAACAATAACATTTCCGACATCCGTTTTACAATCGTTGATGTTGATTCCATTGGAGAATTCGTTAACAGGTGACATGATGGGTGATATCAATGCTGGCTGCTTCTTAATAATGTCCCTGTCCTTCCGACTTTCTGACTTCTTTTTCTTGTCCTTCTGCTTTTTAACTTGATCTTGTGCTGAAGGCGATTGCAAATCTTTCACCTTATTTTTGAAAGCCTCTTCTGTTGAAGCTTTCTGCTCTTTGGATGAACTCTTATCCTTTGTGTCACTCATCATAAATGTCTCCATTTTCTCAAACAAACCAAATTGAGAATTCTTTCCTATTTCCAGTTTACCCTCCCCAACTAAGATGTTTTCCTTTTCCTTCTTCTTGTTTTTCTTGGCCAGTTTCTCTTTTTTGTTTCTCTCTGCTACCTTTTCCATTGAATCAAGCAAACTGTCAGCACGAATGTCTTTTTCATGGACCGTCTGGGAAATAACAGAGCTTTTAGAAGTCTCTCTGTCACTTGAAGTCTTCCTGTCAGTTAATCTGCTGTCATTTACGTGTTTCTTCACCTCATCATCCAGAATTTTCTTTCCTTTCTTCTTGTCTTTTGGAGATTTACTTGGTAGAGAGATGGGTTTAGGAGCAGGGATGATGTCAGGCTCTTCAGCTGACTCACTGTCTGAGGAGGAATAAATCTTATTGGACTTCTGCAATGGTTTCTTCTCTTCTGCTCTGAAATTATTTCCCTTGGCTCGGTTAAACTTCTTCCCAAAGTCCAGATCAGAATCACTGTCGTCCGATTCATCCGAGCTAGAATATATACTACATATACTTTTCTTCTTCTCAGAAGTGGATTTGTAAGACGTTTTGGGTTTACTTTTTGGCTGCTCCTTTTTGTTACTGTTCTTTGATTTGATAGGAAACATATCATCGCTCTCAATGCTAGTGTCTCTTTTAACAGGCTTTGCCTTCTTCTTGGTCACAGGTATAGCACTAAAACTGCTGTCTGTTGATTCATCCGAATCTGAGGAGTATATATCCAAAAATGGTGTCTTTTTTGTCTTCTTGGATAGATCCAAAGTGGGTTTCTGTGGTTGGAGCTTTTTCTCTGATGGAAAGATACTAGATGTAAAATCGGAGTCTGAATCTGATGAACTGTAGATCTTTTTGGATTTTGATCTACGTTTATTGAAAGGCTTTTTGGGACTTTCCTTTTCGTCAGAATCTGTGTAGTTGGTGGAACTGACATCACTCTGCAGAATGGAATTACTTTTTGATTTCTTCTGTCGACGTTCTTGCAGTTTGTCAAGTTGTTTTTGTCTGTTTTGTTCCATTTCTCTCTCTTTGTCTTTGATAGTTGATCTACGTTTCACCTTATCATACATAGAAACATAGGGCTCTTGCCAAGCATCCCAGTCAAAATCATCATCTGCCTTTTTTGCTGCCTCACTGGATGTATGTTCTTCTGTTTCCTCTTTTTTATCTTTCTTCTTTGATGTCCCGGATTTTTCAGATTTGTTTTCTTTATTGGACTTCTTCTTTTCTGTGATTACTTTGGGAGATTTTTTCTTTTCACCCTCAGATTTGTTCAGTTTGCTCTCGGTTTTTATTGACTTTTCTCCATCCTTACTTTTATTGTGAGATTTACTGGGTTTGGATTTCTCACTCTCCTTGGAGTACTTGTTTGATTCCCCTTTCATTATATCATCAGAAACACTAGAACTGCTAGACTTTGGTTTATCCCGGTGCACCTTGTGAATTTTCTCACTCTCGTGGGGTTTCTTTTTATTCGAATCTGCTTGGTGATTTTTAGTTTCCATCTTTCCATCTGTATTTTCTGATTTCTTGTCATCATTTTTCTCATTTGATCCAGAACCATTTGACTTGGATGATTCAGTTTGTTCAGTTTTGGCTTCAGTTTTCTTCTCTGAGCTGTCCTTCCTGGACTCAGTTCTATTTTCCTCCTTTTTATGTGAACTCTTCCCATCTTTTGACACTTTATCTTTAGATTTTTCCAGATTTAAGTGTTTCTCCTTCGTCTTTGACTTGGTATCATCCTTATGCTTTGACTTTCCAGATTTCTCATGTTTTACTTTCACTTTGTCTTTCTGCTGATCAGTAGGTGTTACAGTTTCACTTCCTGCAGTAGTACTTGGAGACTTTTCTTTGTTTCTTTCAGTGTTTTCCACATTTGATGAGTTTTTCGCCTTGTTCTCAGAATCTGTTGTTTTGCTGGGTTTTGCCTGTTTCTCAGTGGGAATAGAATTTGAACTCTTTTCCTTTCCCTCTGAGCTTTCTTTGGGTTTCTCAGTATTGGATTTTTCACCGCTTGATTTCACATTTTTGTCAGTATGTTTTTCTTCTTTCTTGACTTTGCTGCCATTTTTGTCATTAGTCCCTTCTTTTGTATTTTTGTCCGTTTTACTTGAATCTTTTGACTTGACACTCACTTTTTCCTTGCTGTTTTTGAATTTGTCCTTGGACTTGCTCTCACTTGATGACTTTGTTGTATTGGATTTGCTGTCTTTCCGATGTACTGAATGATCAGATGCTTTCTTATCCTTTTCACCATCTTTTTTGTGTTCAGAAGAAGAAACTTTATTTTTCTCTTTGTTTAACTTCACGTTTTTATCCTCAGATTTAGTGATTTTATCCTCAGATTTAGAGCTTGTCTCGCTGCCTTTGGATTTTTCGTCCAACGATTTGGTAGACCCTGTCACTTTTGAAGATTTTTCTGACTTCTTTTGCTCTGGCTTACTAGATTTTATTAATTTTTCATCTGTCTTTCCATTCTTGGTGCTTTCAGGCTTACTGCTACTACTTGAGGAGAGTGACTGTGACTTGGTAGAACTTGAATTGGTCCCTTTGTCTCGGCCTCCGTCTTTATCTTTATCCTTCCTTTCGTGATTGTTTTTATCCTTTTTCACCGAGTCTCCCTCACATTTCTCTTTCTTTTTGGAGTCCTTGCTCTTTTCTTTCTTTTGAGAGTCTTTACTTTTAGCACTGCTGTTAGATTTGTCTATCTTTTCTGGTGAAGTGTCCGAGCTCTGAGATTCTGTTTCAGAGATTTTTGGTTTCTTTGACTGTGGTAACTTCTCTAACTCCTTCGAGTCAGAATCTGAACCATTGCATTCAGATTTTTGCTCTCTGACTACATCTTTTTTGTCTCTGTCATTTTGGGATTTGTTCAATTCCTCAGTTTCTGCTTTCCGTTTTCCAAACACCACTGGAGAATTCAAACCTAAAATCTCCTCGAAAGATTCTTGGTTTTGTTTCTTTTGAGGCTCTTTTGAAGAACTTGAAGACTTTTCTTTACTGCCACTACTCTGTTTTGTTAACTTTAAAGGAGACATATCTTTCACTTCTGCTTTTGTTAACACAACAGGTGGTGTACTTTTTGGCTTGGTGTCATCATCCCTTTCACTAGTTCTTTTCCCTTCAACTTCTTTAAGCTCTGAGGAATTGCTATCTGTTGTCACCTCCATCGGTTCTACTTCACTTTTGGGAGGTGAAATACCAGATGAATCATGTGTAAGGTCAGAACTTGTTTTTACCTCCTCATTGCACACAGAGTTCTTTTCAGTCTCTATTTTTGGTATATCTGAGCCACTCGGGACACTTTCTGATGGTACATTAGACTTCTGATCACTGATATCTGGTGATAATTTGCTATCTGATTTTGGAGACAGAGACACTTCATGAGTTGGAGAAGCAGTTTTCTTTTCAATTGATGGTGATGGTGATTTACTGAGAAATTTTGGAGAAATCTTAGGAGAGGATTTTTCATCAGTCCTGGAGAAATTATCACTCATTTGCTTTTTAAATGCTGGTGTAATTAATGGTCTCTGTGCAGATTCTTCAGAAAGGTATCCTAAAGTGAAGTCTTTTACATTACTTTGATCACTGGCACTATTTTTTGGCACTGATGCAGAATCCATCTGCCATGGCTTCAAGAGTGACTTTGATGATAAGTATCCCTCTGTTGGCCACTGCTTCTCTGGTATTGCTGGTGTAAGTGCAGAATTGAATGAAGAAGCATCTAATGCATTCATATCTTCAGGTTTACCATTATTAGATGTCGTAGTTGTTACTGTCAGGGTTGGAAACGGAGCAGCTCCATTTCCTAGCCTTCCAGCTAATGACCCTGGCAGTGTAGAGAGATTCGGCATCTGAGCTGGCATTTCCTTCACAGCTCCCTTTGTGCGAAGTGGTGTCATAGGTGACAAAGAAGTTTGGGTATCCTCTAAATTTGATGTAGGTTTTGGGGAGTAGTTCTCATAAATTTTATCTTGTAATCGCTTTGTATCCTGGTCTATGATACTAAATCGTGATGTGACTTTCTTGGCTATGTCTGTGCTTTCTCCCGTTTTTATGTCCGTTCCCGTTCCTTGGGTCACTTCTTTCTTATTGATTTTAAACTTGGAGTACAAAGCTGTCCGTGAAAGTGATGAAACCTGAGTATCTGACTTTGACACTACGGTCGAATTTGATGACAAAGAGCTCATTTCACTTGCCAGTTTAGTACTACTTTGAGGTAAAGGTACTGCATTCAGTTTCTCATCCAGCCTCCTAATTCGCTCCTCCAGTGAAATTTTATCCAATTCAAAATTGTCATTATGATCACTGTGATCAGAACTCCCATCTGAATCAAATTCACCTTTCGCTTCCATAGGTTCCACTGGGGCACCATCATTGTTCATGTCTGATGGATTTTCCTCTGGAATATATTCCTGTGGAGGATTTTCCTGTGAATTTGTTGAGGCTGATTCACTAGGTGATCTTTGTGGGGATGAAGTGTTTTTACTTCCACTACTTGGAGAAGAAAACCTTGGGGATTCACTTTTAGAATTATCCGGGGATATATTCACATCCGGTGAAGTCATCACATTCGCATCTAATTCTGCAAATTTTGGCAGAGGTAGAGACAGGGACTTGTGTATTCTGTCTGGATTCCTGGGATCCAGTAACTCGGGGTTGGGGAAATCATCACCCAGGGGGATGATGGGGGGTTGGTGATCATCTTTATGCCGATGTTTAGATCTATGGCCATGAGATTTGTTGAATGATTCAGTCTTTTTATGATGTTTCATTTCCTCAGAATGTGAACTAGAGAGTCCTTCACTTCCTGGTACTTCAGTCTCTTTATGTGATTTATGCAATGCATTTGAGGATTCATGAGAGAAATGGGGAGTGCGAGGCGATGAATGATTACTTGACAATCTTCTGAAGACGGGATTAGATGATAATTGATCGAATCTGTTTTTCACTTCATCATTGTCACTACTAACATGATCTTCCTCTTCACTGTGCTTTGATCTGAACGATAAACGCCTCTCTTCCGAATGTTCACCCTTTCTCCTCTTCTTACGTAATCCAATTTGAACATCTTTTGGAGAAACTCCTGGAGTAAATTCTTCATGATCACTTCCTTCAATACTTGATCTTGTACAAGATTTGTTTCTTTCTTTCTCGTGTAAATTGTCTGGTTGTTTCCGTACACTAGAAGTTGAATCTAATCCTTTATAGTCATATGATTTTATGTTTGAAACACCTCCTAAGTCCGTTTGTAGATGGTGAACTGAATCTCCCCAAGGTCCCACTGGATCCATTCTAGCACGCTTTGATAGAGCTTTCCTTGGATCGTCACTATCAAAAGCCTCCTCTATATCACTTGTACTAGATTCCTTGTCCAATTGTTTCAATTTCTCTAGTAAGAGAGATTTTTCATGCTGAAGTTTTGAAAGTTCACTTTCGTTGACCTGTCCCGGTTCTGACCCACTACTAGCCGAGCTTGGACTGCTTTCATTACGACCTTTCAACTTTTCCGTGATTCGTGACTGAATGATTTGAAACTTTTGATATAAATCCCGTTTTGAAAATTCAATTCTCTCCAAAGCTGACTTGTTACTTAATTGTCTGTCAAGTTTCCTTGGAGATTTCATGTAATCTTGACCAAAAGTTTCATCATACGATCGTTTTCTTTCAAACTTATCCTCGGTCCATGGTGAACTATCTGTACGATACATCCCTGGGAACTTTGGTCGACCCGTTAACTCGGCTATATCGGCTTCATTAATATTGAAGTCGTCCTCACTACGTCTTTTATTTTTTGAATCACCGAATTTCGCCTGACCCTCTTCCATAGGGCTGACGTCCCGTGAGAAGTCTCGAGCTTCGTCGTCCATTGGTGTAGGGGGAGTGTTACGACCCACGTTTTCCTTTATCTGCCCGGGAGCTCCACGTGATGGTGAGTGACTCCAGCTTCTCCTACTATACTCCACTTCTGGACTTCGTTCACGAACCACATATCTCTCCTTTCCGTAATATTTCTCCTCCAAACGAATTTTATCGTAATCATATCCTTCAAATGCTCTGTCACTGTGTGGACTTCCACTTCTGTAAGATTCGGCGTACTTGTAGTAATCCTTAGATCTGCGGTATGCTGGGTCTTCATACACTTCTTCTATGTAGGGAGGTGGGCTTTGGCTTCCATGCTGCCTTTCTCTCTGATATGCTCTCAAATCCTGCTCAAAATCATCTGAGTCTCCTGGATATCTATAGTCTTCATATGACCTAAAAAAATAAATTGTGAATTTAATTTAAAACTAGATGCTTCAAAACAATACCATTCATGAAAAACTTAGATTCTTTCATATTTCTTATGTAAACTAATATCTATCATCTTTGCAGAGAAAGAATACTGTGATGGTTAGTGTATGTATTACCTTGTTCTCCTGTACTCGTCTGAGAATTCCTCTTTGTATCCCCGACTTCCTCCACGTCCCGCTGTCCTTGAACCTCGACCTCTGAACCCAGGACTGAATTTGAAGAAGTTTGCAGGTCTGTTGTCATAACTGTAAAACATTTTAAATAAAGATTAAAAAAAAACATCAATCAAGGAAATTTTTATAGCTAAGAATATGATACATTTTTTATTTAAAGACAAAATCAATACAACCTACATACTACATTATCTCATTTTAATTCCTTTGGGCTTGAAGTATTCAGGTGTTAATTAATGTGATGGATAATGATTCAACTCCTTATTTTCTGTAGTTAGCAATGTAATTCACACCAATGAAACTCATTTCAACTCATTATCATTTTTATTGCCAATCTGTAATAGGACTGTTTCACAAGTTTCTTTCTTTGTTGATTCCCAGTCTTGTGAAGTAAGAATTCCAACCTACCACCCCAGCCCCCATCCAAATGACATATAGAGAAACAAATTTTCTTGAAAAAAATGTCTATAAATTATCTCTGAAACAACATATCAAAGTCTAACATTGAAGGAAAATAATATGGTTATTAAAAGGGGGAAAAAAGAAAGAAATTTGTAGACAAGCAGATTAACAGAAAAATCATTTGTTTTTGGCATCTGCGTGTTAAAAATCAATGAAAATTAGGTATCTGAATGTTATTTATGTGTAGATCAAGTTTCACAGAAATCAAATCAAAAACTGTGGGAGTAGAATGAAGAATTTTTCAGACATTTCATTATCTTTACAGTCACGTAACCATAGCAGCAATGTTCATCCATTTCCAGTGATAAATAGAATATATCACTGAAAGTATTCTACTGATAGAAGTGAACAACTATTTATATGACCTAAACAATGGGTTAATACTATTTATATGATCTTAACAATGGGTAAAATACTTTAACATAGATAAATTCAAGCATAAATGGAAATTAAAACCCTTCCTGTCACACAAAAATGTTTTCATTGAGCACATTTCATTTTAGCGATGTTGCAAGTCGTCATTAAAGGTAATTTTTTCAAGAAGGTAATTTTTCATATGTCAATCATATTTTCTATCAAAGCACATAAATTATCCAGATTAATAGACCATATCACTGTACAAATTGCCAACACAGCTACATGTATTTAATCTGAATTTCTACTCTTTTGTAAGAAGAGAGGCCAAATATCAATTAGGAATCAGCATTTTAAAACCATGTTGAAACTAGTTGAACCATTTCTTTTGGAAACAATTTTATTTAAAATGCTTTTAATCACGTCATATTAGATACCAACATGAAAGCCATCAAAAACTGAAACTTTTATAAATTTCCCCATAAAAACAAGTTTAAACAACAGCCAAAAAAAAAAAATTACAACAAAGAAAATAAATGTTCTTGAAGCCTGACTTGAGTTATCACTGTACCTTGCTTCCCACTGTCCCTCTGCGGTCTGTCTATTGTACATCCACCCCCTCCTCTCATCGGGACGGAGACCAGCCTTCAGCTGTCCATTCTTCTCCATCTGCTCATAAAATTCTGCCTGACAGTCTCTGCTGGCAAAGTCAATCTAAAAACAGATCAATACAAATTTGTTACCAGAGACTAAGCCCTGCAACTTGAGGTGATAATGACTTAAGATCAATCATGTTCCAATTCATTAGCACCTTTTGTACGATGCCTTTTCTCTGAACTTCAGATATCATACAGATACATCATAAGATTCTTAAATGCTATGAAATTAAAAACTAGTCTGCATGTAAAAATTAATTCTATTCTATAAATCCAAGCTTCTGAGACAATTTGATTTGCTCATTACAACTGAAAAACAATGCAATAGAAATGCATTAATTAATCTCAGCAATATTTACTGGTACTGAACAAATGGTAAATAAGAGAATGAATGTCAGAGATCTCCAACATATAAGATAACTGAGATCAACAATGAAATCTTATTACCAGGCTAACAGTACATTTGTATCAGTATTGTATTAGGTTGACTAAAAGATGCCATATGTGTTCAGCATTAAGATCTCTCTCTATTCTTTTCACCAGGAAAGTGCAAAAAAAACCTAATTTGCACAAACTGTATGTAAAATTATGAATCTCACCATGATTTTCTTGTTATTCAGTATTCTGTTCCTCATCTCCACCAGAGCATACTGTGCTTGTTCTGCATTGGTGAAGTAGACCAGAGCTTTTCCTTTAATTCTGTCAATAATTCCATGAGTAACCTGTCCATAACGGCCAAACTGTCGACTCAAAAAGTTTTCCTGGACTGTTTGATCGACGTTATCAAGCCATACACAGTTTGTTGGCATACTTTTTCCAAATCCCAGCTGTTTATTATAAAAGATTTTTTTAAAGATACATAATTTCCATCAGCAGCTTAATAATAAAATGATTGAAGTACTTTCTGAAAGTCCCTACCTTGAGTTTCATGGAGCCCCAGACCTCTCCTTCCATCTCTCTAAGAACTTTAACCACACTACGAATGTCAGTGAACTGCACAAAGGCATATGCTGATACAGCCCCTTGTCTCTTCACATCAATGTCCTGCAAAAATCAACAGAACACATACAGGAAATAGTTAAATGCACAAGTGAACACTCTTATTGCTCAAGCTTTCGCTTTAACAGATTATGATGTTTACAATCCTGTCTAACCTGGACCAAGCACTGAAATCTGACAAAGTAATGTCCAGCTCTTTGACTATAATCATTGCTCAACTATAAAAGCATAAAATACTTTTTTTTTTTATTGTATACTGTCAGAAGTTACAAAGCTATGTATTCAAATTTAAAAACCTACCATTTAATTTACCAGTAAAAAAAAGACTTGAAAAGAATCACCACTAAATGCCTATATGTATATTATTTTTCACCCTTTTGATATATTACAACTTTTTTTTTCAATTCTATTTTCTCAAACAATTTATCATTGAAACATGATTTCTTTGCAATAACTCAAAAATGTTGAGTTATTAATACAGAATTATAAAAGGAAAACAGCTGTGAAATGTAATATTTTAATGTAGAATTATTACTATTAGCCTTCCATGGAGCCATAAATCACACAGGTGTAACATATTAAATAATACTACGCATTAGCCAGATTATGAAGATATGAATTACTTTCACGTTTAAACTGATATTTACTTTTTCATAATGGCCAAAAATCCAAAGTGTTTATAGGACTTATTGTTCTGAATAATTCACTGTAATCCTGAATAATTTATTCACCTTTCAGAATATTAATATAACTGGCATTTAATTCAATAGGGATCAATATAACCAGATTAGAAAATGATGCTAAAGTAGGAAATCAGCTGAACAAGTCGAGATTACAGATAAAGCCTCATAAAGCTGAAAGGGTGCATGGTAAATCACCAGTTTATTTCAAAACAGTAATCTAGTAACAACATGTAGAAAATACTGTATTGTTTCATTCTTAAGAGTAATCAATGCTACGGATATGTTTATATTAACGATTAAGTATCTAAGCAGTGTGCAAAGAGTAACTAATTGTGACAGTCCTCTAATGACGTTCATAAACCAAGGTGTGTACACATACACACTATAATTAGTGTGTCTACCACTTTTTAAACTCATCAAGATTTGAAATATGTGATAAAAAGAATGAAAAGTTTAACATAGCTATTCATTATGTCAGATTATTTAGCCTCTTGTTATGACATAGTGAGAAGTTGTGCAGACAAATCTTTTCTATGCTTAAAACAAAAGGCAGTGGCTCAACAAAGACATGAACTTAATCAATAAATATGCAACTAATTACAGAGGACTAGAACTGTCCAATAGGGACAAATACCCCCGCTGGGTTTTTCAGAGTAGGTGCCAATTCAGAAATATTTTATGGATCTAGTAAGAGGTATTCACTATTGTCTAATATAGTGCCTTGCCACAGCATGATACGCCCATCAAATATTGTTCGATAATCATAAATTGGTTAGGGTGCAAGAAAATTAAGTAACCTTTGATTAACAGATTGACACAGATTTCAATGATCTAATTTCCATTTCTTATCATGTTTAAAATATTGTACATACATCTCTAAGAAACTTACAGTGTACGGATTAATTAAAACAAATAATACATCATATAATTCTAAACTGGCTGTGTTAGAGCTTAACAAATATCCATCTGCCGCTTTAAATTGTTTCTTGCATATTTTATGAAATAATGGAAATGCTACATTCTAATAAAAAAAAATCAAAAATTAATTATTCTTTAGACTATAAAATTCTAAGTGAGACATGACTGCAATTTGTTGCAAATATATCAAAATTGAAATGTAATTTTTTTTCAATGAACACATGTATAATTAATTTTAATTATATTATACAATACTAATTCAGTTTTAATCATACACTAAAACATCAATTTGTTTTAATTACATTACACCAATTGAAAGATCTTTATCTGAACTACAGCCATCAAGAACTCTTTTAATTAACACAAGCAACTATAAGGCCATTTCTTTTTGCCCAACTCCCAAGAGATAAATTAAGATTAGATCTAGAGATGCTCTTGCCAGTTAACTCCGGACAATGAACTCATTAATTTCTCTCTAATTTGACATGCACATTTCTGCTATCAAAAATTCTCCTTGACCAGTGCTTGATAATTATGCCCGTGGGACAAACTGAATTCCTCTCAAATCATTAACATTTGTTATAGAATTTGCTGTAAAGTATATGATAAAAAATAAGTTTTTACTTAATTTAGCATTTTTTAATAAGGATACAATTATATTTTTACATTTTTTAGGATTATGAAATTTAAAATTTTAAAGACTTAGTTTTTTTTTAAAAAATCACTTAAATTAAACGTCACAGTGACCTTGAAATAGGTCGTGACACACTGTCTACCCAAGATGCATAAATTGTCCAAGTTTGATGATTGTAAGTCTAATAGTTTTCTAGTTATGAGCCAAACAAAATCACAAAATAAAAAAGAAAAAACACACTGTAAAATGCAGAAAAATCATCCAATCATTTTGAAAATCCCAGGTGCACACCTTCATATGGTGAATAATAAGCGTATAAATTTTCAGACAAATCCATCCAACAGTTTCTGAGAAACGGTCCGGACAAAATCTTGTCTACAGACAGACGGACAGCTAGACAGACAGACGGACATGGTGATTCCAATATACCCCCCTAAACTTCGTTTGCGGGGGTATAAATATACAATAAGGCTACTATTTGCAATGTTCCAAATGTTTGTACTGTGACCGTGTAACTGAACTTTCAACTTTGAATCATACTTACGAGTATGTCTCCATATTTAAGAAACCTTTCTCTGAGTTCCTGGTTTGATATATCTTTTTCCAAGTTGCCGACAAACAATGTGCGCGTGGCTTTGGGATGATGCTCATCCAGCTCTGCCTCAGGAGGCCGGAACTCATTGTCATCCACTTCTGTCGAGTAAAAATAAGTACACATCATATTAACGTCAGAGAAGAAATACATTAGTTTACAATGTGAAGTCCTTCAGCAATGTATCTTTGGTATACATGAATTAAAATCTTGCAAGCATCAAAATTCAATATAACTTGAAAAAGTTAAAAATATTTGACATTTTAATTTGATTACATAGAAATACACTTAATTCTAAGAAGCTACCCTATTTAATTTTGAAATAATTATGAAATGAGAACTTGGATATATCACAAGTAAATGGTATGATTGGTATTCAAGTCTATATTGCACAGATTGCAAAAAACAAGTTTGGTTCAGAAGGGCTATGAATAAACAGCTATTTTTAACTTTGATTTTTGTGATAATTTATATGAAATTGAAATCTGTGGCTCAGCACTGCATCACAATGAATCATACTGGTGCATTACACAAGAAAATCTATGAACAGGCTATGATGTCATTTTAATTAACATTATTTAGTAAAACTCTCTCTCTCTCTCAGTTTTATTTTCTACATAACTTACCTATGCCCTCATGCTGTGCCACTTTTATTTTGGACCCAAAGAAGACTTTATCCTGTGATGCTGATAATGCCTTGATTGCATCCTCAGGCCTACAACGAGAAAACACAGTAAATATGGCTACTGTCACCAATATCAGATTACTCCATCCATCTACAGCTTGTCAATACCCATCCATTCCCTCGTACCTACTGGCAAGATCTGTGTAACATTAACACAGTCTTACGGAATATTTCCTTCTTCTCTACAATACACCAATTTCTCTACACTAACGACTAAGTACATCTAACCAATCCCTATCACCTACTACAACCAGTATGGAGATAGAGTCCAATAATTCCCTACCTTATGGCAGAGCTTACATCAATATTGATTGTGCAGCTTCAGTACCTGCCACTAATGATAAAACCCAATGTCACTGACAATTCTCTTACTTTCTAAAACTGACAACAGCATATCTGTCATCTCCCACTCCTGCTACCAGGACGGCATTGACTTTCCCGTATTTCTTGTATTCATGAAACAGTCCATCTCTCAAACTTGTATCTGGAAGAACAAAAACACAATTTTTAGTCAGTACATTATACTATGAAAGCACTGTGTGCAATCCTAATATGGACTTTCTTTGCACAGGCACAATATGAATACCATTCTTACACTGTAAAGACATTCAACATATACCTGCATTCCAAACAATATATGTAATTATATACTTTAGAAATTTTATTCTACTGCTACCTGGAAAATAACCTGAGTTTAAAAGGGAGAAAATCTTCCTGGCAATGGAGCAATTATTTTTTGTACCTGTATTACAGCATACTTATAGCCCCCCTCCCCCAATCCATTCCCTTTAAATATTCAAATAACCATAAAATTGAATATACATGTCATGCTTGCATAGGAGTCCAACAAATTGTATGACTTATGATCGATATCTTGCAAAGAAGACTTTGAATTTAAAATTCAGGTATCTCCAATTGTGGCTTCATAGTAGTTAAAGAACTATTGGCATGATGGCTTGAACAAACTTGATTCTACTCCAAAAAAAACCTTGATTAAAGGTAATAAAGATTTTAGATATAAATTACAGTGTTTTGTCCCCTTCTGTTCCCCCAAACTAGCTCAAAACTTAAAATTAACACTTCATACAATTGCTGGCATACATGAATTTAAAAGGATTTTTATTGCGTATTTCTACTTTTAAAGTTTAAACTCCTTATCATGTGGATATAGGCCATGGTTTGAATACACTTTTAAATCTACAGATAAGGAGATTTCTATGTAGCTTTGTCATTTCTTGCTTAGTTTTAAAACAGGCAGAAAGTTTAAAATAACCACCACTTTAAATAATAGGTGTACACACTATTCCACAATACCACCATTTGAGAGAAAACATAATCCTTCATTTGGAACAGAATTTCCTTAAGGTTTTTGTGCTTAATATCCGTTGATTTTGGTTAACAATTCTGGATACAAAAAGACTAAAATATGTCAAATGTGCATGTACTGACAACTATTGATTGTTGAATGACTCATATATCTTTTTTGCTTTATTTTTAATACCTTCCCACAAGACTTCCCCTAAATATGCTTTTTTTGGCAAGTTTGGT